TCAGAGCAGCTCGGGACCTCACTGGGACTATGGAGGAGGATGGCTGTGGTACTTGTCAGGAGAGCGCTGGTCTCTATTTTGAGCATTGCTTCTTGGCTCCAGTGTAGAACTCTCAACCTACAGGCACAAATGCTTCCTCCTGCTGGCACAGGCTTCTTAGTTTCCACTGCTGGCCCTTTGACCTTCCCAGCATAGATCGGTGAAGCAAACTTGCATGAGCCATTGTCAAGGGCTCTAGGCCTCCAGTTGGACTTGAGAGAGGCACTGTCGTAGGCTCTAGGTTTTCAGCTGGACTCCTGTGGAACATTGCTATAGGATCCAGGCCCTCAGCCGGATTTTCTAGGTCTTTAATGTTGTGGACAGATCTCCTGAACTTTGTTGTTTATAACTCTGGGAGACTGTCATAAAATAATAATAAATTCTGTGTCCTGTATGTAATTGTTCTCCTTGTAACCCCTGACTATATCATCATTCATTCCCATACAAGTACCTTCCCAGAGATAATACAGCCATGCATTTGGTATATATCTTTTGGTTTGATTTTCTTTTTTTCAAATTACACAAATCCATGGATCCTAAAAGTATACTTCAACTTTTCCAACGTTACACCACTGTTTTTAGTTCGTAGATTCAAATGTGTTTAAAGCTGAATATAATGGTGTATACCTGTCGTCTCAACTGGGGCAGGAGGATTGAAAGTTTGAAGCCAGCCTTGGCAGTTTAAGCCCCATTCCACGTAAAAAGCCTAGCCCTGGACACCATCCCCAGAAGTGCAAGAAACAAAGTTATCTGCATGTGTAAATATGTGCTAGTAGAAATGACTTTTTTGTCTAAAAACTATCACTGTGTGTCTTGTTAAATTTCTAGTAGTTATTCTGTTACAGAACAACAGAAATAAACAACTGCACAGGAAAGTATGCACACAGGTATAGTTCTACTGATAGAGTAAACGATTTGGAAATAATCTCATCTAATGTACTTAGAAATGTGAAAATAAGGCTGGGGATTTAGCTCAGCGGCATAAAGTGCCTGCCTGGCAAGCTCTAGGTTGTGAGTTTAATCCCCGGTACCAAAAAAAAGAGAAAGAAATACGAAAATGTATTGAGGATAGTAGCTTACGGGTAAGGAAAAGCTTACTGGTTAAGTGAACAGTTTGAAAGTTACCTAAGTGTAGGGCTGGGGATTTAGCTCAGCAGCATAAGCACCTGCCTTGTAAGCAGGCAGTCGTGAGTTCGATCCCAGGTACCGATAAAAAGGAAAAAGACAAAAAAAAAAAAAAAAAACCAAAAAAACCACAAAGTTACCTAAGTGTGTGTACCATTAGTGAGGAATGTTAAATAAAGTGTATCTTACACTTTGCATAGTCCAGAGGGAATAAGATGTAACATCTCGTGTAAGCAGTGACATTCCGTGCATTGTACCTGCGGTGACTCATGTGTTTCAGCATAGACTCAAAGTACAGGTAGTTAACTGTTCTGGTTACTGTCCGGGGGCTCTCAGGGCCTTTAGGGTGATAGTCTAAGACTTTCTGTCCATTGTAGGAGTATTTTTCTATTTCTGAGGGTGATGTGGAACTTGCTGTGCTCCCGTGACAGTTGTCGGTGCTAATTGCCAAACATGTTACCCTTGAACTCTTTATGGAGTTAAGCATTATGGTAGCTGGGAAATTAAGCAGGTTGCAGATTCTCACAAACTCAGTAAGTTCCCTTTTTCTAATATACCAGGTGCAAGGAATGTTGGAGGATGGATTTAGTACTTGAGGATGTTACATCATCAAGTGACCAGATGATTTTTATGGTCACTTGGGACAGGGCACTTTTCCCAAGTCAGCATGTGTGTCCTTGCTAAAACCCAGAAGAGCTGATGGGGTCTGAGTGGTCGCACAGATTCTTGAGATGAGGATGCTTGTTTGCAGCTCTCTGTGACGCGGGGACAGCATGAAGAGTCTCAGGTGCCGAGCTGAGGACAAGAGGGCACAGCGGAGGGCTCGGAAATAGAGATGCTTAGCTTGCTGCATAAGCAGGGGGTATAGAGGTTGAGGGCTTGCTCTGTGCTCAGCTAGTGGCTCCCGGTGGTTGGAGAGCCCAACCACTGGGAGGGAGCGGGAATGGGTGTTTGAGTGCTCAGCTTTGCAGGGCTCTTCCAGAGAGCTGCTGCTTCTCTGCTGCTTGCAGCCCCCTTGCCTCACAGCACTTTTGGGGAGGCTGCCCCTTTGAATCCCTTACTCAGTAAGGGGATTCTTTTTATTTATTTTTTATTTTTTGTCTTTTTCCTTTTTATCGGTACCTGGGATCGAACTCACGACTGCCTGCTTGCAAGGCAAGCGCTTATGCTGCTGAGCTAAATCCCCAGCCCCCAACTTTTTTTGTTTTTTAAACAGTTGATTATCAGTTTATTTTAGCAGTTGCCTTAGGCATCTGTGATGGTGACTTCAGCCTCCACTTCTGGCTGGATGCTGATGGAACTAATCTGTTTAACAATCTCAGGAGGACTGCGAATCAGTGTGGGTTCTCATCTGGCAATGATCCCATGTCTTAGAACCTTCACCACATGGCATTTCTTCTTACAGTGATTCCCGAGGTCTTAGTAGGCCTGGGAACAGGTCCTTTCACTTTTTTGGGGGGTACTGGGGATGGAATTCACAACCTTGTGTTTGCCGGGCAGGCACTTGTTGCAGTTGAGCTAAATCCCCAGCCCCAGGTCCTTTGACTTTGAGATTCTTCTCCTTTACACCACTGATAGTCAGCACACACCTTTCCAGCAGCTTCACGATGCAGCTGGTGAGGGTAATCCTGGATGCAGCTGGTGAGGGTAATCCTGATTTGGTGAATCGCCACCTTGGGTTCCAGCGTGTTTTTCCTGTTTCTAAACAGCGTGCTGGGGGCGGCTTCATGAATGCATTGCTCCTCAGCTAAGCTGAACAGCCAAACAGCAGCAGTGGTGAGTCAGGAGCAGGAGAGAATGCTTCTGAGGTGGGCCACACCCACTGTGTCTCCTGTCAGAGAAGCTATTAAGGGGATTTGGGAGCTGCTGCCTTCTTTCTGTGAGTAGGTGGCAGAAGCAAACTGCTAAGTTCCGTTGAGTGACAGGGACCTTGTGGGACTGATTTGTGAATAGTTGGGTGACCTTTATGTCAGGAATCAGCTTGCATAGGAGAGTCTCAAATCTGCCTTTTTGGAAGACTGACATCTATAGGGTGCAGCTTTCATAGCTGTCATTTGTTGCTCCCGTGACCTTACAGGTAGATGACGAGAGGGTGGGACAGGCCTGAGGGATATAGAACCAGGGCGAAGCCTTGGGTGGCGGAGCCCACGCCCGCCAGCCCATTGTGCTCTCTCTGGTAACTGCCTCCTGATGGCTCACTGGACTTCAAAGGGCTGAGAGGCTTTGAGAGGTGCACCAGGGCTTGACAGGTGTGCCTGTTGGCATTAGAGAACTGAGCTTCTGTGTCTCTAAGGTTTTGACCCTGTGTGTTAAAATTGAATATGGGCTTTATAGCCAGACTGAATTGGAATCACTTCCTTCCCCCCACCCTCACAGAGACAAGTTTTGTCATTGGCCAAGTTACTTTTTTGTCCTTAATATGGGAGTAATACTGTGTAATAGGATTTGTCTGGGAAATTTTCAAAATAATACACATAAAGTACTTAGCGTAATGCCTGATATTTAGTAGGTCATTGGGCAATGTGGTTTTTTTAAATTTTTTCCTCAAGAAATCGATATTCCCCATTTTTAAGAAAATCCTTCTCACACTACAGTGTGCTTACTGTAGATCATACGGGATTATTTGAGTTAGTTCCAGTTTCCAGTGTTCTGTCTGCCTGTCAGGTCTGTGGGTGTGCTTGTCAAATGATGTGACCTCATTGTGAGGTTCATGCCGCATTGCTACATTTGTATAAATTACTATTTCTGCAGGTTTTTGGTCATGTTCTGGGTTGTGTCCCCTATCTATCCACTAACCTGAGTGGTGTTTGGAGGAAAGATGTGAGTATGCTGTAGCCGCTTGGGATTTTTTTTTTTTTGTCTTTTTGAGACAGTTTAGCTATGCATTTCAGGCTGGCCTTGAACTCACTATGTAGCCCACGTTGAGAACTTGCAGCAGTCCTGCTTTAGCCTCCTGAATGCTGGGATTACAGGCTTGTGCTACCACGCCCATCCTGTATCCGTCTCTTGTAGAGTCCATTATTGGGTTTAGAGCTTGTGCTTTAAAGTATTTCTACTCCTTCCATCATGCCTCTCAGTTGCTTTTGGCTTTTAGAAGAGGGTTATCTGTGTTGTCTCTCTCTGGCATTTGAGACTGGCACTCTGTCGTATTTCTGCCTCTGTTTCTGTTGTGGCTTCAGCTGTCATCTGCTTACCTAGATTGCTCTTCCTTGAGTGATGTTGGAATGAGGAAGGGGAGAGGAGTGTGGAGGCCAGGAGAGGCAAGTGTTTTGGTCTCATTAGAATCAGTATGTGCCCCTTGTGCTAGGCATAAGGCTTGAGTTGATGTGTATGTGTATGAAGCTCCCCAGATGTGTCTAGCACACTCTGTTGAGAGCCACTGATTGGATGCTTGGAGCCAGACTGCATTCTTCCTTTTTGGGTTTCATGTTTTTTTGTGTGTCTGTCCTAAGTGGGGAAGTGATGCTTAAACAAGTAAGACTTTGTGGATTCAGATCATTTGTATCAGTAAAATTTGAGTTACTTAAATCCTTCTGAGCTTCAGTTTTACCTCGTCTGAATTAAGGAGATAATAACTATTTTCAGTCTTTGGAAAAACTAGTCTCCATGAATCAGCTGATACATGGGATTGTAGAAACTCAGGAAGTGGTAGCTGTTGGCATACAGACAGGTAGTACCATCGTTTGTAATATGAAAATATAAAAGTGCATTGGAAGATTCTGGTTGTACATTGCTATTGTTGATATTTTACCATGAGGCTTAAAAAATATTTTTATGTGGAAGTTCCTAAATGTTTTTAAGTAAGTCTTCTTTGTCTCTTCCTCTTGTAAATCAAGTCATTCCGGCTCTGAGGAAGCTTCCGGTTCCGACTCAGGCAGCCAGTCAGAAAGTGAGCAGGGAAGCGATCCAGGAAGCGGACATGGCAGCGAGTCGAATAGCACTTCCGAGTCTTCTGAGAGTCCGTCTGAATCTGAAAGCGAATCTGCGGGCTCCAAATCCCAGCCAGTCCTTCCAGAAGCCAAAGAGAAGCCAGCATCTAAAAAGGAACGGATAGCTGATGTGAAGAAGGTATCATCATCATCATCCTTTTTTTTTTTTTTTTTTTTTTTTTTTTTTTTGAGACGGGCCGCTCTCTGTAGTTCAGGTTAGTTTTGAATCCATCGTGTAGCCTGGGCTGGCCTTGGACTAACGATGATCCTCCTGCTTTAACCTCTCACATGCTGGAATTACAGGCCTTAACTAGCATGCCCGGCTGTCAGTTTGGTGATGGTGTTTTGTTATCTCATAAATGAAACTAGCAGAACAACCCTTTGGATGCATAGTTCCTTGAAAAAAATGTTCCAGTAATGAAAATAGTAAATGAGGGTAAAAAAGGTTGATGCATGCGTGGTGTCTTAATTTTGCAGATGTGGGAAGAATACCCTGATGTTTATGGAGTCAGGCGGTCAAACCGAAGCAGACAAGAACCATCACGATTTAATATTAAGGAAGAGGTAAGAGAAAAATGTTTTCAGGGATACACTTAAATTCCCTGTATCGCCTCATTCATTTTGACTCTGAGGTGTGTCACTGTTAACAAGACTGAACTTCAGACATGGCAGTTAGTGACTAACGTGGACTCTCTGTTAAAGACACAGTTAAGTCAAGAGTTTAATTAGATAAAAGAAATTTATCAAAAATATCCTATAGTAGTTCAGTAGAACGTTATACAGAACTGGCCTTAAATTTTTGTTTTTAAATTTCTTATAGTGAAATTGACTGTAGCAAGAAATTGACTTTTAAAAAAATTTATCTCCTAAATTGAGTTTTTTCTTTCTTTTTTGGTCTTTTTGAGACAGGGTCTTGCTATGCAGTTCAGGCTGGCCTTGAGATCACTTTATAGCCCAGGCTGGTCTTGAACTCGCAGCGGTCCTCCTGCCTCGGCCTCCCGAGTGCTGGGATTACAGGCATGAACCACCACGCCCAGCTCATAAATTGAATTTTTTATTGAAAGATTTTTATTGAATGAGTTCATCAGTGTTTGGTGAACAGTGGGTATAGTTTTGGGCTTATTCCTGAGAAAAAGGAGAAAGTACTTAATTTAGATAATACAATTTTTAAAGTAAATTTGGTTTCCTAAGATAATTTGTAGTATGGTATATAATGTTATTTTTGAACATATTTGCTATTTGATTTAATTATAAGATTGAATAGATTGGTGATCTAATGATTTCTTTTTTTCTTTTTTGTTTTGTGTTTGGATTTTTGAGATAGGGTTTCCCTATGTATGTGTTCAGGCTAGCCTTGAACTCACAGAGACCCCCGACTCAGCCTCCCACGTGCTGAGATTGTAGGCATGTGACACCATGCCTGAGAGCATGGTGATTTTTATTTTAAATTTCATTTTATTTTTGGTACTGAGAACCAAACTCACCTCGTATTGGCTGAGCTAACTCCCTAGCCCAGAATGATGTTTTGCTTTTGATATGGTGCTTTTTGAAACTGTTTTGTGTGCAGGCTTGCTGGCCTGAAGAATCAGACTTGTCTCGCCTTCCTCAGCTTCTGTACTAGGGTATCGGGTAGTCTGAGGGTTTGTTTGTGTTTCACTGAAATGTCTCCTTTCTGTGTTCTTAGAAGGACTTTGTGAATCTTAGCTAAAACATATTCTTCATATGAAAGGTTAAATATTGACAGTTAAAGGTTATTTAATGGGGTGTGGTTTTTAGTAAATAGCATTTAAAAAGCAAATTCACCCTAATAAATGTGTTACATTTGTGATATTTGGTGCCATGTGACCTCTGACATTAAGTGAACTCTGGTTTGCCTTTTTGGTCTTTTACTTTTTATTGGTACCAGGGATTGAACTCAGGACTGCCTGCTTGCAAGGCAGGCGCTTATGCTGCTGAGCTAAATCCCCAGCCCCTGCCTTTGTTTTTTTTTAAGTAGCAGTACTGAGTGAGACTTGTTATAGCCAAATACGTAGCTGTATAAATCTTTCCCTCTTTATTATGTATTAATACATTCTTAGTAGGCCAGGGAGACCTACAGCAGTGGTAGTTGTCATTTTGCTTACGTTTTGGGAGAAAGAGTGGTTCAAATTTCTGTGACTAAAGTTTCCTTGGCCTAGTACTATTAGCAGAGCTAATATAATATAATTATATTATATTATAATGTACATGACGAGAAAAATTATTTTTAGTATCTGTTTTAGAGAAGGTGCAGTCCTTTGTACTATAGGAATTTAGGTATCTACACTTAGAAAAATTCAGATACTCAGAACTTTGCATTCAGGGATTCTCATGCCAAATAGTTATGTTGGGCTTCCATGAAAGCCCTCGTACTAGTAGCAGAGCTTGACCTCGCTAGTGAAAGTCGTGAGTAGTTAGAGCCTGTGTGGCACACTAATAAATGGAGCGCTTCTATTTCGTAGTCTAGGCGTGGTATCCAGTATGACTACTAGCAGCCACAGGTAGCCTTTCAAATTGATATTAGTGGAAATGAAATAAAATTTAAGTTCCAGTCCTTCATTCATGTGGTGGCCGGCGGCTGCTGTATTGGATGTTGCAGATACAGAGCGGGTAGAAAGTTTTATCGGATGTACTGTTGAGGAAGTTGAGCTGAGATGAATGTGACCTGGCTTTAGAAATAGCTCAATGATGAAAAAAGGCATCAGCTTTTTCTTTTTTGCCTTCCTGGTGATGGAGCCAGGGCAAGTGCTCTTCCTCGAGGCTGTACCCCAGCCTGACAGATACTGATTTCAAAGCAAAAGAAGCGTGACCTCCACTGAGTGGGTGCTCAGTTTCTTTGTGTCCGAAGTCTCCTATTGAATGTTGCTGTATTGAATAGATTGTTAACCGGGAGATGGCGTTGTCCCGAAGAACCGTGAATTAAAGTCTGTCACCGTTTTTCCCCTCCCACATTGAAGGCCAGTAGCGGGTCTGAGAGTGGGAGTCCAAAACGAAGAGGCCAGAGGCAGCTGAAAAAACAGTAAGTCCTTCCTGGGGGCAATGATGGCATCTGGTAGTGTTCCGACCACGCTCGCATTTCTGGGCCGGGCTTGATCAGGCCTGGGGCGTGCCAGATCCCCAAGGCAGTGTTGCCTGCTGCGGGCAGCTGGGGCGGCTGTGTTGTGCTGCTGTACCAGCGGCAGCGCCAGCCCGACCCCTCAGTGTGACCACAGCGGCCCATGTGCTGGCCAGACTCCGGCTTCCCTGTCTGGTTCACACCTTAGTGTAGGTTTTTTAAAAAATGTGAATAAATACCAAATATACACGGACTTGGTATTATAGTTAAATAAGGAACAAATTTAAATTTGCCATTTTTCATATTCGTTTTTTTTTTGGTGTTGCCATGACCAAGTTATATTGGCTGGGAACCTATTTTGATATGAAATTACATACTGTTGCCAGGCATGGTGGGGCATGCCTTATAATCCCTGAACTTGGGAGGCTGAAGCAAGAGAATCGCTGTGAGTTCAAGGCCAGCCTGGACTATGTAAGGAGACCTTCTCTCAAAAAACAAAACAACAAACGATTATGTACTGTTGCTTCCATATAAATACTGTAGCTCATAAGCCAAAAAATGAATTCTTAGCCTTAATGTGGAATTATAATATACATGATGAGAAAAATTATTCTTAGAAAAGGTGCAGTCCTTTGTAGTATAGGAATTTGATAGATCCTCTTAGAAAAATTAGGTTCTCAGAACTTTGCATGCTAGTTCAGGGATTCTCATGTTAAATAGTTATTGTGGGCTTCCATGAAGGGATCCCTCTACAGGGCCTCTGATTCTAAAATATATAAGGCAAATAATTTGAATTTTGAAAACCCATTTCCTTATGTACAAAATAGGGTAATACTGATTCTGCCTATCAAACAGTTATCGGAAACTCTGCTAAGATTTTGTGACATTAAAAGTAGACGATTAAGGGGCTGGGGATTTAGCTCAGCAGCATAAGCACCTGCCTTGCAAGCAGGCAGTTGTGAGTTCCATCCCTGGTACCAATAAAAAAATAGAAAAGAAAAAAAAAATGTAAAATGAAAAAAAAAAAGTAGACGATTAAAGAACTTTGCAGAAAAATCAAATACTTAATATTGTTCTGCCATGGTACATCTGATTTTTGTTTGTGTTTTATACATCGGCATTGTGGGAAGCATTTGTTCTAAGTCCATGATCAGGGTGGAGACTCTTCTCCATGAGCTACTGGCTTGTTGGCCCCTAGGGAACCTTTCTGAGGGGTCCACGTACACCAGGCTGTGGGAAGATAGCACGGGAGTCCTGGCCAGGGCCCTGGCACTCCCATCTGCACAGTGTGTGACAGCTTGGTGTGTGAGCAGCTGAGGTTCAGAACTGACACTCTCGAAACATTTTCATGCATTAGTACAAGGAAAGGCTTTTCTTGAAAGCCTGAAGATTTGGATTCAGATTGTTTAAAATAATTTTTAGAAGGAAATTAGTTGTTTTTTAAACTCTGTATGTGTTTTTGTTATTGCTTTCTTTTGGTGAGGGTGGTGCTGATAACTGAAGCCAGAGTCTGGTGTGACCTAGCTCACTGAACAACTCCTCCAGGCAAGCTGGTTTTTAAAGACATTACTTTCAGACTTTTGAGAAGGTGCAGAATAAAAATGTAGTGCAAAGAATACTTTGTGTACCATTCTTATGCGTAACAGTGAACACCTTTTTTGCCCCATTTGTTTTCTTTTAAAAATACATTTTTTTACCTGCTTTATTGTTGGAGACTACCACTTCCCTCTCTCTCCCCCCACATCTGCATACCTGTCTGAACCGTTTGAGACTAAAGTTCCTTTTTAATTCCTATATAAGGTGTATATTTTTTAAGGGTAGTTTCAGTCTTCTTGAAGTGTTTTTGTGTAATTTATATTACAGCTTTTGTCAGTTGACCCAGGATTCTGCCACTATTATAGGAGTCAGTCTAGGGCCAGGCGCTGTACCTAATTTTCTCCCCGCCCTCCTCCTCTCCCTTCTGAGGTGCTGGGGTCTTGCCACCGAGCTATATCTCCATCCCTTTATTTATTTTTTGAGACAGGGTTTTAGTAGGTCTCTGAATTGCCTAAACTAGTTTTGAATTTGCAGTCTTTCTGCTTAAGCCTCCCTAGGTGTTGGGATTATGGGTACACACCACACTACCTGACTTCAGGGTCCTTTTATCCGAAACATTTTCACAGCCTTTGCTTTTATGACACTCTGGTTTTTGAAGAATGCAGTCTTAAAAATAAATACGTTCAGGGGCTGGAGGTTTAGCTGAGCCACATAAGCGCCTGCCTTGCAAGCAGGTAGTCGTGAGTTTGATCCCCGGTACCCATAAAAAGGAAAAAGACAAAAAAAAAAAGAAATGTTCTTGAGAGAATTACAGAGGCTAGCTTTCTATAGTAGAACAGTATATTAACATTTTTTAAACTTAAAAGAAGTTATATAGCATGGTGAGCCTACATAGTATTTAAAACATTTTCTAAAATTATTTAAGCAATGTTGACAATTGAGGGCCTGGATTATAAATCTGTATTCGTAGCTTGTGTGAAAATCTGTCCATACACTAATGATGGCTATGAGTTTTCCTCCTCTTTCTTTTTGCATTCCTTACATCTTTGCTTAGCTCCAATAGAAGGATTATAACCTCTAAGTCATACAAACAAAATTGAATTTTATTGAACCCACTTGTGCTGTTTGAATTATTGAGTGACTTTCTAAAGACAGTATTTATTAGTGTTACTCAAATTGGGGCAGTTTTCTGTGGAATTTCTGCAGACTTATCACCTGATAGTGCTGAAAGATACTATAAAGGTTCCAAAACAGTTCTCCCAGTGAGGATGTTAAATATTTTGGTTGACATAATGTCACATTGTTCTATTAGTTACTTATTCCTTTCTTGTGTTTTGGATTGGGAATGTGTCATAAACCTGCAGCACAGTGGAAGTTAATTCATGTTAGTCTCAAGGGGAATCATTCATGAAAGGTGTTCTCTTGCTTAGGAAGAGCTTCTGAAAGCTGAACAGGTTTCAGCAGTTCCTTTGCTCCTTTCCTGATCTTCTAGAGTAGATGAGAAAGGAAGTCTCTTCTGTAGGCTCTTGGGAGACATGTAATAGTGAGCCTGTGCAGCTTTGGACCCAAATTCAGGTTATTGTATTTGAAAGTTGCTTGCTCATTACCTGCTTAACAGTTGCTTAGATGCACTTTGCCCCTCTCAGGGTCTGTGTTCTGCCAACCATCTTCTCCCGATAGCAGAAGGTTAACTAGATCCAATTACCTTGCATTTAGGCTCCTTGCATTTGTATATTATTTTAGAGCCTCACTGGCTAAATCTTGGTATTTACTCTTTAATTCTGAGAATTTAGGCCAAAATTCCATTGATTTCCTCTTAGATACAAAATGCAGATTTTTTTTTTTTTGTACATGAAAACTGTATTTACTATCAGTTTGTCTTAGATGACTCTTTGGATTTCGTTTTTTGTTTTTTGTTTTGTCTTTTGAGACAGGGTCTTGCCCTGTAGTTCACACTAGCCTTGAGCTTTCTATATATCCCAAGATGGCGTTGAATTTGTGACAGTCCTTCTGCCACAGCCTCCCAAATGCTGGGATTACAGGTGTGTGCCACCACTCCCAGTTTAGACTCCTTTTTGTAGCTAGAATTATAAACCATGATCTAGTTGGGATAGTGGGGATAATACTATTTTTATTTTTATTTTTTTGGTACCAGGGATTGAACTCATCACCTAGTGCTTGCCAGGCAGGCGCTCATGTCACTGAGCTAAATCTCCAGCCGATAGTGGGGATTTTTAAAATGGGTATTTTGTAAGAAGCCAGCAGTGTAGGAAAGTGAACGTGTATGACAGCCTTGTGCCTCTATAAGGGCAGGAAGTAACCTTTTTATGAATGATAGTGTTTCACCTCTTCTTACAGGGTGATTTAATGTTGCTGATTCTGTTTTTGTTAATGAAAATACAAGCATAAAGTAATACTGCTGGTTTCAGACACAAGTAACATCCACTGAGGCCTCTTACATCCACAGTTGTCTGGGTGTTCCTGGGGTTGGTAGGGCTGGAGGTTTGCTGTAGGTTTGCTACAGTAAGGTGACTTACTCTCACTGGCATTTGGTCCCTTTCTGGGAGGAGAGGTTAAGGCCAGTTGATTTCCTAAAGCGCACCCTGCCCCATATTGGGAGATATAAAGTTTTCCTACTTGTCTATAAATTAGTAATTTGAGTGGAGAGTTCTAGTGTCAGTACACATTTTTTTCAGTGTTTTCTGCCATTTTAGTCTCCCATTCTTGTAGATGTAGACCTTATTGGTGGCTCTGGTTTTGATTCTCAGTTCCTGGAAATATATGTACGTTAGAACTGCTCATTGACTGTTGATCTTTCTCACCAGATCTGTGCTTTTTGAGTCTTAATTGTTCCTATTTTAAGCTTTTTTTCTGGTGAAATCACTTCTGTCTAGTGTGACAGTAAGCACCATCTGAGGAGAAAACTTGGTCTAGCGGAGACTGTAGACCCAAGCATCAGTCTCATTTGCTAGGACCATCTTCCGTTCTGCAGACCACCTTCTGTAACTTGGATTCTTTAGTAGACATTTATTTTATTAGGCTCTAGGGAAGCAGACAGAATAAGACAGGAATCTAGAATGGTTAGCTGTAAGTCTTTGTTTTAAAGAGACTGATAGATATTAACTGATAACAGGTCTTACTGTGTTAAGGGTTCTTCTGAAAGTACTCTGCATGTCTGACTGACAGACTGATAGGACTCATTCCTTAGTATTGTTGCTTAACAAAGGAGCATTTCTTGTTAAGCTCTGGTACAAATTGGACAAAAAAGACATGCAAGAAGTTGCCTACTACTAGAGAAAGGGGTATGAGTGTACACAGTAAAAGTACCACTCCAAAGGCAGATTAGGGTGTAGATAGGGTAACTCATGTAACCTTTAGAAAAAGCCTAAGCATCTGTAGTCAGTCTCTTTCTTGGAACAAGCTTTCACTATTATTTTTGACCTGTTCTTCTATAAAAAAATACTGATTTGACTTTGCAGTTCAATAACAGTTGTGTTTAGTATGACCTGATTTCATAATGAGATGGAAAAATCTGAAAGCCACCCATCTGGACCCTGAAGTGGTAATTGCAAAAGTAGCCAAGCAGATGAATGAAACTCTAGGAAAAAAAAGTCAAATCAGAAATAATTTCTCAGATAACTACAGAGATGGTGACTGTAGTAAAAGACATGCTTGGTGGCACTAGAGCAGATACAGATAAAATAAAGGAGCTTAGGAAAATGATGACCAATGAATGACCAACATAGGAAATAAATGGAATCCATGAAACAGATTCAAACATATCCAGGAGATTAAAAATTGCATTGAAAATATATGCAGCAGAATGAATCAATATGAAGAAAGAATTTTGATGTAGAAAACAGGACTGGGGTTAGTGATTATGAAAAGAAAGTTCTTTCAATCTAGCAGCTGCTAAATGATACAAAGAAGAATGACATAAGATTGATTAGGGTCAGTGAGAAAGCAAGATGTGCACTTTTTCAAACAATCTCAGCTGAGAGACAGGGTGAGAGGAGGAGGGAGGGAAAGAAAGAGAGTGTCCTTTATTGCAGGCATGGGAGGGCAGCAGAGGAGTGGAAAAGGGGGAACTGGGGAGCGGCTTTTATGAATTGGGCTGGGGGTGGAGTGCTTAGCTGGTTGTAGAGTCTTGGGATTGGAGAGGGCGTGGTACATGCACAGTTGAGGGGCAGTGGGAGTTCTATTTCTGGAACTCAAAGAACCCAGAAGCTGCTTTTGGAGAGATACGCTGCAGTTTTTTGGGGCCTGGTGCCAAGTTGGACAGATGTTGTATTATAGATAGCTAAGCCCCAAACTGGCAGAACCCATCACACATGCCTGCTCACAGAAGTCATGGCAGAAATTTCCCAAGCAGGGAAAAAGAATTGGATATGCAGATAAGTAAGGCGTGTAGAACTCCCAATTAGCCATGATGGGAAAAAAAAGGAACCTACACTGAGGCATATACAGTATTCAAATTCCAGAAATTCAACATCAAAACAGAATATTAAAAGCTGTTAGAGAAAAGACACAAACCACCTATGAAGAAAAGCCCATCAGATTCACAGCAGACTTTTCATCACAAACTCTGAAGTCACGGAGAGCTTGGAGTGAAGTATTTCAAGCCCTGAAAGAAAACAGCCTCCAACCCAGATTGATATACCCTCCAAAACTTACCTTTCAAAATTGATGGAGAAATAAGATACTTCCAAGACAAAGAGCACCTGAGGAAATCCATGAACACCAAACCAGGCCTCCAAAATGTTCTGAAGGACATTCTAGAAAGAGATAATAAAGATTACAACTCCGTGAACCCCAACAGAATGAATCGGCCTGGCAAGAGAAGCAATTCAACAAGAAAATAACATGACAAGAGTAAGTCAATACATTATTAGTTATGACCATCAATGGGTCAGATTCATTAATCAAAAACACTGATTGGATAGATCAAGAAGCAAGATCCAAAATATGCTGCATACAAGAAACATATTTAATTCAAAAAGAAATTCATAGACTGAAGGTCAAGGGAGGGAAAACAATACTGTCTGTGACAGGAACCCAGAGAAAATCAGAGATAGCTATTCTATTTGCAGACAAAGTAGTTTTCAAGCCAAGACATTAAAAGAGACAAAGGTCAGTATATCCTTGTAAAGGGAACGATCCAAGAGGAAGAGATAATCCATCATAAAAATAGATACACCAAGTACCCATGCACCCAACTATTTAAAACACATATTAGCAGATATAAAAAATCAAATAAGCACTAAAATATGACCTTATTTCCTATAAAGTTACCAGAGGCACAGTGGTAATTGTTTTGTTTACAAAAAAATTTCAGGTATTGCCTGCCAGTTTTTTAATAGCCTTGTTGTTAGTAAGTACTCCTTTGCCTCCCTGCAATTGAGAAATGAGCTGGGTCCCTGAGATTTCTTTGGTTTTTAGGAAGACATCTGTTGGTTGTGGCTCCTTCAAGCCTTCTAAGATCTCAGGGAGTGAAAAAAAATCACCCACCTTATCTAATAAGTGTAAAGACTATTCCATTGTTTGAACAGGCCATTCAGTTCAGTGGTAGCTTTGTAACTGAAAAATAATTTCGGGACTTTTTCTTATTTCAAGACAAGGTCTTACATAGCTCAGATTGGCCTTGAACTCATCATGTAGCCTAGGCTGGCCTCTTGACTTATGGATGCCCTGCTTCAGCTTCCCAAGTGTATTTTTTAAAGTATATTCTAAAGCCTGAAAACATGTAATATAATGGTTCTTAATCAGTTTAAAACTACTATAAAACTATTAATCAGCATTGTGTGTGGTTTTGTTAAAATTCAAAGTCTCAGGCCTCACTTGAAACCTCCTGATCTGAACACCATATATATTTGGGGCCTGGCAGTCTTTTTTAAAAGAATCAGTTGGTTCTGATGCATGCTAAAGTTTGGGGACCTTTGATTTGGTGTGTATTATAGCTTCAGTCTTTTCCATGATGTGGTAGTAAATCAAAATACATCTATATTTTCCTTTTTTATATTTCGTTACCAGAGATAAAGTAGGAATAGATAGTATGTAATGCAACTAAAACTTTAAAGGAGTTAAAATAAATCTCTTCTGGTAGATCTCAAAATATGCATGCTGTGCATTTCAGATAACCAAGTTGCAGTTTGTTAGGTCAGATGGCTTAGCTGGAAGAATTCTTGTAGAAAAAAGTTGTTTTGTTTTGATTTTGATTGCAGAGAAAAATGGAAACGGGAGCCCTCCGAAGACGAACGGGAACAAGGCACTAGTGCAGAGAGTGAACCTGAGCAAAAAAAAGTGAAAACAAGAAGACCTGTGCCCAAAAGGTGCATGTTTGCTTCAGAGTCCTTGACACGGGCTGAGCCTCATTTGAAGGGTGCTGTCAGGCTGATGCGAGTGCTGTGGTAGAATCCAGTTGTGATTCTGGTTCTGGGTCCTGTGTTTACTTGGTGCTGGCCTGCTGTCACCAAATGGTCACTGTGGGTGTTTGCAGGGCGGTAACTCTTAACTGTGATCTAAATGCTTATTATTATTTCATCGCAGTGTAGTATGTGTAGGCATGTCTTCTGCTTTAAAAAAAGTCTGTGTGTGGTGCCAGGAAATACATGCCTTCCTGAGAAATCTTCTGTTTGTTTTGTTTTTGGTGGTACTGGGAATGGAATGCAGGGCATTCACCTTGAATGCTTATATCCAGGTCTTACGAATTTTTTAAGATGAGGGTCTCACTAAATCAGCGAGGTACTTGGTTAGTGCTGGGCTTGAAGCTGCAACACCATGCCTAGCTGGGAGGCCTGATTCTTTTTTCTTTTTTTTTTACTTAGACTTTTCCATTTTAATTTTCTTTTTAAGTTTTCATTTTTTACTATTACGTTTGCATTAGGTAATGATTGGTGTGTGTACATAACACATTTTAATTTTGGTTTTGATCTTCCCTTTTTGTCTCTTGGTCCCCCCTTCATCTGGAAAAGATGTATCTCCCTATTTTGTATCTTTTCATCCATTTTTATTTTATTCTTTATATTTTGAAATTCCCATATAAGAGAAGCCATGTAAATATTTAGCTTGTGTGTCTGGTTGGTTTCACTTACATTATGGTCTCAAGTTGTATCCATTTCCTATAAATGACTCATTTTGTGTAAATGCCACATTTTCTTGTGTTTCCTTTTTTATTTTTTGTGGTACTTGGAATTGAACTCACGACTTTGTGCTTGCCAGGAAGGTGCTGTGCCACTGAGCTACATCCCCAGCCCAGCCACATTTTCTTTATCCAGTCATCTGTTGGTGAACAATGGAGAAGCAGCCCTTTCTCCGTACAGACCCTCCAACATTTGTTATTGGTTGATTTCTTGATGTTAGCCATTTTTTCCAGGGTGAGGTGAAATCTCAGTGTTTTAATTTTCATTTCTCTAATGACCAACTATGAACATCTTTTTCATATATTTGCCATTTGTATTTCTTCATCTGAGAAGTGTGTATTCATTTCAGATGGCCATGTTTGGATTGGGTCTTTGGGAATCACCTTTCTGTTGAAAATGTTCATGTCTGGTGAAGAGAGTATGCTTTTTTTTTTTTTTTTTTTTTTTTTTTTTTTGTCTTTTTGAGACAGTCTTGCTGTGCAGTTCTGGTTGGTCTTGAACTGACTTTGTGGCCCAGGCTGGTCTTGAACTTGCAATGATCCTTCCTGGCTCAGCCTCCTGAGTGCTGGGATTACAGATGTGCGCCACCATACCTGGCATGGGAATATGCATTTTTAGTGTTACTCAGATGAATCTATTTATGGGACTGAGGATACAGGTCCTGGGTTTGATTCTCTGTACCCTCTCACCCCTATCACAATGAATTCTGTTTGTGTACCACCAGTATGTAGCTTTAAAGTAGATCACAATTGATAAAGAGTTTGTCGTATTTTCTCTTATTTTAGAACAGTACCCAAACCTCGTGTTAAAAAGCAGCCTAAGATCCAGCGTGGAAAAAGAAAAAAACAAGATTCTTCTGATGATGAGGATGAAGATGACGAAGCTCCAAAAAGGCAGACTCGTCGGAGGGCAGCTAAAAATGTCAGGTGATTTGTGGCCCAGCAGTTGTTCACTGGTGGGAATGCAGTGGTGATGTTGGGCTAGAACTCGTTCTGAGAAGGGAAAGATTATGCACTTAGTATGTAATAATAACCTGTATCTAAAGTGTTCTTCAGAAATCTGGTCAGTCTTCTTGGACAAAGAAAGATGTTAAGCCAGCTGAAACAGGCGGTTGTAGCAGTAGCTCATTTTAAAATGTTTCAGGTTCATGCCCTGTCTTTATAGTACTTTATAGTATTTTAATTCTATAATTCTTTCAGGGAAAATGTTTGCATTATATTCTCAATTTTGAATTATTCTTCTGAAGCATACACGTGTTTTTGAGGTTTGTTCAGTTCATATTTGGTTATAATTTTATAAAATAGTAATAGACTATGAAGCATGAACAGTGAAACAGATATATTGAAAGTTAAAAAAAAAAAAAAAAAAAAAGAAAGTTAATATTTTACTTGATTGAAATGAAAAAGTTTTTTTTTGGATCTTTTTTTTTGGCACCAGGGATTGAACTCACGACCTTGAGCTTGCCAGGCAAGCACTTATGCGGCTGAGCTAAATCCCCAGCCCTGAAAAAGTATTTTTTTTTTTTTTTTTTTTTTTTAGTACCGGGGATCAAACTCATAACCTTGCACTTGCCAGGCAGGCACTTACACTACTGAGCTAAATCCCCAACCCCTGAAAAAGTATTTTCTGATGTAACATTTGAGGTTTTTTTTTTTGATCTACTTGAAAATAGTGAAACTGAATTCTGGATACACTAGTAACTTGTCCCTTGCATTTAATTAATAAGTACAAACTTAGGACTAGGCTTTAAATATGCTGGTGTATTAGCATATTTTCTTACAAACTGTGCATTTCAAATTAGGTTTTTCTTTTTTGGACTCTCAAACTTCTGTGACTAATATAGTGTAAAAGTTAACAGTTTATGTTTTATTACTAAGAACTATACTTGTGAAAATTCCCAGTATTTTGGTAGTATTAAATTTTATCATCTTATTATTGTGAGACAAAATACAGAGGTGAAACATTTAATCTTCCCTGTTAGAAAGAGTATCAATTTTTCTTGTCATTATTCATTTTCTTTCTTTGTAGTGGTTTTCTTGTTTACATAATATGAGCAGATACTAAAACATGAAAATATGGGCATCCCAGTTTTTTGTATCTTGCTTATACAAATTAGTATAAAATCAGTGTTTTGAGTTTGAAATATGAGTTAGTCTTCTTGCTGTATCTGTGAGCATGCATCAATACTTTAGGGGAAAAGTAGTACAGAGTCTACCAAGTGGTCTATAAAATAGCTTGTTGGGACCAAGAGTGTAGCTTCTCACTTCAGTGAAGTTAGGTGTGGACATGGGTAATTCTCAACATGTAGTTCGTCATCGATTCAGCATTACTTTTCATGCAGTTATAAAGAAGATGACGACTTTGAAACTGACTCAGATGATCTCATTGAGATGACTGGAGAAGGAGTTGATGAACAACAAGATAATAGTGAAACCATTGAAAAGATCTTAGATTCCAGACTGGGAAAGAAAGGAGGTACGTGTGTTTGGGGAGGAAAACACTTTTCATAGCCTCTCAGTAAGGCTCAGCTTTTGTGTGTTTTAACTAAGATGGTGAATGTTAGTCAGCACTTAACATTTTTTGTGCAAAGTAGAACTCTTGACCTAATCATCTTGTTTCAAGAGCTAACAACCAAGAAATGGATCCAATATGTGTTAGAGATTTTAAGTAAATCTAGTAAAGTGTTAGTGTTTTAAAAAGCAGTGATAGAATACAGATAACTTGCCTTTTAGATATTTGCTTATTAAGCAAGTCTGGATCTAGTTTCTGAATGTCTTAGTAAAAATACTGACTTGGTTAAATACATATTGGGATAATAGTTTTTAAAATCTAGTTGATACCAGACAAGGTGGGTCTCACCTATAATCCTAGCCCTTGAAAGGCAGATTGCCATGAGTTTGAGGTCAGCCTTGGGCTACACAGTGAGTTCAAGGCCAGCCTGGACTGAATAGTGAGACCTTATCTCAAACCAAAACTGTAAACCAAAGTAAACTATGTTTAAGAGATCTAACAACTTAGCTGCTTTAAAGCAACTCATTATAAAATATAAAAATAATACTTAATACCTTTTCTTTTTGTCCATGTATTCTGGCTTCATTTGAGATAAAAGGTACTGAAACTTAGGGAGGGTGGAGAAGGGAGGTTTTTCTTTTTTTTGACAGGGTTTTACTCTGGCCTTGAACTCATGATCCTCCTTCCTCAGCCATGTAATGTGCTGGGTCATGGGCATGAACCACGGTGGCTGACAGGGAGGGTAGTTTGACTTTTGTTCTCTAGCAGTACCTGCAAAGAGGACTTGGGTTGTTGAGTAATTAGAGACCAACACATAGGATATTGCTGCTCTATTTTTGTTAAGTTTTGACAGAGGATTTCTTTGATTTCACCTGCAAATTGTGCACTATGTTAAAAATAGGTAAGCATTTTAAAAATACTTGAAATTACTGAGTTCATAGTGCGTTGTGAGCTTGTGCTTATTTCAAGTCACAGTATTTGATGGTTCATCCAGAAAGACTTTATATAACTGCTTCCTTAGGAAGCTTTTCGCTGTGTAGTTTCATATCTGCTCTTGAAAGCTTACTGAATTCTTCTGCAGCCACTGGAGCTTCTACTACAGTGTATGCTGTTGAAGCTAATGGAGACCCGAGTGGTGACTTTGACCCTGGGAAGGGTGAAGGTGAAACCCAGTACCTCGTCAAGTGGAAGGGGTGGTCTCACATCCACAGCACATGGGAGAGTGAAGAGTCCTTACAGCAGCAGAAAGTGAAGGGCCTCAAAAAGCTAGAGAACTTCAAAAAGAAAGAGGATGAAATCAAACAATGGTATATTTTCCATCATGGGTTAACGAGATCTGGCTGGCCTGAGGAAAGGGAAGGTTCTAAAGTAATTCATGGAGAATATAGCTTACTTAAGATAATAGATTTTTCCTAGATCATCTGGACATGTAGCCACATGTAAAATTAAGATTGGGAGACACTGTGTTTTTGTATGGCTACTAAGTTTTTAGAGTTATTATCCAGCTTAGTGAGCACTTGTGACACATCGTCCCTTCAGCCTTGAGAACAAGGGTGGAAGAGCTGTAATGTTGTTACCCTGTTTTTTAGATGGCAACACTGTGGCACAGAGAAACTCAGCAAGTAAGCCCAGCATGTGATTTAGGCGCCTTTAGTCTGGAGCCTATTCTCTGAAGTGCCTTGTTATTCCCGTGTGGGAAGCCTGGCGTGGTTCAGGTGCGAGGAGTTGGTAGTCCAGAACTCTGAATTAGGCACACTTAAAACTAAGCTTGGTTTTACAATTGACAGGAATTATGTGAGGTTTTTTTTTTTTTTTGGTCTTTTTCCTTTTTACCGGTACCGGCGATCGAGCTCACGACTGCCTGCTTCCAAGGCAGGCGCTTATGCCACTGAGCTAAATCCCCAGCCCCATATGTGAGGTATTTTTAAAAAAACCTCAGGCTGAAGTGTAAAGACTACTTCAGGGACAGATTGAAATAAAGAAGTTTCTTTTCCTACCTTGGGTTTTTGCTCTGATTTGTGTGTGTAGATCTCCAAAATCTAATTGGTATATGCCTTTCTGTTTGTCTTCTGCCCAGGTTAGGGAAAGTAACTCCTGAAGATGTAGAATATTTCAATTGCCAACAAGAACTGGCCTCAGAGTTGAATAAACAGTATCAGATAGTAGAAAGAATAATAGGTAAGTACGTCGAAACTCAGGTAGCCATGTGTAAAACCGAAGAATGAACGCTGGGCTGGGCATGGTGGCACATGCTTGTAATCCTAGCACTTGGGAGGTAGAGGCAGGGTGATTGCTGCAAGCTCGAGGCCAGCAGAGACTACATTGTTAAAGGCCAGCCTGAGCTAAATAGTGAGATCCTGCCTCTACAAACACACACACAAAAGCACTTTTCTGTTAGGAGACTAGAAATTAAAAAATGCATTTAGAGGTGTACTTTTGGAGACTAGACTGGTGAATAGATATATTTTGAATAAAAAGATAAACAATTTGCTTACAGATTTGGGTGTGAGCAATTGGGGTCAAAAATGATGACAACAAGGACTAGGGATTTAGCTCAGCACCTGCCTTGCAAGTGTGCAGGTGTGAGTTTGAGCCTCGGTACCAAAAAACCAAAAATGATGGCAAGATTTTTGGCCTAGATAGATATATATATATATATATATGTAAGTAGAGGTACCATTTACTGAAATGGAAAGATGAAGAGGAATCTGATTTGGGGCATGAAACTTGAATTTAGGTTGATATTTAATGATTTGATTGGAAAGTAGATTGAAGCCTGGAACATAGGTCAGGTGGAGTTTAGAACTTTTAGTGTGGGTTAGAGGTTTAAAGTTGACTCTTGTAGTGGGGAGGTAGTGTTAAAATCTTAAGATTTAATGAGGTCATCACACGAGGTGAGAAGATGAAGCCAGAGGGAGCCCTCCAGGGTATGGGAGTGTGAAGGAAGCTAGCAAGGGAGGCGGAGGAGCATTATCTGGTGAGGAGGCAGCTGGAGGAGACTGGGCCTGGGGGCCAGTGGCCATCGGCTGCAGTGAAGGGAGTGCCGCTCGTCTGGGTCATAGGCATGGTCTAGTGAATGGACCCATGTGATGTTGCAGTGCAGCCCTAATTGGGTTGTGCTCAAGAGTTACTGAGAAGGGGTTCCAAGTGAGTCACTGGGGGAATTTTATTTAAAAAGGGAACAGAGAACTGGGAATGATAGCCTGAGATGGGGAAGAGTGAGAATAAGAATTTTTGTTTGGTTTTTTGAGGAGATAGGCCTTTGTTACATAGTCCAAGCTGGCCTTAAACTTAATGTTTTTGGAAGCCTAGGCTAGCTTCAAACTGGTAGTCTTACAGCCTTAGCTGGCTAGATTATAGGCATGTCAGTACCACCTGTGCCTTAAGACTTTTTTTTTTTTTTAATTTTGAGAGTGTCTTGCCAGGTTGACTACCATATTTGACTTGAACTTGCACTCCACGTCTCAGCCTTCCAGATTGCTAGGCTTACAGGTACTACCACGCTTGCTCAGAAAAACTTCTTTGGCATTTTGACATATCAGTCATCCCTGAGCACTGGGTACTTGGTGAAGCACATTACCCAACCTGCAAGTCACAGCCTTTTGCAAAGAGAGTATTGAGCCCAGGGAGTGCTAAACTCCATACCTCTAACCCTTTTTATTTTTTACTTTCTGTACTCCAAGTCTTGCTGTTCATGTAAACAATTTTTATTTTTTATCAGTACTGTCATTTTCTTTTTGGGACCAGTACTGGTGATTGAACCCAGGGCCTTCACACTGACAGTCTCAGCAGCCTTATTTTTTTTTTTTGTCTTCCCCAAATCCATTTTATTCAAGGATAGCTTTTATTTGAGACATGGTTTTATTAACATACTCAGGCTAGTTTTGAATGTAGAAATCTTCCTGCCTCAGCTTCTCATATTGTTGGTGTTACAGGTATGTCACAGGCCTGCCTACAGAATTTTTTTTTAATGTGATAAATTGTATTTGCTCTCTCTCTTTTCTCTTGTCCCTTTCATTGTAGTAATTGTATTTGTATTCTTTGAATAAGAACCTTTTTCTCAGTTTTTCTTGATATGATTGTGACCTTGTTTTTGTCTTTGCATTTATTTAGCGGTAAAGACAAGCAAATCTACATTGGGCCAAACAGATTTTCCAGGTAAGAGATCTTGTTTATAAATGTTCAGCATTTTATAGCACTTTTTGTTTTATGAATCACTTAACAGTTTTTCTTGCCTGATTATGCCTTTAACAGTTGTTGACCTATGACTTTTATATGTGATATGATATAGCTCACAGCCGGAAGCCTGCACCTTCAAATGAACCTGAGTATCTATGCAAATGGATGGGACTGCCCTATTCAGAGTGTAGCTGGGAAGACGAAGCTCTGATTGGAAAAAAGTTCCACAACTGTATCGACAGCTTCCATAGTCGAAACAACTCGAAAACTATACCAACAAGAGAATGCAAGGTGTAGTGACTGTTGGCTTCAGGTTTTCAGGGAAAGGATAGTCACATGGGTTGAGAGGAGAAAATATTATAAGAGTAAAATGACCATTTTTGTTTTGAAGTGAAAGAAGACACAAATGTGACCTTAAAGAGAAACAGTTATACTGAAAGGAGAGGATGAGTTGGAAGTTGCTTTACTTAGTGTTCTTGTTGCTGAGACAAATTACCTAACCCCCAAAGTTGGTTTATTTGACTCAGTCTGTAGAGGTTTCAGTCCATATCTGACTGGAAACAAGGCAGGGCGGGTGGCAGAGGGGAATCGCAGTGGAACAGTTTGTGGGAGCCGGAAAGTAGAAGGTAGTAGGCAGCACGGGACAGCAGCTGGCAGCAGCTCTCTTTCCCCCTCCTATTTTATCTGGGTACCTGTCCTTAAGCACACCCATCGTGGGACACCTTTAATGCTTCCCAGAACTATGCCAAAATCAATAGTGGACAGAGTTAGTAATCAGACACCGTTAATCCCAGCCTTCCATACTGGATTCAGCCATCTCTGAAAAGCCCCATTTGTAACCATTTGAGGCTTTGGGGAGTCAGTTGCATTGAGACAGAAGCATTAACAATGGTTTTTCTGGCTTCCTTAGTTTTGTAACTCCTAACTGGGTATATTAGGATATTAGTTAAAGATTTAGGTACTTTAGAAGAGGGGATTGGGAAAAAGATGTCTCCAGATTATAAAGTAGAAACCAAATGAACGATATTTTTTATTTGTTGAATTGGTTATTCAACTTTTTCTCCTTCATTGTAATTTATTCCATTTGGAGAGGCTTAGGCGTGGGTTCTCAGAGCAGTCAATTTGTATGTGAGACATGTATTCTGCTTCTGAGATGTTGACTTTCATGTTAATAGGACCAAATTTATGTCTGAAAAACCAGTGATTGATTCCTGGTCAAGTGAGTTTTCTGGTTGAGTCTATGGCTAGAGGAGTCCTGAGGTGAAGTCGGTGAGCTCCGTGCTTGAAGGGGTTTCAGGAGAGTATCTTCATGGTGGAGTTGGCCCCGGGAAGGAGGGTTGGTGCATGATGCATAGGCGAGACGGAGTGAATGGGGCTGCTGTCCCATGGAAGGTACCCAGAGAAAATTGTCGTAATGCCAATTTACTCAGAGAAAAGCTTTTGTATTGTAGACCTCAGAGAAGAGGGAAATGATACTGGTGAGTGTATTTAAGCGAAAATGTCTGTGCCGTGACTACCTTTAGGAAGGGCATTTTGATTTTACTCTGTGGGTACTGATACCCTATGAATAGTGCTGCAGGGTGAAAGCAGTGTTTTGTTTAGAAAGCTTCATCTAATGGCTGTATGTAGGAGACTGGAGCCTAAGGATCCATCCCTTAGATGTCATAGAAGTTGTGATGATGAATTCACGTGAGGGTAAGGAAAATACTGGTGGCATGATGGGCCAGGTTTGGCAGGAGCTGGTGGATGAAGGCTTGGTGTTCGGGGTGTGAGTGAGAAGGCAGCATTTATTCACTGCCACGTTCTCTTGTAGGAGAGCTGTAGCCCTCCAGACCTTGGCAAATACTGTGTTGGGGTCATATTACTCAAGATAGGGTGAAAAAACTTGTGTGGCAAAATAACTTTGTGATGGTTTGTTTCTGAATAAATTTCTCTTATAAATTCACATTAATACTTGCCTTTAGCAAACCAAATTCATGTATTTGCGGGCCTTAACAGTGGGGGACTGCATCTCAGAATTTATGAATTCTATTGTAATTAGAGGATAATAGGGTTTCCTACTTAGCTGCATTTAGGATATGACAGACTTTCTTATAGATAATTGTGGGGTTTTTTTGTTTTGTTTTTTTAAGACTTTGTAGTGTAAGTGCCCTCAAATTCATGATCATCCTACCTCAGACTCCAAAGTTCTGTCATTTCAGGCATGTGCTGTCCTGCTCTGCCTGTTATGTACTTTCTAGAATAAGACAGCATAGGGATGACTGCTGCTGTATTGTAAGGGTAACATAAAAATTAGGGACACTTTAATGTTGTTTACAAACTTATTTTAGGAAAGGAGCAAGGTAACTAAAATATTTTATTTTAGTATGAACTCTAGGAATAGAGTACCAGAAAAGGGGGAGCAGACTGGGAATGGTGATTCACTGTGCAATTTCAATTTCTGAGCTTTGGTGTGGCGTATATAAATTATGGTAGGATTTTAATTTAGGAACAGAGAAAATTTTTTTATACTATGGCTTTGATAATTTTTGTCTTTCAGGCCCTTAAACAGAGACCACGATTTGTAGCTTTAAAGAAACAGCCAGCATATTTAGGAGGGGAAAATCTGGAGCTCCGAGATTATCAGCTAGAAGGTCTCAACTGGCTCGCTCATTCCTGGTGCAAGTAGGTCGACAATATGTTTGATGTTTTCTTTGCTGTTTGACTTCTGTATGGTTGGTTTCTGTAGTTACCAAGTGCTGGGAACCCACACAAGGTCTTGAGAATTTCACAAGTACACTGTATGTAAATTGTAGAGAAAAACAGGTGCATTTGAGATTTATGAAGTATATATCCTCATTCCCCCTTTAGGTACTTTGCTCTTTTCTATACTTTTCTTTTAAAACTAGTTATTCTGTAGAAGTCTTGTTTTTCTAGTCAATTATTTTGCCTTAACCTGTAAATTGCTTTTAGTGCTCTCTGGCTCACTAATCAAGTATATATTATATATGTGCAAATCACCAGCACCATTTTTTTATTCTCAGTGGCCATATATTAGAGAAATGTCTTATGTGTGCAACCTTACATCATACACAGATGCATCCCCAGCTTCCTGCCATTTGGGATACTTTTTATTTTCCAAACATAACTTCCCTATATATATTTTTTTCAGCTTTTTATCTTATATTTGTACATTTTTTTCTATTAATATCTTCTGAGATCTAGCTCAGTTTTTTAGAGCAGTGTTTCTGAAACTATGGTCCAGTGGATGTCTGCTTTTGAATCTTCAAAGGTACTTGTTAAAAATAAAGACTCTTGTGCTCTATTCCAGATACTTTAATTCAGTAGATGTAGGTTGAGGTTCTAGAAATCTGATGTGCAGCCTGTCTCCTGTAGACTCAAGTATGTAATAGAAGTCCTGTGTACCTACAGCAGGTCCAGGGAATAGTGGAGGTAGCCTTAAACACCTGGTAACATGCACTAGAATGGAGTAGATAAGTTGAATATGGTGGGCTATAGGACTCAGCAGCAGTGCTGATAACTAGTTTGCTCATGTTTTCCGTATTGGTGGGATCCAAGGCTATACTGTACAAATCTATAATACTTGTGTACTCTTAGAGGGGGTACCCTAGGGAAAAAATATAATTCAGAGCCCTAAATGCAGAGTAAAGAACATAAGTCTAGATGGGTTCTCACAGTAATTTGAATCTGGAGTATTCTTGTAGGTCTCTGGTCGTCTGCTGTGTATGACTTCTAGTTTCTTCCTTATGTGGGAAATTTAAATAATTGCAGATAAGGATATGTGTGTGTTTGAGACTGGTGCTTTTCTGTGCTGTCATTGTAAAGCATTTAATGACAGTACAGTTTATGCACATATTTGTTTTTGATGAGCTAATGATTGTTTTGTTTTGACTTTTTCCTGCAGAAGTAACAGTGTAATCCTTGCTGATGAGATGGGCCTAGGAAAGACCATCCAGACCATATCATTCCTCTCCTACCTGTTCCACCAACACCAGCTGTATGGACCCTTTCTTATAGTCGTCCCTTTATCCACCCTCACCTCATGGCAGAGAGAGTTTGAAATCTGGGCACCAGAGATAAACGTAGTGGTTTACATAGGTGACCTGATGAGCAGAAATACGGTGTGTAAACAAAAAGAGTTGGGATAGAATATGTTTTGTAAATGTTTTAGAAATTGATCTAAAGTCTTTTGTAGAATTATTAGTGAAGTGTGTAGTAAAATTATTCTGCTATTATTCTGTGTCCCTAAAATTAGTAGTTTTATATGTAATAAAATGCATGTCAGCTATTCTTTAAAAATATGATTACTATTTAAAGAAAAGGAATAGCAATAGATGAGTGGGATTCTTGCTTAGCTGGATTGCAGAATTGATTTTCCTCACTCTTCTTTATGCTCCCAAGGCTACTTTGCATAAAGATTGTAAAATGAAGTTAATACTTTGTGGAGAGTTAATTACTGTTTGTTTGTTTATAAAGGAAATAGTAAAATTATTTATTCTTAGTCAAATATGAGTGACCTTGGCCTAGGAATAGAGATTCAAATTACCTTGAATGACATGGTGCCATGAAAAAAATTACGTGAACATTTATAGCTAAAGAACAAAGTCATAAATCAATATATTTAACAAATACATTGGTAGAGGTGTTAGGCCAGCTGTAGAAAAGCAGGAATACTTTTTATATTTAAATAGAGATTTCTGAAAATAATTGAGTTCTTAGATTTTGCTTCCTGGTATCATAAGTGAAGTAGCTTAATTTATAAGAAGGAAATAAAAACAAAGTAAAGTAGTATATTTCAGGGCTGAAGAAAGGAAAGGTATTTGTTTCTTACCAATCTTTAGTAAATATCATAAATTTAGTACTAGAATAAATTTATTTTTGTTCAGCAGATCTTTTATAGAGTAACAACTAACTTTTTAAAGAAGTGTCTACAGTATGCCAAGCCTTTCGTTGCATGCTTTTATTCGAAGTTGATGGTAGTCTTGTTTGTTTGCAGTGCTAGAGATTGAGCCCAGGGCCTCATACATCTTAGGCATATGCTTTACTGCTAAGCTGCATTCACAGCCTATTAAGGTTGATTGTGATCTTTCTAAATCAGATAGCTAGAGTAGAACTGGAGTTGGAGAACATAGGTGTATGTGGTCCAAAGCTTTGCCTTTTTACCAGTGTATGTAAATACTTTTCTAGGAGATGGCTTTATAGTAAGAGTAAGTCATGAGACATTTTAGGTATGTGCTATAATAGTGTATTTTCTCATGTTTTCAATTTAATAAGAGTTTTCAACTCTTATTAAATATATTCATTAAAAGTAATTCAGTTCCAAGTGTGGTGGCACAGGCTTACGATGCCAAGATTTGGAGAGCCTGAGGCGGGAGGATCACCCCAAGTTTGAGTTCCAGTTGGGCTAACACAGTGGATTAAGGTCAATTTAGATTCTAAGTAAGACTGTCTCAACAGTAATAATAGTCTATGAAACTGTAACCCATTTCATTACCCTAGGAATATTACTAGATAGCTTTGGTTATGTATCAGTCATTAAAAGAGAGGGGAAAAAGATCCACGATCCTAGCCCTCAGGATGCTTGAGGTAGGAAGATTGTGGGTTCAAGATTGGCATAAGCTATTTAGTGAGGCCATGGATAGACGGGAAGACAGAGGTCTGGATTATGAAAAATAGCTTCCCAAGCAGATGGCAAATGAAGAAATGGTTTAGTCACAGACAGTTTTTGTGGTCCCCAATACTCTTTTTCTGTGGTCTTACTTGGTCATTTCCTGCAGGCACTCACTGTCTTATCTCTGATTTTAGTACACATGCTGCCACAGTGAGCACTTGAGCTTTGATTTTTAACTTGGAAAACTGCAAGAACTTTGTTGTTAACTATTTTGCTTGCTTTGTTTCTGGGTGTACTTGAATATGGACATGTTAGCTGATGTATCTCTTTGCAATGACAGTTTTAATTATATTTTTGTCCTGTAAGGTTCTTTCCTTTTTTTTGGCGAGCACCTCTCTTGTTCTGAAATTTCTGACCCAGCCTGAGGTTCAAACTTGTTTTTTTTCTTAAGAAAATTTTAGGGATTTGGGGAATCCTCTTTAGTTCAAGTGGCCAGGGTTTAATTGTTTGATAGTGTACTTTCTTGGTCAAGTATGTCTTGGAATCTGTTCATTTGAATTCTGACAGTAAACATTTTACTGATTATTGATCCATGTTTCTGTTTTTCCTACATACATTGGCTTTTTAAGCCATTTCAGAATGTGTAAGCTGTCATTATTTTCTAGTCAGACTTATTTTTTATTTGGCATATTTCTATTGCATCTATCACAAGACTTGTATGATGTAAGAAGACCAAAGTAGAAATTGTGTCTTAATTATATTTTGTCTTACAGATACGGGAATATGAGTGGATTCATTCCCAAACCAAAAGGCTGAAGTTCAATGCACTTATAACAACATATGAGATTCTTTTAAAAGACAAGGTGTGTAGTTGGTTAACTAAAAGACCAAATCACGTTGTGTCTTGTTCAGAGAGTAAGGCTTGTGCCTACTATTGGCCATGTTAATTTTCTTGCTTTGTTTAAAAATAGTATGTGAGCAAACAGATTCCTGAAAGCATGTTGAGGATAGAATTCAAAAACAAAGCCATACAACTGGAAACGAATTTAGACTGCAGTGACCAGTAGATGGGGGAAAGGGCTTTGAGACAGGGAACCATCTAGGATGATAGCCTAGTGGAGCCAGGCCTTGAGTGCCCTCTTGGGTGTTTGGTGTTCTGTCATTGCTGAAGCCTTTTCGTATAGCAGTTGACATGCATGGTCTTGGGGGAAAATGAAGTTTTCTAAGTATGCTCTTGGTTACTATTACTAAGCAATATATCTGGCGATAAGTGAACAAGTGTAATTTGTTGGCTGTTGGTATTTCTGTGCTTCACTGTATAGACACGAAAAGAAATTTGATTAAAAACAATGCGGCTTTTTTTTTGCTTGCTCAGCTTATCAGTGTTTGTGTTTTTTTGGGGGGGGAGTGCAATAATAGCTGGTGTAGGAGACCAGCTCTTCTGAGTGTATAACAACCTGGCAACTACTGTAATAAATAGAAGAAACCTAATAAATATGTTAAGTCACTAAGAATAAATGTGTCTCTTTATACCTCTGTGAGGGTATTTGTGCAAAGATAATTATCTCGTGAAAGCACTTTGGGTTCCTTCTGACCTGGTGGCTCGTTCTGTTTTGTTTTCACTTTAGACTGTGCTGGGCAGTATTAACTGGGCCTTTCTGGGAGTGGATGAAGCCCATCGGTTGAAGAATGATGACTCTTTATTGTATAAAACTCTGATTGATTTCAAGTCCAACCATAGGCTCCTGATTACGGGCACCCCTCTTCAGAATTCCCTCAAGGAGCTCTGGTCCTTGCTGCACTTTATTATGCCGGAGAAGTAAGCTCCTTCTGTGTATTTCAAAAGATGCTAGAATGTCTGAAATGCCAGTGCTTTTTTTTTTTTTTTTTTTTTTTTTTAAACATTCTATATAGACCTCAGAATGGCTAAAACAGACTGACTGGTTTGGGGAAAGAAAACAGTAAACTGAGGAAGGAACAGCAGAATAAAGTCATTCATAATAATTAATAAACGGTGCAGAAATTAGCCTTGAGGAGAAAAGTATATTATCTACCAAAAATTTGGATTAGTTAAACAATTTGGGCAATAATTGTTAAGTAGGCCGCATCTTTCTTAGTTTCATTACAGGGTAATCAATATAATGGAGATGAAGCAAGTTATATAATCAGATTACCATCTATACATTCTTTTTTTTTTTTTTTTTTTTTGTCAATGCTGGGGATTTATAACTTCTTGAAATCAACATTTTAAAAAACAAGCATGTGCTTCGTAGGTTCTATTCACATTAAAGTTCAGAATGTCTTAGAAGAATTTTTATAGGAGAAAATGTATGCTCATTTCATATAATTTAGAATCATCTGGTAGGATCCAGTGATTCTTACAGTGGAATCTAATTTTATCACTTGGGCAGATCCTACTCAATCTGACCTCTTGACGAGACTGACCTGGATCACATGAATTATACTTTGGCCATCCGCCATCCTCCTGTCTCTCACTGTTACTATTCTGTCTTGTGATTTGGATTTCTGTTAATGGCTAATGATGTGGAACAGATTTTAATTTCATTGGCTATTAGTGTATCTTTAGTGAAGTGCCTATTTAAATCTTTGCTGTTAAAAGAAATCTTTACTGTTTCAAAAATTGGACTTTAAATTATGAATTGAACAGTACATTACTTTTTTTTTGGTACAAAAAAGTGAGTTGAACTCATGACCTTGCACTGGCCAGGCAGGTGCATGTGCTGCTGAGCTATATCCCTGGCCCAGTATATTACTTTTTTAAAATAAAGTTTTCTAGATACAAGGGCTCTTTCAGTATATGGTTAGCAACTTGTCTTGCTCTTTGGTCTGTTTTTTTGTATTCTCAATCTTATCTTTTGAAGAACAGGTTTTAACTTTGATGAAGTATAAAATACCATTTTTTTTATTATGCTTTGGACAATATCTAAGACAGATTTGCCTAACCAGAATTTGCATTGGAAAATGTTCCTTTGTTTTCTGAAAGTTTGGTGTTGTTTTTGTTTAAGTATTTGATTGAATTTACAAGTGTAGTCAATTTGAGTCTTCAGTTTTCTTTGTGGAAAGAGTTTATATGATACTCAAATGTTTTTGTATCTTCACTGAGTCTTGTTAACATATATTTTATGGAGTTGCCTATTTTCTCTAAGTTTCTGATTTGTTTGCATCAAATAACAGTATTCGTTTTTTAACTTTCAAAGGATTACTAGTGCCCAAAACTTTTTTGGTTTTGGTATTTTTGTAATTTCTTCTTCTTGGTGAGTTCTAGCTGAAGGTTTAAAAATTTTATTCATGCTTTCGAAAAACCAGTCTTTTTAAGAACCAATCTTTGCTTTTTTAAAAAATGTTTTATTTCTGATTGCCTTTATTTTTATTCTCCTCTATTTCCTTCTTGGGATGCTTTTTATTTCATTTTCTTTTTTTTCTTAAGATGCAGCTTGATTTTCTCTAAACTAGGTATTTAAAAGTGTAGCTACACTTTATGTACTCCTTGTGCTGCATCCTGTAGATGTCGATATCTTATTTTAGTTTTCCTTCAGTTTCATCTGTTTTCTGATTTCTCTTGCATTTCTTCCTTAATGCAGGACTTTTTGGAAGTGTGTTATTTAATGGCTAAGTATTTGAGGGACTTCAAAATGTTTCATAATTCAATTTTGTCTTCGAGTATTTACTTTAAGAGTTACTATGACTTACTATATATCCTGCTATGTTTTCTACTCTAGAAAATGTTCCATGTGCACTTGAGTATTTTGTTTCGTACAGTGTTTTGTGAATGTCATTAACTCAACTTTGTTATCTGTGAGGCTGACTTCCTATCTAGTTCTACCAAGTATTGAGAGAGAAATATTTTAATTTTTAAATGTAATTGCTGAATGTTTTTGTTTTGTTTCTCTCATGTATTACGTGTGTATATGTATTTAGAACTGTTACATGCTTATGGTGTATTGACCCCTTTTCTCATTATAAAGTATCCCACCTTATTTCTAGTAAGATTTTATTCCTCTCTTCTGTTTTGTGTGATTTTTATTATAGCTCTTCATCTCTCCTGGTTACTGCTCATTACTACTGTGTGGTACACTTTTTTTATCATTTTCCTTTCAATTTATTTTTTTTCTTTGGGTTAAAAATGTAGTTGGAGGTGCCTTTTTATACAGACCATCAGTTTGTTTCTTTTGATTGGATCAGTTTCTGCCATTGTACTCTGATTCTGTTAGGTCTTACATCTTTTCGTTTCCACTACTAAGTTTTTTTTTTTTTTCCCCTTAAACAGACTTTATAAGGGTCGAGTGTTTAGCATAGCAGCTTAAGCGCCTGCCCTTGTAAGCGTGAGGATGTGAGCTCGATCTCCAGTACAAATCAGTCAGTCAGTCAATCAGACAGACAGACTTTGTAGTCCAGGCTGCCTTTGAACTCCTGTTTGTTCTGCCTTAGCCTCCGTAGTGCTAGGATTATAGGCACATGAAAGCCCCCAGCCCATTCTTCTTTACTGCTTTCTTTTGTTTTGGCAAGTATTTTTTAGTGTGTCATTTAATTTTCTGTTAATATTTTTTATTTTAGAATGATTTTCTTACTGTTTTCTCTGGGGATTTTACCTCTGAACTTAGCGTAGTGTTTTTTTTTTTTTTTTTAATAATGTCCCAGTTTTGGCAAAATAAACAACTTTGTTATACTGTAATACTATTTTCATCTCTCTTTATGTTATGTCTAAATACATTGATTTAATTATTTTATAGGGGTTTGTCTTTTAAGGAATCTTAGATTTTATGTTCTCTTCTCTTACTTCCACTGATCTTTATTTCTTCCTGTGGATTCAGGTTGCTATTGAGTGTCACTTTCATTTAGCAGTAGCAGGTTGATTTGTCTGTGGCTGTTCTGTTTTACCTTGATTTGTGAAGGATAGTGTAAGACTTCAGAACATGGGTAGAGAAACGTCACCATTGACTGTACTGCCCTCCCTATAGCCAGCCGTTACTGGCAGTACATTAAACACCCTGGCCTCCTCCCTCCTGTGGCCTCCCTGCTGCGTGTTTCTGGGAGACAAACCCTCTGCATCCTTCTTGCGTTTTCTTAGAGCAAGGTGTCTTACCCTTTGGACACTGTTGACATTTTGGGCTGGATACTTGTTTTGTGAGTGTGGGGATTTTTCCTTTGTGTTATAAGGTGCCTTTTGCAAAGGTAAGAGAAGTTTGAGGTTGTCTTGGTTACTTTATGCTTGTCGCTGAGACAAAATACCTGATGCCCAAAGTTGGGAAAGGAAACGTTTATTTCTTACAGTTTTTTGGAGGTTTCAGTCCACACTCGGTTAGCTCCAAGACAGGCGGGCATGGCTGGAGCGCAGTTCATGGCGGCTGCAAACAGCAAACAGGAAATGGCAAAGAGCAAGACACAGTTTCTTCCTGCCATTACATCACATCCTGGCTCCACCCCTATGTGGGTAGCACACTGACACCATCAATCCAAGCACTAGACAATGGACCATCACAAATACACAATGCAAACTCATGAAGCCTGGGGGCCACAGACATAAACCATGACAGAAGTTTGTTACTCATAGCTTATGTATTATTTCCCCATACTTGATGTTTCTGATACATGGGAAGTATGTACGTGTTACATTCTGAATAAGAGTACATTCGGTTAGAGGAAAAGTGTCCCCTACTACCTGACTAAAAGTAGATGGGCTAGGGTCAGTGTTCTTTGAACTTCACATTCTAAGAGAGAAAATACATTCTGCGTATCATCTAGCCTAAAACAAAGGCTTCCTGGATGGGAAGAATCACAGGACATAATGGGAGCATCTGCATTTGTTTGCGTAGAAATGAATGAGGTGTGTGGTGGCTGCAGAGGGAATGGTAAGCAGTTTGGCTCATGCGTGGTCAGTTTTTATTCTGATGTTGAGTAGCTGTCACATTCCACCCAACATTTTAGAAGAAAATTGAATATTCTGCTTTCATATTGTATGTAGCGGTTTTGAATTACTTTCTTGGCTAGATATGATTATAGTGTCTTCTAGAGTTTTCTTTATGGCTAGTTAAATCACTTCCTGAATTGTACATTAGAGTTAGGCATGCAGGGTTTCTTTTATTTTCTTGCTTAGGGAGATCCTTTTTCCTCTGAAAACTATGTTTTTAAAACACTGAGGTAACACCAGTGTTCTAAAATTCTTAAGGTCTGAAAAATTTATAAAGAACCGTTTCTGTTTTTGTGAGGCAAATGAAAGTATAGAGTAGATAATGGGTTATATCTAAAAATAATGCATCTTTTTGTACTGTGTCGTTTACACATTCATCATTACTACCTTTTATATGTGTAAATTTATAAATTAATATCTTCTGAAGAGGACAGCACATTTTCCTTAAAAGATGCGAATAATAAGTGTTTTTTGGGCTTGGGACACTGAGTGTCAGAGCTACTCATCTGTGTTAGAGATAGCATCTACAGACATTTCATAAAATGTGCAACAGTGTATCTGAAGAAACGGTGCCTCATGTAGTCCTTTAATACAATACAAGGACAGTAGGCAGTGAACATAGCTGTTATCTAAAAGAATAGGATGTAAATCTTGCAAATAAAGTATGCATTTAAGTTTTTAAATTATTATGTTTATAAGTAATTTAAATTGGCCTCTTGAAATTGTCTTCTAAGTATTCAGAAAATAGTTGGATGCACTGGTAGTTCTGCTGAGTTTTCAGTCACTTTAAGACATTCTGTATATGAGGTGTCATCTCCAATATTGATATAATTCACTTCACACTTTTTCCTTTTAGTTTCTCATTTATTTTATGTTCTTAAAATATTTACCTTAGGTTTATCAGGCTGTAGTCCCTATGAGGATTTTGGATTGGAACCGTTTTATTTATTTCCCTGGAGATGCTTGTTTCAGTCCTCACCAGGCCTCTCTAAGGCTGATGCTGATCCACTTTGCCATGCTTGATGAGATGCTTAGTCATTTATGAGTTCAGAGATGGTAAGGTAATGGACTGTTCAGGCCCTTTGTCTGTTGGCAGATTTGGTATGCATTGTCTCTGGCCTTTAAATTTTGCCAGAGCATATGCTTTGAGTCTTGCATATTTATAGGCAGTGGTGGTCACATGAGGTTTTCTGTCTCATTTGACAGCTCAGCAGAGGAGGGCCACTGGTGTCACAGCAGCCCCCAGTGCAGTTAGAGCTTCCTGCTCTTGCTTGATTAGTTAACGGTATGTCCTTCCTGTAGAGTTTCTGTCCGTGTACAGAACTCAGCTAGTTCTCGCAAGTGCGTTATTGGCTTTGTAACAGCAAAGACAAAGCCATGTTTCTTAATCTTCCTGCATTCAAATTTCTCTCATTTTTTGTTTTTGAACATAATCTTATAATGTCCTTTTCTGGATTTCTGCCATAGATCTTTTGGTGAAAGAATGTGGTTGAATTAAGATTTATGCTTGAGAAACTTCTAAGTGTTTAGAAGTTGGATCACTTACCAAATTTCTTGTCTGGGTTATAGTCTTATTTACTGTCATCATAAGCTATTAACTTTTTAGTGTATGAAGTAAAGATTAATGATGGACATTATACTGTATAACTTTTACCCTAGAGCAGTGACAGCTGAATAATACTGCCACTAATACTGTTCTTTCACTTCTGAATTTCATTTTTCCAAGAAATTAGAGCTTCTTAAGAGATAGTTTATGGGCCGGGTGTACAGCTCTGCGGCGTAAGTGCCTGCTTGGCAAACTTGAAGTCTTGAGTTTGATCCCTAGTACAAAAAAAAAAAAAAAAAAAAGAGTTAGTTTATGGGACTGAGTGTGGTGGCCTGTGTCTGTAATCGCAGCACTCTGGAGGCTGAGGCAAGGAGGTGTTAAGAGGCAAGCTTGGACTACATGGTGAGTTCAAGCCAGCCAGAAATATACAGCGAAACCCTATCTAAGAATAACTTTCCTTGCACTGATTACATGGTATACTAAAATAACTTATAAATAGATTCGGTCTGAGACTTGTAAATCTACAGTTACCAAGTGTAGACTGATGGGTGTTGATTCAGTTGATTGTCCCTTTTCTTGTTGTTTACCTTTCTGTTTTATTCAAGAGCCTAGTGATGGATAAATTTTGTCTTTTCTTTGTGGGAAAAAAGTCTTTTTTTTTTTTTTTTTTTTTTTTTTATGTCTTTTTCGTTTTTATTGGTACCAGGGATCGAACTCATGACTGCCTGCTTGCAAGGCAGGTGCTTATGCTGCTGAGCTAAATCTCCAGCCCCAAAAGTCATGTTTTGTAAAAGAAAGTTGGGCTATAAAACAGTTTTTTTTTTTCCTGTGTAACTCAGCAAAACTATGAATGTTTCACTTTTAGATTTGAGTTCTGGGAAGATTTTGAAGAAGACCATGGAAAAGGGAGAGAGAATGGCTACCAGAGTCTTCATAAGGTGCTAGAGCCTTTCCTTCTTCGGAGAGTCAAAAAAGATGTTGAGAAGTCTCTTCCTGCCAAAGTGGAACAGATTCTCAGGGTAGAGATGTCAGCCCTTCAGAAACAGTATTACAAGTAAGTTTGTTCTTGTGTGATTAAACCAAAGGGGATTGTGATCACTGCTATAAAGCCATTAGATACTTCATAAATAATGTGCTTTTTAAAATTTGTTTCATTTTTCAAATCTGTCTTATTTCAAAGAGGAAAAAAAATAAGTTTCAAAATATGTCAATCAGGTCTAGTTTTCTATAGTGAAGCCTCAACACAGTAGAAGTACGTAATTGGTCAGAAAAAAGGAGCTTTTTTATTTGTATGAGAATTTACACAATATTTTTCATTATTAGGTGAACCAAAGTACATTTTTAATTCTTAGTGCTAATGGCCCATTATTAAGGGTCTAATTTTAATCTTTGGCATGTGTAGAGTCACTTTTTCCAATACCATTTATTAAAGAGGCTGTCTTTCTTGCAGTGAATGGGTTTGGCACCTTTATGAAAGGTAAGGTGGCTTCGTGTGAGGAGTTTGAGGATTGTTTCTGCATCTTCTAACCTGTTCATTGATTTTCAGGTCTGGGTGGCTGCCACCGTGGCCAGTACCATTCCTTTTAGTACAGTGTTACAGTATAATTTCAAGTCAGGGATTGTGATGCCCCCTGTCTTGTCTTTGTTGCCTGGGATTGCGTTTGCTATTCCGGGTCTTTTCTGGTTCTAGATGAATTTTAGCACTGTTTTGTCTAATTCTATGAGATACATTATTAGAATTTTGATTGGGATTGCATTGAATCTGTGTAACAGTTTGGTCGTATGGCCATTTTCACTATATTGGTTCTTACCGAAGAGCATGCAATATTTCTTCATTTCCTAATATCCTCTTAAATTTCCTTTTTCAGAGAACTGTAGTTTTCAATGTAGAGGTCTTTTACATCCTTTGTTACATTGATTCCTAAGTATTCATTTTTTTTGGATGCTATCATAAAAGGTGTTACTTCCTTGATTTCTCTTTCAGTGAGTTTGTTATTCGTGTACAAGAAGGTTATTGATTTTTGAGTGTCCAGCTATGTTATTGAATTTGCTTATTAAATCTGGTCTTTTGGTGGAGTTTTTGAGATCTTCTAAGTAGAGTAACATATCATCTTCAAGCAGGCATAGTTTACCTTCTTTTCTTATTTTTAAGATTTGTTTGTTTTGTCTAATTGCTCCCACTAAAGTTTCCAGGACTATGTTGTGGAACAAGATTGGAGACAGTGGACATCCTTGTCTTGTTCCTGATTTTAGTGAGAAAAGTTTCAGGTTTTGTTTGTTTAGTATGAATTTGGCTATTGGTTTGTTGTAGATGGCTTTTATCAGATTGCGATAAAGACCATCTATTCCACTTTTCTGTATGGTTGGGTTTTTTTTAAAATCATGAAAGGGTGCTGTACTTTTTCTGCGTCTATTGAGATGATCATACGATTTTTGTCCTTGGCTCTGTTAATATGGTGTATACATTTATGGATTTATGTGTGTTGAGCCATCCCTACATCTATTGGATGAATCCCACTTGATCATGGCATACAATCTTGACAATTTGCTGCAGTCTGTTTGCCAGTATTTTACTGAGGATTTTTGTATCTGTATTCATTAGGGAAATTGGCCTGTAATTCTCCTTATGGGGTCTTTCTGTTGTTTTAGTATCAGGATATTGCTTCTAGGAATGAATTTGAAAGTATTGCTTTCCCTTCAGTTTCATTAAAAAGTTTGAGAAGTAGTAGTGTTAAGTTGTCTCTTAAATTTTTTGTATAATTTAGCAATGAATTTGTCAGGGACTGGACTTTACTTTGTAGGTTTTTAATTACATCTTCAATTTCACTGGTATTTGCTTATTTAGGGTTTTTATATCATCTTGATTCAGCTTTGGTAATTCATGTGTAGCTAGGGATCTCCATTTTTTCCTGTTTTTTCCATCGTATTAGAATACAAGTTTTTAAAGTAAGTATAGATGACTTTCTGGTTTTCTGCAGGATCTGTTATGATTTCACCCTTTTCATTCCTATTTGCATGGATTTGAGTCTTTTTGGTTTTTTTGATAAAGTTGGCTAAGTGTCGGTATTATTTAGTCTTTGAAAGAATCAATTTTTTGATTTATTGATTTTTTTTTTTTTTTTTTTTAGTCTTCAGTGTGTTAATTTCTGTTCTGATCTTTATAATTTCCTCCCTTGTATAAAGTTTTGGCTTAGCCTGCTCTTCTTTTTCTAGAAGCTTGAGGTTTAACATTGTTTATGGGCATTTGCTCTGTTTTCCTAATATGAGTATTTACCGCTATAAATTTCCTTCTTAAGACTGCTTTCATTGTGTCCCACAAGCTCTAATGTGTTGTACTGTTGTTACCATTCAGCTGTAAAAACTGTCTGCTTTAATTTCATTTGTGATCCACTGGTTGTCCAGGTAGGTGCTATTTAGTTTCCATGTGTTGATGAAGTCCTCATGTTTTCTTTTGGCATGGATTTCCAATTTCATTGCACTGTGGTCTGATAGTATGCATGGGATAATTTGAATTACTTTGTGTTTACTTAAGCATGTTCTGTGAGCCAGTATATGATCTATTTTGGAGACTATCCCATGCAGCTAAGAGGAATGTGTATTCTGATGTTGTGGGGTGGAACAATCTATAGACATCTGCTAAGTCCATTTGTTCAAAAGTTCGATTTAGGTCTAACATTTCATTATTGATTTTTTTTGTCTAGTTGACCTGTCTTTTTGTGACAGTGAGATACTGAGGTCTCCACATAAAGAGCTTATTTGCTTTTTCAGGTCTGTTAGTAGTTGTTTTGTATAGTTGGATGCACTGGTGTTTGTTGCATATATATTTGTGATTGTTATCTCTTCCTCTTGGATTGTTCCCTTTATGAGGATGTAGTGACCTTCTTTATCTCTCTTAGACTTGGCTTGAAATTCAGTTTGTCTGCAATTAGAATAGCTACTGCTGTTTTCTGGATTCTTGTCCTATGGAGTATTGTTTTCGATCCTTTGACTGTCAGTCTATGAATTTCTTTTTGAATTAAATGTGTTACTTGTATGTGGCATGTTGTTGGATCCTACTTCTTTTTTTTTTTTTTTTTTTTTTTTTTTCTTTTTGTCTTTTTCGTTTTTATCGGTACCAGGGATCGAACTCACGACTGCCTGCTTGCAAGGCAGGCGCTTATGCCGCTGAGCTAAATCCCCAGCCCCTAGGATCCTACTTCTTGATCCATTCTGCCAGTCTATGTCTTTGGACTGGTGAATTAAGACCACTAACACTGATGGTTATAACTGGTATGTATTGACTCATGTTATTTTCGTGTTGTTGACTCACCTTTTTCTCCCCCCTCCCTCTGTTTCCCTTTCCTGGTGGATTCTTTGTGTTGGGATTCATGGAACCATAGTCCTTATTGTCTCTTTCTTGAATGTCCTTCCGAACATTTTGGAGTTGTGGTTTAGTGGTCATAAATTTCCTTCGATGTTCTTGTGCTGAATTTCTGGAATCTTTACTATGATATGCCTGGCTGTGTCTTCTTTCTTTGTTTTTTTGATCATTGCTAAATGAAGATCTTGTATGCCTCATTTATCTGGATGTCAAATTCTTTTTCTCTACCAGGAGAGTTTTCCATCGTGATTTCTGTGAATATTTTTTAATGCCTTTTGTGGTATCTCCCGCTTATTGATTGACTCCAGTTAACCTTAAGTTATTCTTGTTCATCTTATTTAGCAGCTGCTGGATTAATTTCTCATGTTCCCTTGCTATTTTTGAGAAATCTTTCTTTTCCTGGTCACTAACTGCAAGCCTGTCTTCGATATGTGAGATCCTGTCCTCACATTTGCCTAATCTGATTCAGATACTTTCAGTGGAGTTTTTATTCTCCTGGTTATCTGCTTGAGTCTGCTTTACAGATTCCATTTCTTTTCTATGCTGATCTTCCATAATTTTCTTTGCTTCATCTAATTTTTTGTCAGTGTCTGTTCTAATGTTGCTAAGCATGGTGTGTATTTTGATAATCTCTGTAGTTATCTGAGAGATTATTTCTGATTTCAATTTTTCCAGAGCCTCCTTCAATTGCTTTTCTTATTAACACATCAGAGAAGGCTGGTCAGGGGCTTTTGTATTGTCCCTGCTCATTGTCACCTGGATTTGCCTTTGGTGACCTGGATGTGTGGAGTTGCATTTTGCTTAAGTGTCTTCTCGTTTTATTTTGTGTTTACAAAGTTGAATACTTCAAGTGATGCTTGTAAATTGTCTGTGGTGGGTTGCTTTATTGGTGGTTTTATGACTCTTAGGTTATGACTATTTCTCTGAGATGTCTTTCAGGTATAGCTGGTTTTTGGGTTTTGAGTCAGTTGGAAGCTCTTACCTCCTCAGTCTGGGAGATCAGAAGTTGTTGCTCTGTTGGCCTTCTTCTCTAGTTCTAAACAGCTGTTTTGAACAATTAGGTTGGTTTTGGCTATAGTGGTTACTGAAAGCATCGGTGTATAAAACGACAGAGTGAGCTATCTGTTAATTTGCAACTTTTAACTGCATGAACCAGATTTGTGATTATATAACAACTGCCAAACATTATATAATTACATGCAGTCTATAATTTCTTACTGTGTTAATTTTGCCCTGGTTGGTTAAACTTTAAAATGGATTAAGAATAAAATAGAGAAGTGGAAGAAGAAATTAGAAATAAGGCAGGAGGACAAAGAGAGTCATGCCAACTTGGAAAATTGGAGTAGAAAGAAGACTGAAGGAAAAGAAATATGAAAGTGATAAAAGGAAGAACAGAACTGCACCCACAGAGAGGTTAGGAACTTTGTTCATACTCATCAAAACAACGGAGAAAGATACACAGGAAAATTAAAAAAGAACCAACGCCAGTAGCAACAAAAAACCCCCACGGCAGTCCATTTGCTGGATTGTCTCTGGTTTCACTGGTAGATAATCTGTGGTGACAGAGTCCTGAACTGAGCCAGTCTTTCCCAGAAAGCCAGTGGTACTTTTGGCGGGGTGGTAGATAATCTCAGCTGGCCTACCCTGAAACCAGCTCGCAGAAGTCCAATCAGTTTCTTGGGGTCTGAGCTCAGCTGGGAGCTGCTAGATGAGGCCTGAGGATTTAGCTCAGCCTCACAAGTGCCTGCCTGACAAGCTGGCGGCAGTTCAGGCTCCAGAGCTCAGCTGGAATTTTCCGGCCTGGCTCCCAGATGGCTCCCGGCTGATTGTTCTTTCCTGTGAGAGGAATGAGTCCCCTGCTCTCACTGCCAGCCAGTGCAGTCCTCCAGGTCCCATGCTTCTCTCCACTACTACGTCTTGTCTGCAGAGGGCTCCTGGGTCACCGGCCAACACCATCACTGTGACTATGCATCTCCAGGTTTGAACAGCTCCTCTTGCATAGTGAGTCCTGTCTCAGGGTGAAGGCACTGCTGGCCGCCGCCTTCTTCCTTGAAGTTTTTCTTTTCAGTTTCTCTGTGGGCTTCAGTTCACATTTCAGATTATTCCTGGGTCCAGAAGACCCACTTTCCTCCTTGTCTTCCTCATGGTGCGATCTATGTTGCAGCGTCCGGATGGTGACTCTCAGAGGCTGTTTTCCCTGCTGCTTAGCACTCTATCTTCCCGGAAGTCCTGTTTAGTGATACTCTTGTCTCCAAATAAAAAATTACTGGGGATATAACTCAGCATTGTGTGGGCTCAGTCCGCATCACGGCAGATCAAAAGCAGTTTTTATGTTTCATGTGTAGACTACCCATGCTCACATTATAAGGGTCCCATGTTAGCCAGTGGGAACTTGCTCTCTGAGTCCTTTCCACATAACCTACTTCACCTTGAGAATCCCTTGTGTGAAATGCTGGGGCCTCGAAGTGTTTCATATTTTGGATTTTTCCAGATTTTGAATATTTATATAGTGAGGTAGTTTGTAGCTTCTTCACTATCAAAAATGGTAGTGTTCCAGATTTGTCTCGTATATTTTATTTTACTGGGATTTGATTTGTACTTGAAGAGACCATGTGGGGCATTATGGACAACCATCTTCAGTGAGCAGCAATAGGAAATTTTACTTTATTTTACTCTATTTTATTTTTTGTTTTGGTTCTGGGGATTGAAGAGAAATTTTATTTTTAAACATCAAAATAAACCTTGAGTTCTTTATGGTTAAACAACACAGTTTTCCCTGTATATCCGTAGGTCTGGCATCTAGGTATTCAGTCAGCTGTAGATCAGTAAAGCTTTCCATCTGTGCTGAGCATATATAGAATTTCAATTCTTGAATAATACAGTATAGCAAATAGCATTTGTACTTTACTAAGTATTGTAAATAATCTAGAGATGGCTTAAAGTATATGGGGGTATGTATAAATCCTATTCAAATATGGTGTTTTGTTCAGATGACTGTGTGTATGTGTTATAGTGCTGTTGGTCAAACCCAGGGTGTTGTGTATGCTATTGGCTTGCTCTGCCACTGAGTTACAGTGCCAGGCTACCTAAGGGACCTAAGTATTGGTGGATACCAGTGGACACCTGTGCCAAAAGAGATTTCATTTGCTCGTACAGATTTTATATCATGCCAAAAGTTCCACTTCTCAAGCACAACAGTATAACTCATTCCACACACATAACAGTGTTAGGGTAGGTATGCAGGTTTTCTGTTCCTGCTAGTGTAAATAATAAAACCAGTGAAGCAGGTGCCTTTTTGTTCCTTTTGATATATCCCACCAGAAAAGAATGACTCGATTCTTTTTTTTTTTTTTTTTCCTCTTTTCTACTGGGGTTAAAACTCATGATGTCACACTTGCCAGGCAGGCGCTTAGGCTGCTGAGCTAAATCCCCAGCCTACAGTAGATTCTTGACAGTATAATTGCTAGGAGAAATTAAAAAATATCTTTAATATTTTGGAGTTTATGCGTAAGAATTAATTCATGAATGTGCCTAAACATATATCTGTTTTATCTTCTCATTCTAAACATGTGTGCCTTTTGGGGGGGCAGGGGAGTATCTTTTTGAGACAGGGTCTCCCTGTGCAGTGTAGGCTGGCTCATTTTGTAGCCCAGGACGGTCTCGAACTTTCAATAATCCTCCTATCTCAGCCTCCAGAGTGCTTGGATTACAGGAATGTACCACCATTCAGAGCCTCATTCCAAATATAAAATACATGTAGTCATTTCATATTTTATTATATATAAATACACTTTGTAAAAGTTATCATGGTATATTACTTGTATGGTTTATTTTAATGTATTTCACCATTAGATGGTGAATATATTAGATGGCTTAATATTAGATGGCTTAGTTCTAATTTTAGATAGTAATAAGAGTGTTTCAGTGGTAACCTTTGGATTCCATATGTGTACAAACACGTATGTATGTGGCAGAGTCTGGAAAATATGATGGATGCTTAATTTAAAAAAAAATCATTAAATGAAAGACACACTGTTATATGTCACACTTCTCCTTGCTGCAAATAAATGCTTATCCTGTTGTTATTTTGTGGAGCAGCTCTGGAGGTCCTGTTTGTGAGTGTCTTCACTGTGCTGTCATGGCTGCAGTCAAGTTTAGAGCTGATTGAAAACATTTCTGTTTTATGGTTAGTCTGACTTTGAGGAAGGGCCAGGAGTCACCCGGTGCCAGATCTAATGAAAAAGGCAGATGAGAATGTGCAGTAATGTTCTTAGGTTACAGAATTTTTGTTGGGTGACACTAAGCAATGGCACTCACCATATATTTGATCCTGTCTTGTAAGGACATCCACAAAAGAAGCCTTTCAAAATTGCTTCGTAAAGTAGCAAGAACGATGAGATAACTGATCGAAGTGAGGGGACATATTTTGAAGTGGATTAATGGAACTGTAATTGTAAAAAGTTTTTAAAAATTTAAGCACTATATATAATATTTTTGTCTAAAAATGTGTGTGTATAGAGCTAAAATTGTTTCCTTTTAAGATTCCTGTGTTCAGACTGGTATGCTGGTGCACACCTGTAATCCCAGTACTCAGGAAGCTGAGACAGGGAGGTCACTGAGAGTTCTTAGGCCAGCCTAGCTACCTAGTGAGACCCTGTCTCCAAAAAAAAAAAAAAAAAAAAAAAAAAAAAAACCAAAGCAAAAAACCAAAAACCAGTTATTTCCTGTGTTCAGTGAAGTTGAAATACCCATTAGAATAAGTAACATTCTGTTTCTGACAAGAGATGTGAGGGGTTGTAGTTAGGTGCTAGGAGATGGTTATTAAATTGTTTTAGGTCTTCTTTGTTTAGTATTACTGTTATGTCTTCTTGTCTTCTAGTACAGGTTAATTGTCTGTCTCCTGATCTGACGGTATCACTATCATTTTCATTTGTAGATGGATTCTGACCAGGAATTACAAGGCTCTTGCCAAAGGAACAAGAGGGAGCACATCTGGTTTCCTTAATATTGTGATGGAACTGAAAAAATGTTGCAATCACTGCTATCTGATTAAACCTCCTGAAGAAAATGAAAGGGAAAATGGACAGGAGATTCTTCTGGTGTGTATTGCTTCTTGTTTCTAATTATGTACTTGAAAACGTTTGCTTATGTAAATGGTATTATCAAAATACTGACTTACCTCCTTCATGACCTTCGAAGGAGCAGCAGAGGACTTTTTTTTTGAAACTTTAAAAACAGTACAAAAGTTGAACAACTAGTAAAAAAAAAATCCAGAACGTACAGTGTCACAGATATTAATTGAAAGGAGCATTACAGCAAATATGTGCTTGAATATGATAATTAGGATGTCTTTTAACTCCTCAGTCCCTGATCAGGAGCAGTGGGAAGCTGATTCTGTTAGATAAGCTGTTGACAAGACTTCGTGAAAGGGGGAACAGGGTCCTCATCTTCTCTCAGATGGTAAGAATGTTGGACATCCTGGCCGAATACCTGACTATCAAGCACTACCCTTTCCAGGTAAGGCGCTTCAGTAATCAGGCTCACGCAGTGTCCGTCTGTCTCTCTTGCTCTCTGTCTTTCTTTCTCTCTCCTCTCTTTTTCTCTTGTCTCTCTTGAATTGTTATGTAGAAAAAAAATACGTTTTTATTGCTTGAACAACATTGACAGTAAAATTCCATGAGGATCTCAGTGTTTGACTTCTGTGCCTTTAGGTTGCGCTATCATGGAAAAAGGCATGTCAAGATCATTTTTTTTAGGATTTGGTGACGAGGATTAAAGAGTAAAATTTAAGTCTGTGCTAAAAGTAGAGTGGAATGAAGCGTGAACCTGATTCCAGAAGCCCAAATTGTAGAAAGTAAGAGAGGCAGCAGGTTATACATTTGCCCCAGAAAATGTTGACCTGGTGTGGAGTAGGGTGGGTCCTTGAACCCTTGCTGGGTCCCAGAGCAATTGGTGATGACTTCCTCCTTCTGCGCAGAATGTCTGGCGATTTTCTTTCTGTTTGTTTGTTTGTTATTTCTTTAGGACAGGGTCTCATCATATAATGCAGGCTGGCCTTTTTTTATGTAGCCCGGACTGGCCTCAAACTCAAAGTGCTGGGAGTATAGGTGTGTGCTACCATGACTGGCTCATCTTCACTGGTTTGTGGGAAAGTGTTTCTTGGGCAGACTTTTCCTGGGTGTCTGAGAAGCTTGTCTCTGATCCATTTGTAGACATGCAGGCACGTGTACTATACACTGACTCCTGAGGTTTTTTTTAATGGCACCTGGAAATGAACCAAGGGCCTGCACTCTGAGCTGTGTCCTTGGGATTTTTTTAATTTTGAGACAGGATTTCAGTAAGTCACTAATTTGCCTAGGCTGAGATCAAACTTGAGATTCTCCTTCCCTAGACTCCCACAGTGCTTGGATCAAAGGCATGTGTCATCATGCCTAGTGTGGCATTATTTTATATAGCTTTTGTTATTGGGGTTTATTTTAAGAAAAGAAGGAATTTTTTCAAGTGGCTGAACTATTTGATCAACTCATATAATCATACTGGTACTAAAGAAACTCAGTGATTATCTTCTAGGAGGCCCCAATGTAAGACTAATGGTTTGTTTCTTGGGATACTGAGAGCACTATCACATTTTTCATACCTTGTGTGGCCTTTAGCAGTCATCCTAGAATGTAGCTTAATACTCAGTGTGGCTGTTAGGAAGAAACAGTATAGCACAAAAAAGATGATTACCTCAGTGCATCGGATCCGAGAGCTTTCATTACTAGGTAATCATGCAATATCTGGCAAATCAGGGATTCGCCATACTTCTCTGTAGGGAATAACTGAGATAAGGAATTTTAGGTAATTGACCAAGTATCTTCTGTTTATGGGAATAGTTAAAGGAGGGCGTTTAGGTTTTCTGATTTTATATGTAGGTCATCAGTTTGCCATTTAAAAATCTCTTTGATTCAAGGCTAGTATTGTAGTCAGCCCACATGGGAGCTGACCTGAGTGTGATGGCTGTATGTCTGGTGCAGAGTCCTGAGGATGTGTAAGGAAGTCTGTCCACAGTCAGCTGGGAACCACTTGAGTTAGTTTCACCTGGTGGGAAATGAAGTGTTTTCATCACAGCTCTCAGATGTAGGAAGAGAACATGGTATGGATAGGGAGAAATGCTTTCCGTACATCATACAGGAATAATTCTTTAGTAGTTGTTTGATGTATGGAATGCTTTCACTGTGGTGACACAGTTTTGTACCCCAAAGTGATATATGCTTTTAGATAATAAGTGAATGTACTGGAAAATCCCAGAGACTATCCTGAATTGATGATGTAGTTTAGTTTGTAACACTTCACTCTGAGTTTAGAGCCATTTTTGGAAAGCTGATGTGATCAGTTTTAACATTGCCAGTATTTCAGCAAAATATTTTTAAACATTGATGTAATTTTTTGATATATATAGAACATAGTGGTGGTATTTTTAGCCCACTACCTAAGAAACATCATTTTTCTAGAGGAGCTGGCTAGTTATTAGGTGACCATGGTACTATTTTGTAATCACTTCAGTACATACAATATAGAAGTAAACCAAATCTGTGAGCACAGTCTAGGTTTTCATCTTTCTCCTCATAGATCCTGGCAGCTGATCCCTGAATCACCTAGAGAGTCCTCTGGATCAGCAGCCTGTGACCTTGAGTGTATAACCGAAGAGCTCAGGTCACACAAGCTGTCCTGCTTATGAACAGCTCCTTCATGGCACTAGGCCAGTGTGTTCTGGTTATTTTTACTCACAGGGTGTTTGGGTGATAAAGGTTGCAACTCTTGGCGTTCTATTCTGAGTGTAGCTGATCTTTCTACCTTATGATTTTCTCGTGGTTTATTTTTCCAGCGCTTAGATGGCTCCATCAAGGGAGAAATCCGAAAGCAGGCACTGGATCACTTCAATGCAGATGGGTCTGAGGTACACTATGCATGCCTTCGTTATTTGGATGCCTTGGGTTCTATATCAAGGGGAAAGTCTTTCCAACTTAGTTTATCGTGTTTCAGAAACATTTTGTAGTATATTTTTCCTGTCCTGAAAAGAGAGCGAGAAATGTTTACTACAAAAAAATTGCCTATTTTGTCCAACTCCTTAAAAGCACATGCATGCGTAGCTTGCCTGGTCTAACTTAATGACAGTGACAGTTCTCTCCTGGCTTCAGGGTAAATGTATGGGCTTGGATGGAGAGAGATGCCCAGTAGGGTTAATTTCTATACCTAGATTGGAAATTCCTGATTTGTACTCTCTGGTTGTTGCAGCTTCAACAGTATGTCTCAAATTTTTGTGGAATTTTTATTTGCTGTTAAATTACTAAATGTTCTATTTGTATTTGGCAATTAAAGTATTTTGTTTTGAGTATATATATATATATATATATATATATATATGAGTAAAACCGATTACATTCTGGTTAGTGCATAACAAATTATTAAATGAATAGATTGTGAGAGAAATAGGTTAGAAAAGCCTTAGGGTAATTAAAACCGTGGTAATTCATGCTCGTAAAGGAAGCAGTGGAAAGAGCCCAGAAGTGGAACAAGAAGTGTTTTTTTAAAAGACATCATTAAATTTTGAAGCCTGGGCTCCTCCTCTTCTTTTTTCTTTTTTTTAAAACCAGAATAGATTTAAGGTTCTTTCTAAAAGCTTTAAACGTTATTATTATTATTATTATTATTATTATTATTATTACTTTTGAGACAGGGCTTCACTATGTATTTCAGGCTGGCCTTGAATTCACTGTGTAGTTGGCTTGAACTCCCAACCATCGAACTCCTACTTCAGCTTTCTAGGTGCTGGGATTACATGCATGTGCCACCAGTATCCACTAAAAATTCTTAATGTTTCTTCCTTTACTGTAGAATGATACGCCTTCTGCCTCAGTTTAGTGGAAAGTCTAGTTAGACTAGTAGTTTGCCTACTTCTGAAGCCTAAGATTTTAGTTCTTATCAAGGAGCTTTTGGACCTGTTTAGGACCTGTCCTCTATCTGACTCAGTGCTTAATGGAGAATTGGGTTACTAAAACCATTGGTCATCATCAATTTTCATTCTTCTTCCCTCCTCTGTGTTTTCTAAAACTTCATAATATTGCTGTGAGGATTAAATTTCATAGTAAACATAAAGCATTGATCATAGTGCCTGGCCCATGGTGAGCACTCAAAAAATACCACCTGTTTTTATTATGTAGTCGTTATTGAAATTGATTTTGTGTTCCCTAATCTTAAAAGATAATATGGATTGAGTATTTGCTACTGTCCTTCCTTAGGGGGAAAAATAAACTAGTTTTTTTGCCAACTTCTTCACTGAGCCTCTGTCTCATGACTGTACATAAAGTCAAGGCTGTCTGTGGGTGAGGGTTTATGTGTTTCTTTTTGGTGCTCTTCACCATCTTTCAGTGTTGCTAATGGACATAAAATAATCCTAATAAATAGTAAACATTTAATTTGATTTTAAGAAGACTGTAGAACCATTATTTTATTATGTTTACCTAGTTAGGGTCATGATGCATATAGTTTTATTGTCATCTTTTATTCAGAATTATAATTTGAAGCCGGGCATGGTGGTGCATGCCTATAATCCCAGCACTTGGAAGACTTAGGCAGAAGGATCTTTATGAGTTCAAGACTAATGTGAGCTATAAAAGTGAGCTCAAGGCCAGCCTGAACTGCTTAGAGAGACCCTGTCTCAAAAAGACCCCCCTTCAAAAAGTAGCAACAACTAACATATATATATATAATTTGATTATTTTTCCCATGTCCTTAAAAAAATGACAAAATTTTAAGTTTTAGTATTCTTAATTATTTAGTCTCATTTTGTTAGCTATAGTTAACAAAAAGCAGTAAATATTTAAAAAAATTTAGAGGCTGGGGATTTAGCTCAGTGGCATAAGCACCTACCTTGCAAGCAGGCAGTCAATGAGTTCGATCCCTGGTACTGATAAAAAGGAAAAAGACCAAAAAAAAGAGAAAGTGACTAAAAAAGAAATTTGGTATGGTTTGTTAAATTTCTTTTCCTAAAACACTTTATATTTATAGTGTTTTTGAACAGATACTCTCATTTTATCTCACTCTTAGGATCATTTTCATACTTTTTAACTTGGTCAGTTTGATCATAGATAACACATTGTAATTTATATTATCTCTGTGACAAAGCAAAACTATAAGTTGTTTATATGATTATTTGGACACTGGATTTTATTTAAATTTTTACATGTCTCATCCTAAAACTGTCATCATTTAGGGAACTTCCCCATTAGAATCACTCTGTACCTAGTCATACTTGCTGATTACTTTTTATTGAAACTTAAAGTTCTTGCATGACACCTGGGTCCTTTACTGCTTGTGTGGCCTGTGCTGCTGAATGAGACTGTTAAATTTCAGAACATGGACATCTTTCCATTGGATGCAGTGTTAACTACACCTGTTTTTTAAGTCGTAACCATGGATTACTAGTTGTTAAATGCTGCTTCTGTGCCCAAAAGGCATTAGCTGATCAGTGGAAAGTCTTTTTGGTTTTTTCTCCATTGGCTTACAAGGTTTAGTCATTCCCTCTGTGCACGTATGTTTTGAGTGCTCAGGTGTGGCAGGTAGTCGATTAGTGCCTGTCTTTATTATCAGTTGTCTGGAAACTAGAAGATGCAAGTATCCGAGTCTTGACCACATGCTGCTGTTCATGCAAACCCACTGAGGGTATCTTTTTGCATGCTTTGAAGATCCTGTAGTCCTCAGCATTTCTACTGTCTGATCTGTTTATTGCAGTGTTTCTATATTCCTAACCAGAGTAACAAATGGGTGACATTTCTTAACAGTAACTGCCTAATACGGCATAATCTACCTTTCCACAGAAACTACCTGTCTGTGTAGCTTGTTGGAACAATTCCTAGTAATTGAATTTGTCTGGTTTTTGGTTTACTTCTTATATATACTATTTTTTAGCCAGGAGATATTTCTAGTTCTCTCACTCCTCTTGCCTTATTAGATACTACTTACACTGTTTGTTTACTGCACTGACTCTTCTTCTTAATCAAGTGAAAATTTCCTCTGCCATCAAGTCCCTGACCTGTAGCCTTCGTGAAGTTTGTCCGTCATGTCTCACTTTTCTTCACACCTGCAGGGGTTTCCAGGTATAAGGGCTTATTGGACTGTGATGTTTCTGAGAAGGCCACTGCATAAAGTAGTGTGTTGCATTGTGTACAGGACTTCTGTTTCCTGCTCTCGACAAGGGCTGGTGGCCTGGGAATCAATTTGGCATCCGCGGACACAGTCGTCATCTTTGACTCTGACTGGAACCCCCAGAACGACTTGCAGGCACAAGCCCGGGCCCATAGAATTGGTCAAAAGAAGCAGGTTAGTGGAAAGAGGCTTCTGAATGTGACTTGATGGATTTAAAGTAACAGAGATTGGTTCAGCCCTTCCAGAATGTTCATGAAATGCGTGTCCCTTCCTCCCCCTGCAACTTTACTTCCATTTCCCCTGAGTGTTAATTACTGTTTGACTGAAAATAAGAACATGTCTCTGGGCCAAAGATGAGTCTACTAAAGACTTAAGAAAGATCTTTGATGAATAGTCTTAGAGCTGAACCATTTCTTTCTGTTAATGAGTAGTTGCTAAATGTTCTGCCATTGTTCAGAATGATCTGTTCTTATATGTGATAATACTGACTCAGAGGTACACTGGAAAACCATATGCTTGGTTTTTTTTGTGTATGAATCTCCAATGGTTGCTAAGTGGTAATGATCATATATGACCTGTGGGTCAGTTTTTATAAAACTTTGCTCTATAAAACTGATGATTCTTTACCAAAACTTTGATCATCAGAGCAGATAGTAATGGCAGTGTTCAGAAACTGTTTTATTTAGAGATGTATCCTGCCATAGATGGATGGCTCCTCATTGATAGCAATAGAGAGAGACTGACTCTTTTTTTATTTTTCCTGCAGATTTTTGACAAAGGTTCTTTTTTCTTTGATCGATCATAAACATAACATTTACTTGTCCTATAGGTAAATATTTACCGCTTAGTTACAAAAGGGACTGTGGAAGAAGAGATCATAGAACGAGCCAAAAAGAAAATGGTATTGGACCACCTGGTGATTCAGCGCATGGATACCACTGGCCGAACAGTCCTTGAAAACAACTCTGGAAGATCCAAGTAAGTGCCAGCAAGTTTGGAGAGGTAGGCAGAAGCAAATGGATTTTATGTATTTGCTGTAATTGTAACAGGATTCTTTCCGTACCACAGGCTTTATTAGTCTGTTACCTGACAAAGACCAGGCCATACCCCAAGAAGGATGGCGTTTTCATTTTCTTCTGTTTTCCCTGTGTCTCTTTTCCCCATCAGCTGTGTGTGTGTGTGTGTGTGTGTGTGTGTGATTTGGTTCTTTGCGTCACATACCACACAGTAGTAGCAGTGGGCCCATGTTGGTTTCGGGCCAGGAGCATGTTTCCACTGACTGCAGCAGTGACTCCACCACCTGAATCAGCAGGCTGGGTTTTACTGCTAGTGGGAATAATTGTGTGGAATTTTTTTGTGCTTTTGCCTTTGATAACAGTATAGAAAGAAAGGGTTTATGAAAAAAGAGGAGTGTCTGCTTTGATCAGATTGTTGACAGCTGCAGCTATGTTAAAGGCCAAATGGAATTAGTCCTTCTTTTTTTTTACACTTTTTTTTTTTCCTTTTTTCTTTTTATCAGTACCAGGGATCGAACTCATGACTGCCTGCTTGCAAGGCAGGTGCTTATGCCGCTGAGCTAAATCCCCAGCCCCGAATTAGTCCTTATATGACATGTTTTCAGATTATATTCCATTCAAGAGGAATGCAAGTGAGAAAAGCTTTGCTCTTTTTTTTTGTTTTTTGACCAAAGAGGACAGAGTTGCAACTTCAAGAGAATGATAATTTTGAGTCAAAGGACAGAGGGAACTCTGTTCTGTTATGTTGCTAAGCCTATTTATTGCTGAACTATGAGCCAGTAGATAGCAATTGAAGTTTTCAGCTTCTGCCAGGTTGGTTTTCCTGCCACCAACTCATCCGGTGACTAAGAACAAGACAGCAAGGGGATCACTTTTCTTGAGGCAGAATTTATCTTTTCACCAGTTATTTTACTTCTTTAAGAAGGACAGGTATTCTGAAGTACAACTCTTTATAGAGCTTGACATTCCTAAGAGATTATAGCTATGTTTTTCTTCACAGTTCAAATCCTTTTAATAAAGAAGAGCTGACAGCTATTTTGAAATTTGGAGCAGAAGATCTCTTCAAAGAACTTGAAGGCGAGGAGTCAGAGCCTCAGGTATTTAAGAATGAGGGAAAACATTTTTTGCAAAGTGTCATTTATGAGAAAAAAGTTTCGCTAGGTAGTTGGAGCTGGCCTGGAGCTCACTCCGTAGCCCAGTGTGGTCTTACTTGCAGTTTCCTCCTGCCTCAGCCTCCCAAGGGCTGGGATTATGGGCATGGGCCGTCATGCCTTGGTTTGAGAGTAAATTCTGGGGGAAGTTCTGTGACAAGCTTTTATAAGGAAAGAGTAAATATTTGTAGGAATATAATTTTTTTCTTCCAAAACTCAAAAGCTTTTACTAAATTAAGGAGGAAAAATGAACAAAGCATTAAACAACTATCTTATTTTCCACTTAGTTTTGTTTCTTGTAGTTTCTCAAGTTTGACCTTACCATTTGGATAGAAAAGATAGTTTAAAACATTAGATATATAAAGAATACAGAACAGAGACTATAAAGACTAAAGAGAAAGTCAGGAAGTTCCTCACTGGTAAATGCTGAAGATTGTTTTCTTTCTATTATATCTTTTTTGTTTTGTTTTTTTTTTTCTCTTAGGAAATGGATATAGATGAGATTTTGCGTTTGGCTGAAACTAGAGAAAATGAAGTGTCAACAAGCGCCACTGATGAGCTTCTGTCACAGTTTAAGGTATGAGGATTTTCTTGGAGAGCTCTCAGCCCTGAGTCATGTTGTTTTTTTGTTTTGTTTTTATTTTTGCTTATGCCACTGAGCTAAAGCCCTGGCCCCAACCCTGGTTCATTATTAATTACTCATGTCTACAGTGGCTCTGTGTTAGCCTGTTTTCCCTTTTACTTGAGTTGTCCTCAGTGTCATTCTGAGTTACAAGAAATGCAGAAAGGCAATATCGTCTGTACCCCTGCCAGGAAGGTAACCACTGATGCTGGCCAGCCTGCCCTGGAGTCAGTGTGCAGAGGAAAAGAAGGCTTTTAGGGAGGGCTGAAAGTATGGTGTTAGGGCATCAGAAGCTAGGAGGAACATGGGGCACGCTAATCAGACAAAGAGCTGTCCAGGATATGAGAACAGGAGGGGACAGTTGGCATGTTCTTGACTCAATGAAGTTTTCTTTTTTACATTGTTTTTTGTGAAAGGAAATAAAAGGCAGTAGTGAGTGATAAAATGAACAGGGCAAACAGTGCTAAACTTTGTGCTATCTTAGAGTACAGATACTATTAAAAAGCTTAGGGGAAAGTAATTTAATGAAGATAAAGGATCAAGCAAGGTTAGATTTTAGACAGATGTTAGCACATTTCTAGGTTGACCAAAGAACTTTGGGAATAGGGTTGTAAGGGAAGAAGATTTGATGGTTCACTGTCCTGGAGGAGAGTGGAAGGGATATATCAAAGCATGGAGAGACTTGGTCTTGGACAAAGGTAGCAATCATGTTAGGAAAAAGAAGATGCAGGAATTCAGTTTGTGATGTTGACTACTAATGAAGTAGTGGAAAAGATTTTGGGCAGCCATAGATGGGGCTGAGAGTGGTGAGGAGCAGCTTGATAGGGAGTCACCTGAACCAGCTGTTCCTGCTTTGCTGTGGAACCAGTCAGCAAAATCTAGCAGTACTTGAGATCAGAGAAATTGGATCAGTTGGTGATCCTTAGGAGGGAGATTGGCTTGGAATGCAGAAAAGTCCAAGTGGCAGGTTTCCAACATTCAGGTTGATTGCATGCAGGTTAGGAGGAGAAGCAGGAGAGCTCTTGACATTACAGGGACGGTCCAGTGCAGCCTCAAGAGAGACAGTAATGGGTTTGGAAGGAAGGAAGTAGTGCTGTGTGCTCTGCTCCCTGATTGGCCACAAGCTGAAGTTGTGTTAGTGGAAGAAAAGGAAGAAGTGGGGGTGGGGGTCAAGTGCTGACGGAGTAGAATTTGTGGGCGTAGAGGTAGAAAGGACAACGATGAATTATTGGTGTTTGACAGTCTGGGCTGCCATAACAAAGTGCTGTAAGTGAATGCTTTATATCAACAACAGAAATTGATGTTATACATTTCAGAAGGCTTTTGATATCATGGTGCCAATATGGTTGGGTTCTGGTTCTGGTGGAGGCTGTTTTCCAAGTCACAGGTTACTGTGAATATGAAGTAATTCTGTACAAATTGAGCAATGGTGTCATAAAGTCAAAGAGTAAAGTCACAGACCACAGGGAGGAAGTTTGGACAGTATTTATGGGAAATAATAATAATTCCTGTATTTCCAGGAGAGGTCCCACATAGTGTTGGCACATGGCCAGCACCACTGTTGCTAAGTGGCTCATAGGAGTTGCTTAGGTATTCAGTGGCCACCTGTTTCAAGTGGCTCTGTAGATTTAAAATGACCAATTAGAACTCAGTCTTCTGACTCAGTTGTTCAGTAGGTAGTAAAGGAAACTAGGGTTTTAAAGAAAAGCCTGTTAATTTGCACTTTTAGGAACTTAGAAGGGAGGTGCTGCACACCATGGTGGTAGAAGGGTTTATCCCTGGTCGAGTCAGGGTTCACTCCGCGTGCTTATTTTAGTTCTAATCAGTATGACTCATTGCTTAGCTCTGTGTTGGGCCCTTTCTCTGGCTTTCAGCCTTATAAATAAACTGCTCTTAATGGGTATATACGGGGCAGGTGGTCTGGTCTTCAGAGTCCGACCCTTAACTGCTACACTGCCTTTGGAAATTCCCAAGTGAATGCTATGCCACGGATACTTATTTACCCCATTTCATAATTTTCATCCATTTAAAAGTCATGTTTGGCTTTCTACGTACTGAAGATTAAAACTGGACCCATATCTTTCACCATGCACTAAGCTAAAACCAGAAGGGATTAAAGATTTAATTTTAAAACAGAAACATTAAATCTGCTGGAAGATAGAGTAGGTAAAACTTAAAGACATTGGTGTAGGCAAACACTTTATGAATAAAACCCAGACTGCACAGGAACTATCACAATGAATCAACAACTGGGATCTTGTCCTACTGAAAAGCTTTTGCACAGCAAGAGAAACCAACAGTGTGGGAGAAAATGTTTGCCAGCTGTCCCTCAGATAAACGATTACTATTGATAACATACAAAGAACTAAAAAAAAATGCGAGTCCTCCTAGATTTAAAGACTCAATCCAAATATGGGCATCTGAGCTGAGCACACTCAAAGTCGTTTAGACTATTCTGAATCTTTTGTATTTCTACAGAAGTGTAAGAATTAAAATGTTAATTTTTATAAAAAAGTTGACATTTTGATCAGAGATTGTGTTTTCTGATCTTTATTTTTTTTCTATTTGTTTTTGTTTTATTCTGTCTTTTATTTCTAATTTCTTAAAGATACAAGGATATTTTATAACTTTCCTAATAAATGTACTTGGTGTTAAAAAAATAAGAGTCATATTTGAAATAATTAGCAACAGTGCTTGATTTGAGAGAATGGTCAAGTGATTTTTGGAACAGTCAGAAACTGTAACTTTTTTTGGTTTAGAATTGAAAAAAATCTGACTGCAAAGCATCATGGTATTTGCTTGTTAAATGTTAAACAGTTAATAATGGCCAAAAGTCATAAATTTCTGGTTTGATTTGCCTGCTCTAAATTGCTTAAGGAATGGGATTGACAGAAACATTTTTGTATTTTCTTGTAGTCTTCAAGGCTAGGAGAGAAGGGATGAACGAAGGCAGAGCTCTGCATACCAGGACCCCAAGGTTGTCTTGAGCTGCTCAGTCTTGTGCTATAGCCCCAGTCTGGTTTTGTGAAATGCATACATTTAGGTGGTGTTTTTTCTGGGCTACATACTGTTTCAGTACAAATCTCTATCAAACATTAGACAGTGTCTCGTACAGAATAAATGTAATATTCTTATAGGGGGTTTTTGTTGGATGTTTTTGAGATAAGGTCTTATTGTGCTGTTCGTGCTGGCCTTGAGCTCATTTCTATCTTAAACTCATGGTGATCCTCCTGCCTCAGCTTCCTTAGTGCTGAGATTATAGGCATATGCCACCATGCCCCACTGTTCTTGTAGGTTTGTTCAACATTGTTACATTTTATATTGTCATTTTCACTCTTAAGACCATGTTCACTTTTAAACATGTACAGTCATTGCATATGCTTAATGTTTATGTGTTTAACAGAAAGTATGGTCATTGGTTCACTAGCTGAATAACCCCTATTCAGTAGCAGTATGTAGAAATGTAAGTTCATCGTGGATTAAGTATTCATCATTTTATCATTTATATTATGCTATTAGTGTTGGATTTATTAGAAATATATAGGTATTAACCATTTTTCAGTAGATCTTATGCAACATTTTGTGTTACACTGTGCATCCAAGAGATAGATTCCAGGTCCTTGTGTAGGGTGAGTGAAGAATTGCAAGTGGATACTCACTGGTAAAAGAAAACAAATCTGCATTTATTGATAATAGCGGGAAGATACACTTGGATTCCCGCCTGCAGAAACACGGAGGTAGCTCGAATGGGAAAGGTGGCGTTAGGTTGTCAGGGTCAGGGCGAAAGAAGGTGAAGTCAGTCTTGGAGTGTTAGAAGTTGTGCATCCTGCCTTTGCTGCCTCTCATTGGACCTCTCAGGATGCCTTCGATGGAAATGACTGACGACTCTGAGGCATATCAGTGCAAGACTCTCTGAGAATGTACTCTTTCGGTCACTTGCGTGCTTTGTGGTCCCTGTGTGTGAGTCTTCATCGAAGTTCCCGTGAGGAAAAGGTTCCTGAAGGGCAGGCCACAGGGCTCTAACAGGCACATGATGTGGCCTGGAGCTTTACAGATTTACTGGATCTTTGTTATTTTTATTTCACTCTTATTAAGACAATGATGACAAACCTTTTAGAGACCAAGTGCCTCAGCCACAACCCAGACCTACTTATTTATTGAAAGTGCCAACACTGCAATTAAATCGGGATACAGAAGTTTAGTTTAGAAAAACAACTCATACTGTACCATCTTTTGTCTTCAAAGAAAAACACAACAAACACAATAACAGATTTCAGTGAAACAACTTTTTATTGATAGGTAAAAGTTTGCATCTGGCATTCTTTTGCACAATCACTGTAATCTTTGCTGTTGTCTGCATGCTGGTAATTTGTCAAGCCTTGGCTCATGCTCTTTGAGAGCAGCACATGCAGCGCTGAGGTCATCTGTTACCTGTTTATTATGTTGATATAATTGAAAGCTAAAGACTGCTGTACACAAGCATAAGATGATAAAAAGTAAGAAAAGCAGTGCCAAGGACTTAAAGTTACTTCACAGAGAGTTCCACACTTCAAGGACTTCATTTTCAGAACTGCCAATTCTGCTGTCCTGTGTCATCCCTTCATACTCTGTTTTCTTACCTTCTCAATTGTTTCCAGATTGAAATTTTTAAAAGCTCCATTTCTAGATTTTTAAAATCTAATCAGTATGAGCAGGAAAGATCAAGTTCTTTAAATTCAGCTTTATCTAGAGAAGAAAACACAGTGTTGTCTCTATCTTATGAAACTAAACATTTGTTAACTAAAATTCTGCTTTGCAGCTGCTACAGTGTTAGAAAACTCTTTATAAATTTCCTGATGGCCTTTGTGAGTCTTTGCAAGTATTAAAGAATTTTTAAAATTCATTTTTAGATGTGGAATATAGTCCAGCTACCCGATTTCAAGGCTTGGAGCAACTTGGCTCACATGCTGACAGAGAGGGCTCTGTACGCCGCAGGTTCACCACCACTGTCGTAGGACAGTGGGAAGAGGATTGGTCTCGGGTGTTGCCCAAATTGAAGTGGATGGAAGGGGAGCGATGCCCCAGCACAGCTGTACTACCTATATTCTATTTGTTTCTTTCCAATACAATTTCTGGTGAGCAACAAGGAGATTTAGGGGAACATGAGAAGGGCTAGTAGAAAATCTATTATCTCATTACGTAGTATCACTGGAATCCTATGATAGTGTCTCACTTAGGTTAAAAACACTTGTTAAGTTGATGTTTTATCAAAAGGTATTTGAAAATGGAGTAATATCAGACACCGTCCTGTTTGTCTTTAGGTTGCCAACTTTGCTACAATGGAAGATGAAGAAGAGCTAGAAGAGCGTCCTCACAAGGATTGGGATGAGATCATTCCAGAGGAGCAAAGGAAAAAAGTAGAGGAGGAGGAGCGGCAGAAGGAGCTAGAAGAAATTTATATGCTTCCTCGAATTCGTAGTTCCACTAAGAAGGTGAGCGAGTGAGATGGAAGTCACAGACGTACAGTACTTGTGCCGTGAAGTGGGCCTCGAGTACAGATGACTCCAGAGGAGGCCTTGTGTTGTTGCCCTGGCTCAGGGGCCTGCAGACAGAGTTAGGGTGTAGGAAATCAGAAAGGAAAGGGGCAAGTGTGCAAAATTTATAAGCACAGCTGGGCGTGGTGGTACATGCCTGTCATCTCAGCACTCTGGAGGCTGAGGCAGGAGGATTGTAGCCAGTTTCAGAACAGTCTGAGCTACAAAGTGAGCTCAGCTTGAAACCCTGTCTCAAAGAGACAAAAAAAAAAATTTTTTTTACAAGTGCACCTGTAAGACATTTGATTTTGCAACCTGGCTTCTTGTAAAAGGGCTGAAGGGAATCTAAAGAGTTCAATAGAAGTTTGTGTTTTGCTGGAGATTAGGACTGGAAATCCTAAAGGTTTGGTTCTCATGGTCAGCGCCTTCAGCTTCAGAGCTTTAAAGTGTTCACAACACTGGTATATAGTATGTACCGTCATTCCAAACAATGAATGTTCACAAGCTTCACACCTTTCAAAAGCGTTTTCATAGGTGCCGTCTAGTTTGACTTTTGCAACATTGAGATGGATAAAGTTTTGTTACCTACTTCTGTTGCTGAGAGTGGACTTAAATTTGCCTATGAGCATAGTAAGGCAGCATTACGTAATACTAGCTACCATTTATTACTTCCTACGTGCTGGTCATAGTTCTAAGCATATTTTATTACTCTTAGCTCAGGAAAACCCTTTATTATCTGGACTGTTACACTTTACAAAAGAAAAAAATAAAGGCACAAAAAAGAAGGTTATTTATCTAAGGAAGTAGAAATGAACTTGTCTTATACTGGATATTATATACCTTAAGTAGTATAAAAATACTCATATTTAATCCACTGTATTTTTTTATTATGGTGTCTCAGAGAGTGTCACTATCACAAGTAAGTTTTCCCTCATTATATAACATTTTATTTGTTAAAAGACAAATTGACTTTCCTGGAAATTCTGAGTCCTAGGGAATTGGAAAGGTAGGCTGGTTTTGGTCCTTTTATTTCTTGGAGCTAATACTTACTGAAATGTGACTTGACTTTATTCTTTTTCAGGCTCAGACAAATGATAGTGATTCTGACACGGAGTCTAAGAGGCAAGCCCAGAGATCCTCGGCTTCTGAGAGTGAGACCGAAGACTCTGACGATGACAAAAAGCCAAAGCGCAGAGGTCGCCCTCGGAGTGTGCGCAAAGACCTGGTGGAGGGCTTCACGGACGCGGAGATCCGCAGGTGGTGCAGGCTCGGCTGTCCTTTGCGCTTGTTTGGGGGGGCATGGTGGAGGAGCTCACGGGGTCCTGGCATTTGTGGTGGGCAGACTGCAGTTATTACTACCTACAAACAAGGCAGAGAGGATGAGTCCTGTTCCTAGTCTTCAGGGTGATTCCTTCTGTGACGTTTTTCTCAGCTGAGATCATTCTGCTTTGTTGCACATGTTATTTTGTTTTCCTCTTGTTCTTTGGTATTGGAAACATTTTCATGTATAAAGTTCAACTAGGGGAAAAGAATTCACACATACACGTAGGCACTTAGGCACGCACACACGGAGGGAGGGATCTGCAGATACAAGTAATTAATATGAATGTTAAAAAGAAGTACAAAGAAGGATATCCTTACTCACTGTCCTCTCCTTCCCTGACCTGCAAACCTACTTTCCTCAGTGTTAATGCTGATGGCAGTTTGATTCCTTTGGTTATTTAGTAGTATATAAAATGTTATTTGGCAGCTTTTTTTTTTTTTGGTGTTTTTGCCATTTGAAATCAATTTTTGCCATCCTTCTGTCGGTACATACTTCACATTTGTTGGTATCTGTTTCATACCTCTCTGCCCTCCAGAAACACCTAAAACTGTTACTTCGTATCAGTTTTCCTAGTTTCTGTGTTGCTGGATTTTTCAAAGCCTGAGGAAAAAACACAAAGCTTTATGGCCCTGTTGATATTATAAGTAGTCCTTTAAGATTAAAGTATTTGAAATTGTGAGGTCCTTGTTTCTACTTACGTATTATGCGTATTTTTCCTTCTTTGTTATAGTACACTTAACAGTTTTGAATTTGTCGCACATCTACTTCCTCTTGCTCCCCTCAATATTTTGAGAAGAATGTGTTTTCTGTTGTTAGGTGGAGTGTTCTATAGATGCTTATTAAGTTTATTTGGTTTAGTGTTCTTCAGATCTTCTGTTCCTTATTAATTTCCTGATTAGTTATTGAAAGTAAACTCTTAAAGTTTCCATTATTCTTGTATTGCCTATTTGCTCTTCTGGTGTGGTCAAGTTTTACTTTAGGTGTTCCGGAATTATGTTGTTAGATGCATAAAATGTTATAACTGATACCTCTTGATGATTGATCTTTTTTTTAATCGTTGTACAACTGTCTTTGTTTTCGTCTCTAGTAGCAGTTTTTGTCCTAAAGTGTACTTTCTATTCAGGTATTGGTATAGCTATTTTAGCTCTTTTTGAACATTTGAAGTACAATTTTTCATCTTTCTGATTCAATCTGTCTCTATATTTGAATCTAATTTGTGTCTCAGATAGTGCAGTTGGATTTTCTTTTTTGGAAAGGGGCTTTTTTTGACAAAGGATCTTGTTTTGTAGTACAGAGTGGCCTTGAGTTTACAATTAGCCCTGCAGTCAAACTTGCAGTGATCTTCTTGTCTTGGCCTCCCAAATGCTGGGATTATAGGCGTGCACCACCATGCACAGCATGGATCATTTAAAGAAAAAAAAATCCCCCCCACTGGTCTCTTTACTTTTTATTAAAGTCTAACTTGTTTACATTCAGTGTGGGATGTGTCTTTGCATTTTGCAGTTTGTTTTCTTTTTATTTCTTTCATTCTCTATTACTTGTTATGAAAAATAGGTATACTAAAAAAAGGAAAAATAGATACACTATAGTATCTTAATTACATTATTATTTACTCTTTTTTATTATATTCTTGGTGGTTGCCCTAAAAAATAGGTATACTAAAAGAAGGAAAAATAGATACACTGTAGTATCTTAATTACATTATTATTTGCTCTTTTTTATTATATTCTTGGTGGTTGCCCTGAAAAATAGGTATACTAAAAAAAGGAAAAATAGATACACTGTAGTATCTTAATTACATTATTATTTACTCTTTTTTATTATATTCTTGGTGGTTGCCCTGGAGATTACAAATAACACCTTTACAACAACTTAATCCCAGTAATTTGAATAAAACTTTGCCACAGTTACAGCTCATTCCACTTCCCTCTGTGCTGTTGTCAGGCAGGGTACCATTAGACATTATAAGCACACTAGCAATACAGTTTCATAAGCATTGTTTTGTGTTGTTGCCTTTTAAAATTAAATAGAATGATTAGTATGTTTATGTTTACTTAGTTACCTACAGGTGCTCATTTCTTCATGGGGATTTAAAGTATTATTTAATGTCCTGTGATAGCTGCCTGAAGACTCTCTTTTTAGTGTTTTCTATATCTGGCCGTGTCTTAATTCTTCCACATTTTTGAAGGGTAGTCTTCATTCTTTTATCTTTCTGTTTTCACCAGAGATAATCTCAGTTGACCCATCTGTATATTTGATTTGATTCTTCTGCTGTTTTTTCTAAATTTCAGTAATTTTTCAACTTCCGAATTTCTATTTTCTTGTACTTTTTCTATTGATACTCAATATTTATTGATAATGTTACTATGAAATTTACCTTTTAATAGTTCTTGTACATATTTGTGACATTAGGATAACGTCTTTCTTACAACTCCTGGACTTCAGGCATACTGCTAGACAGCCTATTTCTTCTGTATTTCCTGTAAGTTTTGGTCCTGTTGAAAACTAGATGCTTAAAGTGACGTGGCAGCTCTGGAAGAGGTTGAGTTCCCTGCTAGGCTGAGTTGGTTGTGTTTGCTGCCTCTTCTGTTGACTAACTTTTGTGTCCTAAAATTGCAGTTCTTTTTAAAAAAGTAGTTTTCTTGTCTTCTTTCTGTTTTTATTCAGTCTTACCTCAGTGCCAAGGGTTCTGTCACTGAATTATTTAGTCTTAGAATTATCTTGAAGTAAATCTCAAACCATTTTATTTCAGACATAAAATATTTCAATGTATATTAAGAAGGGAGAAATGTAGAGTTGTGATGTAACCCTTGCGTCCACTTTCATCTTTAACACTTTCCTAGTCTTTATCAAAGTTATTCCTTTAATATTGTTTCTTTGCTGTTACTGTATTTTGTCCTGTTCTCTTCAGTTGTCACATCCTCTAATTTCTATTTCTTAGTACTGCTTCTTACATGATTCCCTAACCATATTTTTTTAGTATCTTGGCACATTACTGTAGTGATGCTCTTGCTGTATTGTGGCATCTTGCTTTTTAGTGGAAAATTTCAGTGGTTAGCCTGCAAGGGTGTAAGGAAGAGGGTAAGAACAGAGATTGTACTTAGCTTGGTTTAAGGTAAAAAATGTGGAAAGATACTTTGGATTTTTGGTGGAGATAAAGTTGGGCAAGACTCATTGGAGTTTTGAAAATAGTTGTGCCTAAGACGTTTTAAATTTCTATTTTAAAAAAGTAGAGATTTCTAGAAATCTTAAAGGCATGTCACTGACCAGAGGAAAAAAAATATGCAGTGAATTAAAAGCAAAGCAAATATACCAAAAAGACCAATGAATGATAAGGTTTAATTGCAGTAGAGTTGTAGCGATTCAGTCACTAGTTACAAATTGAACTCCATGAGCTTAGACCTTCTGAAAAGGATGTTAGGGTTAACCACAGTTCTTTTCTATTGTGTAATCTAAGCAGTTTTATGATCAAGCCCAGAAGATAAACTTGATCTTTAATTTAATAGATCTTCAGTAATCATTATTTTTATTGACTAATTTCAGAGACACACAACATATTTTACTTTAGTGATTGTTGCCAGGATTGTGCCAGTCTGTTTTTGACAATTTATGTGACGCATGTTTCATCACAGGATATATTGACAGTAGCATAACTTAAGTCTCTGGTTTTTAATGTATTTTATTGATCATATTCTTAGGTTCATCAAGGCTTATAAGAAATTTGGTCTCCCTCTTGAACGGTAAGCTCTGTAATAGTCCTTTATCCTTTTCAGTTGTATTATACAGCAGGTTCTTTTGGCAGTATTTTCCATTTAATAATAACACTGGAAACATTTTTTCCTGGAACACCCTTTTATAAACGTTGCCTTTGGGCGCCTGTCGCTCCCTGGAAGTTAGGGTGGAGACACCTACCCGGTTTCCCGCAGGGAGGCAGGCGAAGCAAGTGCGAGCAGCACTGCTCAGTGTGTGGAGGGAGCTCCAGAAGAGCGCGCTTGACCCCAGTGGGGAAAGACATGTAGCCACGATTTTCATTTTAGTTCTTGTAACTAGTAATGTGGAAGGAAAAGGGTTATTTGTAGTTTCAAAATCTTCTAATCAGCAAGGTGCCATGAAAATTAAAGAACTTACATTACCTTGCCAGTAGTAACAAAGAGGTTAGCTGTTATCATTATTCAACTAGCATTTCAAAAATGAATTCAGAAGTTATATTTTAAGACATGGCTCTGTTTCACATAGTTAAGTATTTTGCCTTGTAAAAAATCACTACATCCTTTGAATAATAGCACTGATTTAAAGGAATTGTTTGGTTCCCCGTAAATTGTGGAGCTGGTGAAAATTCCAAACCTGTGTTTTTGTTTTGTTCTTCTGTGTGGAAAGGAAGTAATGGTGTATAATAATAACTCACGGTGAAGCTGAAGAATGCTTTTTTCTAGGCTCACCATCCAGAAGTGAAATGCTTGTCTTTCAGCCGTAACTGTAAAAGCCAGCAGGATGTAGAAAGCTGGGTTTGATACCTGTTGACACCCTGATTTTTAGGTTTTGGATTTCATGGGCTCTGTGACTTAGAAATCAGTTGAGTACCTTGTGGAAGTAACTGTGCTGTGCTCCTCGGAAGACTGAGGGGCTGAAAGTACATGTGAAATAGGGGTGTGAACAGGAAGAGACAAAACAGTGCAGCATGTCTTTAACATGTCTGCTGACAGACGTAGATAGCCCATTTGTCTACTAAGGTTGCCTCTGACTTTAGGAAATACATGTGGAATATTCCAAAGCACAGTTCTTAAAAATGAGTGCATTAAAAAAAAAAAAAAAAAAAAAACAAAACAGAATGTGTGCATTATCTTTCAGGATTTGATTTTTTAAAAATGTTTTTGGTGAGAATCCTGGACATCGTACATTATCCAAGGATTCTTGTTTTGGAGTCTTTGAATGATGTGTAAAGGAAGACAGAAGAAGTGTCTTTGTGGGAACAAGCTTATAAGACACACTGAAATCTCATGTGGTATTTTAAACTGTGGACACTATGTCTTCATTTCATCCTTAGGCTGGAGTGCATAGCCCGTGATGCTGAGCTGGTGGATAAGTCTGTGGCAGACCTGAAGCGCCTGGGTGAGCTGATTCACAACAGCTGTGTGTCTGCAATGCAGGAATATGAAGAACAGCTGAAAGAAAATGCTAGTGAGGGTAAGGCAGCGAGTTCCCTTCTGTGATTCTTAAAAGGTCAGGTGCTGTGCACTGGGTTTTCTTTGCAGAAAGGCCTTCTTTTTTGTGTGTATGGGGGTGTCTTTTTGAGTCAGGGTCTCCCTGTGCAGTTCAGGCTGGTCTCGCACTTGCAATGATCCTCCTGCCTCAGCCTCCTGAATGCTGAGATTATAGGTATGTGCCACCACGCCTGGCTGCTGAAAGGTTTTTGAAGACATACTTCTGCTGTACTCTACACATGGCTCATGCTTTGAGATGTGTATGTTGAGCTGCCTTTCTGTGGTCTGAGACGCCACAGACCAGCTACCCATAAATGAAATGGATTTGTGGAGAGTATAGATGAATGAACAAAATGAAATGATTTTTGTGAGGATTTGTATAGAAATTGTTAATTATTTGGATATAGATACAGTACTGTTAAATTGTGTCAAATGTAAATAATTCAGAAATAACTGAAATGAAATATTGTATGGATAGTGTAAACTTTTTGTTTTTTTCAAAGATAAAAATACAAAAAGAAAAAAAAACTGCAACAAAATTTCAAAGCACGTGAGTTGGGATACATTGTGCATTGTCATCCCAAATCATCCAGAGCATGAGAAATTTGCATTCTATTGTCCGAACAATACCAGTACAAATCTTTCCCTTCAGCGACCTCAGAAATCAGTACTATAAGTATCTTAACTGTCTTTTATATACATATACATATGTTGTTTCAGCTTTTCACACTAATGAAACATACGATATGTAAATATTATTACATTGAGATTTTTATACCACTGAGTTGGTTGTATCTGGATTGTATATGTGATACGTTTCCTCTTGGATACCAGAGAGTGGCTTTGCCTTGTCTGTGTGGTAGCTTAAAGGAAGAGATGTAGGGAGGCTTGTAATGAGAGAGCTCAGAAGTTATCTTGAAGTGAAACTAGTTTCCCAGGCTGTGGTTTCTATGTGCCATTTCCCCCATTCTTGGACTAGGTGAGCAAGGCCGCCCTTCCGAGGCTTTGTTGGTGCTCAGGCCCTAGTAGCAGCCAGTTTCCTGGAATTTTGGACTTGCTTTTTCTTAGTTACAAGATCTTGGACAAGTTTTACCCTCACATCTATGTCATGTACACAGTGGTGTAATAGTAAGCTAAGGGTTTGGATGATTAATTCAATAATACTATATTGTATCTGACTTAATAGTTCAGATATTATTAAGAAATGAGTATTCATGCTTGGGATTTTATAAGGATATTTTTGAAATTAATAGAATTTAAAAATATTTCAGACATAATAGCAGCTTTTTTAAGGTAAAGTGAAAAACTTCTTAAAGCTTGCTTTTTGTAAAAGAAGTTTATTTATTTATTTTGGTACGGGAGATCCAACTCATGTCCTCACGCTTGCCAGATAGGCACTTACACCACTGAGCTAAATCCCTGGCCCCTATAAAAGAAATTTAAATAGCTTGCATAGTTTGGACAATGATATAAATATGTGCTTTTATAGCATCCAAAATATACTCAAAACTAACTTTAAATTTAATGTGTTTCTTTTTTGTAATTGTTTTGAATAAAAAATATTTACATGGTTCAAAATTGAAAAAACATATTCCTATGTTTCTCATCTTGAGAAATTCTAAAATACATAATTTTTACCAAAAAAGTTGATAATGCCTTTTGTCTCTTTCTTCGTGTGTGTGTGTGTGTGTGTGTGTGTGTGTGTGTGTGTGTGTGAGGGTCTCACTGTGTAGTTGAGCTGGCCTTTCCCTCCTTGTACCTGGGCTGGCTGACCTCAGACCCAGAGCAGTCCTCTTCCCTCAGTTCCCAAGCTCCAGGGTTACAGGCGTGAGCTGCCACACCCAGCGCCTTTTCTGTTTCAAACAGAAATCACTGGCAGCAAATACGCTCTGCTCTGCTCTGTTCTGTTTCGTGGTTTTTCAATCTCATAGTTTTAGGGATAACTTCCTTACAGTATCCTTTTCTCTCCACGTTTCTCATTTTGTTAGGTGTGTTCACATTCTGAATCTGATTGTTTCCTGTTGCATTGTATAACACAAATTTTGTTTTTCCTGTAAACCAGTTATTTAGCATATTTTGAATACAGGCTGATATTTCAAATTCCATTGTTGCTTAAAATGTGAACATAATTCCATATTTGTTTTATTTTCTGTATTATGTATATTTATTTCCAAATAGCAGTATCAGTCTTACCATTATCAGTAAGATTCCCAAGTATGAGGTTTGATTTCCTTTCTTTCCTAATCGAATACACCCAGTCAATATTCTGTCAAAATACTATATTTTAAAATTATTTGAAGTTCTTTTTTTTGCTGATTAAGCCATTAACTTAATTTACAGACCCCTGTTTTCATTTATTTTTAATTTTTAGGGCATATTCTTGTTACTTTGATTTAAATTTTTTTTAACTGAAATAGGGTTCATGTGGCGCATCTTACTCACTTCCCATCCTGTTCTCCTCTTCCTCCTTCAGTCTGTACTCCTAGGAGTTTTACAGGTATTATCCTGTTGCTGCTTTTTAAAATTTAAGCATATGTGTGTATGTTTCTCCTCTTTTTTGGTCTTTTTTGAAACAGAATCTCTCTATGCAGTTTAGACTAGCCTTGAACTCACCTTGTAGCCTAGGCTGGTCTTGAACTTGCAATGATCCTCCTACCTCAGCCTCCTGAGTACTGGGATTACAGGCGTGAGTCACCACACCTGGCTGTTTCTCCTCTTACAAGAGAACATACTTCATTACCTTCATGTCCAAAAGCTGTGTGTGTCATTACGTAGAGATTGTCCCAATTTTGACAATTGCTCAGGATTCTACCCTATTGATACATAGTAATTCAGTTTTTTGTTCCTTGGTAATGAATATCTGAGTTGTCAGTCTTTGGCCATTCTAAATAGAGATATAAAGAATAAATATGATCTAATAAAAATGCTCCTGCAAGTTTTGGTGATAGATTTCTAGAGCAAGGATTGCTCAGTCCTGGGGGGGAGGAATGCATATACAGAGCAGTCAGAAAACGTATAGGGAATATTGACTTATTAAAAATGGACTACAGCAAAAGACCTGTGACCTTTAGTCCACCTGACTTCAAACATACTTACAATTCTTGTCACTTTGTGAAGTAGGTCGTTCTGGAAGTTTTCTTCATGAATATCTTTATCAGATGTGGTGAAAATTATGGTGGAGTGTTACTGCTAGAAACTTTGCAGTGGAGAGGCAGGCTTGTAAAAAATACCTGCCTGACTCACTGGATCTGGTGCTATGCAAATTCTGACTCTTTCCAAGTCAAAACAACCTTGAAGAGTATAGGTTTGGAACTGATTCATGAGCTTGAGGCAGCCATGACAGTGCAACTAAAGACCCTCCACTCACCAAAGAAGACTCCGAAAGGTGCTTCAGAGGGGGCAAGAAGGAGGGGACAAGTATGTTTCAGGGGAGGCATTTGTTTTGAGGGGATTAATGGCAGCGTATCTTTTGCTGTGTTATGTTCAAATTTAAACATTTATTGTAGTTGTTGATTATACCTCATGTGTACTTTGTGTTGATACTGCCAAATATTATTTTTTCTTGTAATGTGCAAGATTATGCATTTCTTCTAACGTATATCTATCTCCACATATTTTGTCAGTTTTCTATTAAAGAAGTGGTTTCAACTTGTACTCTGTACAGTGATAGGGTTTTATTTTTAATTCTAGGATCATTATAATTTCAAGCATAGATTAAGGTAAACCTTTCATGGCAACTTTTCTTTTTAATTTTTTTTTTTAAATTTTATTTAAGGAGAAAAAAAAAACAGTGAAAGGGTACAAGTTATACAGATTTACAGGAAAAAAAATGAACAGTAGGAAATCACTAGTTAATGGATTACATATTGCCATCTTAGAAATAATTGTTCAAGTCACAAAATTAAAGCTTGTAGAGTGGACATTCCAACAATGATACTGCAAACAGTTCTGTTCAATGATCCAATAAAACTCTGTGATATCATTTTCTATCTTATACACTTAAATATACATGCAGTTATATAGTTTAGAGCACTTTCTTTTCCTCTCTTTTGTACAATGACTATTACACATTTTGGGTTTCATTGCTCCCACGGTTCTTATTGCTTTTTTGGAAGAGAGTAAAACCAAATGTGACATAACAGAACAGAATCGGTCAAGTCAAAAGGGTGGACATAATAGATAATGTAAAAACATAATACAAGGTGGTCAACAATGGTTACCATAATGCCTCCCGCTATCTCTAATAGAATTGCCTATATCATTAGTTATAATACAATTGAACAAAACAGTAAAGAACAAAACCGACAAAACCAAAACATTGGAGACATTGTAGGTCTTCAGAAGTAGATAAAAGTCAACGAGAATGGGCGTTATACTGAATCTCATTATCTTCACAGCTGATGCATGGCAACTTTTCTTGTGTCTAATTCATCTTCTCACTGCTAAGACACAAGACCTGACTACCACAAATTAATGAAAGAGGGATTTATTTTGGCTTGCAAAATAGAGGTTTAGTCCATGACTGGTTCCATGGCAAGATGGTACTACAGAGGGCAGTGATAGAGGGGAGCAGCTCACGGCACAGGGGACAGGAAGCAGAGGCTCAGGGGAGGTCCGGGAAGAGAGATGCAGCCTTGTGTGCCACAGAGACCCACCCTTCTGACCAGCTCCACCTTCTAACCGGAAGTCAGCCATGATGCTTTCTGTATAATCTAGTCACCTTCCAAAGGTCCCAGGCGTGGTAGCATAAGGCTTTAGGGGACATCTAGCTATAAGTCATAATGCTTTATTATTTCACATGTTAGGTATTAATGTGCCTGATACTTTTTCAGTAATGATCTTTTGAAGATACTTAAGTTTTTAAAAACTCTGATAATGGGATTGGTAGGAAAACAAAAGTAATAAACTTAAGTATTAAGATGATCCCCTCAGCATCTTCTTTTTATTAATTTTATGGCAGGAAGGTTACAATTATAAGCAGTGATATATGAAAAAAAAAAAAAAAAACCCTAAATGGTAAAAAATGAAATTGTTTAGTCTGTTTTAGAAATGTTAAAAAAAGATTGAGGAAATTTTTTTGTCTCTAAGATTATATCTTTAACAGAGTTCAAGGTTTGGTGATAATATATTTTCTGTAAAACTTTACGTTTTTATCTAAGTAATTGCAGAGTTTTGTTCTTTAGGGAAAGGTCCTGGGAAAAGGAGAGGCCCAACAATCAAGATATCTGGAGTTCAGGTTAATGTAAAATCCATTATCCAACATGAAGAAGAGTTTGAGATGCTCCATAAATCTATCCCTGTGGACCCTGAAGAAAAGAAAAAGTAAGTGTTTTGTGTACATCCATGGGCGATACGCTTTGGAGGTTACAGTTGCGTGTCGTCTATTCCTACATGTTAGAAAAGCCCCTTTGTAATGCTTTCCTGTTGTGAAACCTCTAGGTACTGCCTAACCTGTCGGGTCAAAGCTGCACACTTCGATGTGGAGTGGGGTGTGGAGGATGACTCTCGCCTGCTGCTGGGGATTTATGAGCATGGCTATGGAAACTGGGAGCTAATTAAGACAGACCCAGAACTGAAACTGACGGACAAAGTAAGTAGTTCAGCCAGAGGTTTCTAGAAGACATTTTCTCTTTATATTATTATTTATTTTTACCTCTTTTCGAGAAAGGGGGATCACAGTGAATATTAATGCAATAGTAAATTTCTGGGATTTCTTTATCCATGGAAGTGTTACCACCTTTAGTGGACTGTAGCACTGTTTCATGGACAATAAAGGGAAAGTTAATACCCAGATGAAGTTTTGGGGTAATTCTAGAATTCTCATACTTATTTTAGGGCAGATCTCATTACAACAAATACCAGGGTAAATTTATTAATAACAATAGCTTTCTTGGGCCTTCGTTTTTGGCCATTTGTTTAAAGTATCTTTGAAACAGCCGTATTTGAGTTCTATACACAAAGAATGAGCATCACCTTGGTATTTTTGTAGTGGAATTAAATCGTGCTGCTCCCACAAAATTGATTGAGCCTCCCACCCTATCCATTGCAAGTAACAAAGCCATGGTTAGAGCTATAAACAAGGAAAGCCAAGTGACTCAAATTGAGTTGGATTCACTCTGTGCTGTGCTCCTAGCAGGGCTTTTCTTGGCACATCAAAGTATGCTCATCCCATCTGGGTTGTAGGAGGGTGACAGCACCCTGCCATGAGCTTCAAGACCAAATCCAGTCTGGCCTGAGCAGTCCAACTGTGGTAGCAGGGAATGAATCATGTCCTGGCATAGCTCAGTGCTCTCCGGCAATGCTCTAAGAAGCATTTTCAATCTAAAACGAAGCTTTAACCTAGCTCCAGGGATTCCCTGCTCCTGGAAGGAGGAAATCCACGCCGGCTGGGATGCTCTAGCAGATGAAGCCACAAGCCCCTCCTACCTGAGTTGTTCTACCCTGTTAACAGCACAGGTAGGAGCCAGTGGGAGAGCTGTATTTCTCCATCCCATTTTGTAAAATGAGAACGGCTCATGAGGGATTTTCAGTGACTGGGAGCCATGGACATGAGAATAGGATCTGAGGCTTTATCTGTTTTTGGGTGGTTGGGGAGGGAAAGGCTACGCTGAGCTCTTTGTTTATTCTGCTCCACTAACCGGAATGTGGGTGTCTGTGGGTGCTTCTCTCCCTTCCTTTCCTGTTGAAGATTCTGCCTGTGGAGACAGACAAAAAGCCCCAGGGGAAGCAGCTACAGAATCGGGCGGACTACTTGCTAAAGCTGCTCAGGAAAGGCCTGGAGAAGAAGGGGACTGTGGCAGGCGGGGAGGAGGTGAGTACACTGCAGCGGGTATTCTTTCCAGACTGCAGGTCCGCCCATGCAGAGCTAGGGCGAAGAGATGTCCTCTGCGGACACTGCAAAGAGTGCTTCCTAATCATGAGCAGATACTGCTTTGCAGGCTCCGTAAAGTAATGGTGGTTTAAGTAGTAAGAGTAGAAATACCCATAAGCTTGCCAACACCTTGACAACTTTCTTCCACACACTGTTGGCTTCAGATAGTGTCTCAAAATAATCTCTGTCTCTCCCTGTGCCACTAGTCCAGATGTACTGAGGCTGTTTCCAGCTTCCTCAGTTTAGGAACATGATTCCAGTTTACTGCATTAAAAACCAAAGGATTTGCCTGTTTGTTGTATTTAAATAGACTGCTGTGATAATGGATTCCAGGAGTAAGATGGACAATTAGAATCCACCTGTTATTTCAGAGAAATATGATGCCTTTCTTGCTTAGTGAAAAACACTGATTAAGTTGCTAATGAATTCATCTGAACTTTGTCTCCTTTTATTTCTCCAACTTACATTGTACATCTTGTTCTATACTAGCAGGCTTTGTGTTCGCATGTGCCTTAAGTGCTTTTAAGCTCTATTGTCCCATTCCTTGTTGCTTTTCAAGTAATACTGTCATGAGGATTTAGTATACTCCAGAGAATGTGATAAAAATGTTACATGTTAGGTTCTAGAAAGATAGACTGGATCATTTCATACTTTAGAATTTTATTATATTTGATTGAGTAGACAGTATTTACCTTTTCTTTATTTTTGTGTGTTTGTGCTTTGAGATAAGGTTTTGCTTTGTAGTTCAGGCTGGCCCAGAACTTACTGTGTAGCCCAGGCTGGCCTCAAACTCATGGATTACCAAGAGCTGGGAATACAGGTCTGAGTCACCACCCCTAGCTTTTTTCTGTATTTTAAGATGTATCCTATTTCCAGGTTTTTCAGTTTATCATCTTTAGTGTCATTCCTCATTTTTGAATTTTAGCTTTAGGATAAGGTGGATTTTAGGTTTTAGGATGAAGTTTAGCTTTATTCTTGCTATAAAACAGAATCAATAGGTTCAAGGAATACAGATGTTTTTATGTGGTTTAAGATACAGGTAGGTCGGGGCTGGGGATTTAGCTCAGTGGCATAAGCCTTCGATCCCCGGTACCGATAAAAAGGAAAAAGACAAAAAAAAAAAATTGAGTAAAAATTCTCATTTTGGGCCTGGGGATTTAGCTCAGCGGTATAAGTGCCTGCGTTCCAAGCAGGCAGTCTGAGTTCGATACCCAGTACCGATAAAAAGGAAAAAGACAAAAAGAAAAAAAAAAAAATTAAGAAAGAGGTAGGTCTTAAAGGGTCTCCTTCTATTCTCCCCACAGATAAATTTGGTTGCACTCTTGATTTCCCTGAATTTTTCTTACCTTGAATTATAAGGCTGCTGCCCCTTGAGAGGGCCAAAGTGTTACCTGGTTATTTTCTTTTGAAAAAGGGCTACATCTGTAGTTTCATCATTTTCTTTTTTGCATCCCCCCAGGCCAAATTAAAGAAACGGAAGCCTCGAGTAAAGAAGGAAAACAAAGCACCCAGGCTGAAAGATGAGCATGGAGTTGAGTTTTCATCTCCGAGACACTCAGATAATCCATCAGAAGAGGGAGAAGTAAAGGTATGAGGCTGGTATTGTCACAGTTAGTTTTGCTCTATGTGGCCACCTGGTATAAAATCGCTTGATGTGTTTGGTTTACACATAGAGTAGATAAGACAGAGTATACTGTGTTTGTTTAGGTCTGCAATTTCAAATTCAGACATAGTGTTGATAAGTATCAGAAACCATGAAATGTTTTAGTCATAAATGGCTATTGATAGTTTGCTTCTGTTTTGAGAATGAGGGAGTGATGTGAAAACTGTGGTTAACCAGGGAGCGTGTGCTGATTGAAGGGGGAAGCTACTAAGCAGTTTCGTAGGTCCAAACAAAAGTTCTCAGTGGGTCAGGTTTGGCCCAAGATCTACAAGGGTTTTGTTTTTGTTTTGAGACAGGATATTGCCGAGTAGTTCAGGCTGGTCTTGAGCTTACTATGTGGCCCAGGCTGGCCTTGAACTTGTGGCAGTCCTTCTGCCTCAGCCTCCCAAGTGCTGGAGTTACAGGCGTGCGCCACTACCCCGGCTCCTACCAATTTTTAACCTGAAATCTGAGTTAAGTGAAAAGTAAATTGGTAGGGCCGGGAATTTAGCTCAGTGACATAAGCACCTGCCTGGCAATTTGAGGTCGTGAGTTCAACCCAGTACTGCAAGACAAACAAACAAAGTAAATTGGTGTTATTGAGTGTGTCATCTTTGTGAGATGCAACTCTATGGGGTTTTATTTGTTGCTCCTAAAGTATTAGCTCCACGAGAGTCAGTCTGGTGCACTACTGGAACTAGCGTGGATTTGAGTCTATACACATGAACGCAAATACTAGCAACCCTCCCAGTTCTAGCTGACTGTGGATAGAAACAGTCTCCTCAGCCTCAGTGTTTTTCTGTTTGTGAAATGGGAATGATAATATTTTTTTAGGGTGGGGTGCAGTCCTAGGGGATCAAGCTCAGGGCCTTGCACGTGCTAGGCAGGTGCTGCCCACTGAGCTATACCCCTGGCTTTGTGATGCCTGTCGGGAGGCATTGCGGTGAGAACTGATGGGGGTGGTGTAAGAAAGCACACGCCTGTGCAGCAGGCTTAGCTGGTTAGTGCTGGAGAGCTGAGAACTGTTGGTCGGGTGCGCAGTGTTCTTTCTGTGTTTGGAAACAAACTGCTAGACACAGAATGAGCCACTGGGCAGTGCTACTTTTCTAGAAAGTAAATAAGTAAATATAAAGTTTATAGCAAAAATTCATAACCCTATTTGTTTCCTAGGATGATGGCTTAGAAAAAAGTCCAGTGAAAAAAAAACAGAAGAAGAAAGAGAACAAAGAGAATAAAGAGAAACAAATGAGTTCTAGGAAAGACAAAGAAGGGGACAAAGAAAGGAAGAAGTCAAAAGATAAGAAAGAGAAGGTATTGATGCCATTCTACTTATGGAGATGCCCGGAGATTAGACGTCCTGTTGAGATTTAGACACAGAGTGGGATTTAGACACAGAATGCCCTAATACAATTGTTGTGTGAGTATATCCAGAAGAAAGGCTGGAATTTAGCAGGCTGCCTACACCCTTCCTTGCAGAGGAGGAGAAATTTTGCGATTTTGTGGTGGTCTTGAGTATGGAAGGCCTTTACCTTGATCTTTTACTACAGACAGGGAGAGCTGTGGTGTTCAGAGTGAGACAGGACAGGTGCCTGACCACGTAGCTCCTTGCAGTGTGTTGTTAGATTCCTGTTAGAGCACAGTCCACGAATGAATTTGGGTGTTTAAAGGGTTTAAGTTTCCAAACAAATGCTGTCAAGAGTTACCTGAATAGATAGAATGAAAAGTCTTGATGTTACATAGTCTTCATTTTGGGAGTTTCATGAAGTTCATTCCAAGGCAGAATTGGTACAGAGTTGCACGTTTGCTTGCTGGCTTCTAAAAACAAAATTTGCAGTTAACCTTAGTCGTTGCTCAAAGAAACAAACATCTGGTATAAGTCTCCCAACCATAACTCGTGATTTCTCAATGAATAGCTTTGAAACATTACTCTTAATGAGTTTGGGTATGAATATAAAATTAAAAGATCAGACCATTTGGGTAGCGTTTTCTTTCCATTTGGCAGGGTATCATAAACAGCTTTCTAAGTGAATAAGTGTAAAAATAATTTTTAATAGATGGAGTAGGATTTTGTCTTGGTGTAGCATATTGCAAACAACATAAACTTCTGTTTTAAAATTGCTTTCTAATTTTATTGTTACAAACCATACCTTTGCATTTACAGTCCTGTAGAAAGACATTTTTGCTGGGCTTATTGGCTCATAGCTGTAATCCTAGCAGTCTAGAAGGCTAAAGCAGGAGGATCCTAAATTCAACCCAGCCCTGGCAACTTAGCAACTCCATGAGACACTGTCTGAAGAACAAAAATAAAAGGTCTGGGGATGTAGCTCAACTCAGAGACCCTGGTTCCATCCTTAGTACTTGCTCTACCTCTCCCTCCCTCCCAAATTCTTTCTTTTTAAAGTAAAATATTTGAACAATAAAGATGCAAAAACAGTTTAGCAAGTATCTATTATCTAGTGCTTCAATGTTTAAATTTTTTTGATATTTATTTTAGCTGACTTTTTTGCAGAATCACACATTTTGTATTTTATAGGCACATTACTAAGTTTTCCTCACCATTACTGCTCTTTCCTGATCATACTACTATCCCCCCTCTTCTCATTCACTGCTGTGAAGTTGGTGTGACACCTTCCTGTGGTTCATGCTTCCTATCATACAATGACAAAGTGTACTATATGCATTGTGTGTTTTTAAGTGTTCTTACATGAAGTTGTTGTATATATACTTCTGCAGCCTTTTTATTCTACATGGCTTTAAGGTTCATCAGTGATATTCTTGTAGATTTCAGTCATTTACAATAATTTAGTTAATACTACAAATTATCCTAGATCAAGGCCAAGCTGTTAATAAAAACAGCTACATGATATTCTGGAAGTTCTGTCAGTTTGCCAGTTAACCTCGTGGTGACATTTTTGTGGATTTTTCTAGATGAAAGAATAGAAGTCCCAAAGTAGTGTTAATGAAACAAAGTTACAGATAGAGGTACATTTAGAGGCAGAAACAGGAATAATGTACGCAAAGCTCTTAATCTTGTAGGTTTCTGTAAACTGAAGCTTTCATACTTACCCTCTGCAACGTAGACATGAAGTAGAGACTGCAAGACAAGACTGCATAAGTGACAATGATTCCTTGTAACTCTTTTTTTAAAAAGCCTAAAGGTGGTGATGCCAAATCTTCAAATAAATCAAAGCGATCTCAGGGTCCTGTCCATATTACAGCAGGAAGTGAACCTGTCCCTATTGGAGAGGACGAAGATGATGATCTCGACCAGGAGACCTTCAGTATTGTAAGTCTGAAACTTGGGGACGTCAATGTCTGTGCCATCATGCTTGGTGTGCCCTGCCCCCATAGATGTAATCAGAGCTTTGTGTGATGTGAATATTGGTGTTTTTTTGGAATCATATCAACTCTGGTGCCTAAAGACACTGTTCTGAACCAGGTTGGCGGAAAGAGATTTTCTGATATGATCTCTAGTGAGGAAGAATTTAGGGACATAATTTCATGTTCTGTGTTCACAGTTGAAAAGTTGTTAGGGGCCCTCAGAGGCATTTTGGAATTGGGAGTATTCACATAGCTGGCATTTGCTAAATGATTTCTGTGACAGCTCCCAGAGTTACAATGCTGAACAGAAAAAAAAATTGGCTCTGTAGACTTTCCCTTTGAGTAGGAGAGTTAGCTAACTGTGTAAGTCATGTTGGTGCTCCTGGGCATGGGCTGTGGAAGAGGAGGCCCTGGGAGAAAGGGATTGACCTAGTCACAAGTGTCAGGAAAGCTTAAGCGAGTGGTGTCCGAAATGGGTCCTGGAGGAAGAGTAAAAGTCATGGGAGAAGAGGGCAGGAAGGACAAGCTTGGGCCAATCAGCAGCATGCACAAAGGCTGTGTGGCGGGTGCACATAGGTTACATTTGAGGTAACACAAGACTTCTGTAGCTAGAATGGTAAGAGCCAGGCCAGCTGATGGGGGGTCCTGGCTCAGTGTGTGAGAACAGTATGAACATGCGCTGGTGGTAAGAGCTAAGTCATTCCTGCAAGATGTAGCTGTGTTTCCTCATTTGGAGATGGGGAAGGTGGAGAGGAGAGGGTGCAGAGTCCAGATCTTGCTTGAGTTTGGTTAAGACCCTTCATTGTGTCCTTAGAGGCCCTTTGCCCTTTGCTGGGCTGTGTGCATAGATTTCATTGTGTTACAATCCTCCTTGGCCTTCCCATCCCTGTGTGTTCTCTTCTGCCCAGACTTCCTAAGATCACAGTTCACTGAACAGGACTTTCAGGCTGAAAGAGAAAGTGCCTTCTGAATTGGAAAGTGCTTTTATGCCTGCGGCAGCAAGCAGTGGAATATTGATCCTGTCCTGTGAGTCAGTGTGTCTTCTCTCTCTCTCTCCTTCTCTCTCTGCTGCCTTCTCTGTATTCTCTTAAACCTATGTGCTGTGTGTGTGTAGTTCCGTCTTTGCGGTTATCTTCCTTTGTGCAGTTCTCTTCCCTGCCTAGATTTAGATGGTAGAAGTATATCCATTAGTGAGTGAGTTGAGTAAGTGAGTAAATCCATTACATAGCCAGCTATCTGATCTGTTTCCCATTCCTCCTTAGCTTATTGCTTACAGAAGAAAATAATACCTGATATTTCTATGGCATCATATGAAAATGTAAATATTCATAAGCCAGGCACATTAGCATGTACACATAGTTGCAGCTACTCAGGAAGCTGAGATTGCAGGATAGTACTAGGTACTAGTGCCCAGGAGTTTAAAACCAGCCTGGACAACTTAGCAAGGACTTGTCTCAATCAATTTAGACCCATTTGGGGCTGGGGATTTAGCTCAGCGGCATAAACACCTCCCTTGCAAGCAGGCAGTTGTTTTGAGTTCGATCCCCGGTACTGATAAAAAGGAAAAAGAAAAAAAAAAAAAAGTAGTCCCATTTAATCTTGTTTGTTTCTTAATGAAATCTAAAAATGCAGATAAATTTCAGGAATATAACAGGCATTGGTTTACATGTCATGAAGCTTTGTCACACTGGAAATTTTCATTACCTGGTATAAAGTTTAAGCCTCTGGTTTTTGTCACTCTAAACCCATGTTTTTCCTTTCTTACCTCCCAGAAATAACCATGATTCTGAATTGGATTGTCATGCTTATATGTCTTTTTAAAATTTTAGTACTTCACCTCTGTTTGCCTGATAGTAGCTGCGATAAACAGCCAGGACTAGTGGTGTGCTGTAGATGTGCACATAGCCCTTGAGGTAGCTCACCTTCACTGTACACACTAAACACTAAGGTGAGAGACACCTCAGTGCACCGCTGAGCCTCCCATGTCTCCAAAAACGACAGACAGCACTGCTTCCTGTATTTAAAACTATATAAATGGTATATTCCTTGTAACTGTAACTTGCTTCCCCTCTCACATTCTTGAGATTTAGCAAGTTTATAGTATTCATGGCTGTTTTTGTTGTTTGTTTGTTTTTTGTTTTTTGTACCAGGGGCTGAACTTACAAGTTCGTGCTTGCTCGGCAGGCGCTTGTGCTGCTGAGCTAAATCCCTGGCCATGTTTGTGATTTAAATACTTGATGTACACTTTATGACTGCCATAATTCACCCTTATTTCTCTAGCTGGACATTTGAGTTTTCCCAATACTTATGAACACAAATAGGCTACAGTGAGATTACTCCCAGTATTTTCTCGTGCACACATGTGGAGGATTCTGTATGTATGTGGCTGGACCAGGATGCTAGGTCATCCATATGGCATGCACATCTGCCACTTTCTCATACCCTGTTGAATCACTCTGCAAAACAGACATAGAAATTTGCCCTCCTGGCAATGAATTTCAGGGCTAAATGCTCCCGACTTCTACAAACAGTTGAACATTTCTGGCACATAATTTTTGCCTTTGTAAAGACTGTGAAATATTGACTGGTGGTGTAGTTTGAACATCTATTTTCATATTTATTGAGCATTTATATTTCTGTGACTTGCCTCTTTATTTACTTATTTTTGGTCTTATTGACACAGGGTCTCGCTATGCAGTTTAAGCTCGTGTTGAGCTTACTTTTTAGCCCAGGCTGGTCTCTTAACTCGCAGCAATCCTCCTGCCTCAGCCTCCCCAGTGCTGGGATTACAGGCGTGAGCCACCACGGCTGACTTGCCTCTTAATATACTTAGCCTGTTTTGGATAATTTATCGTTTTTTTTGAGAGAGAGAAAGAGTCTTGCTATGTAGTTCAGGCTGTTTTTGAGCTTACTGTGTAGCCCAAGCTGGCCTCAAACTTGCAGTGTTTCTCCTGCTTCAGTGTCCTGCGTACTCGGATTACAGGCATGTGGCACCATGGGTGGCAATTTTTTCTTAAAAAACCTTTTCTGTAGGAATCCCTTACCACCCATTTATCACAGTCATTTACAAGTATCTTCCAGTTTGTGAGGTGTCTTTATTTATTTTGAATTCTTTTTTTGTACTTGAAATTTAACACAATGAAATAGTACACATAGGGGCTGGGGATTTAGCTCAGTGGCATAAGCGCCTGCCTTGCAAGCATGTGGTCATGAGTTTGATCCCTGGTATGGATTAAAAAAAAAAAAAGAAACAGTACACATAGATCATGAGTGTGTAGCTCTAGGATGTACCACAAAATAGTAGAAATGTGTAGGGTTTTCATTGTTACAAAACTTTATGTATGATAGTTGATTGTGCTGGACACTCAGGGTGAGTATCCTACAGTTCTGAGAAATTTTCTTGAATTGTTCTGTGATAATTATGTCTTCTCTAAGTCCTCAGTTTTGTCTTTATGGAATTCTTTGTTTTGGGGTGCTACACTGTGGATATTGGTCTCTAATTTTGTCTTCTTCCCACTTTGCTTTTTATTTTCTAGGAGATTCCCCAACTTTGTCTCTCCTTCTGAATTTTTAGTTTTTTGTGGTCATGGTTTGTTTCCCAGATCTTTCTCTGTCTATAGTTCTCTCAATAATTTTTATGCTTCTAATCCTGTGGATAGGGCTTTGAGTGCTTTCATTCTAAAGGGAATCTGGCTGAGGTGCTTCATGGGAAAACTTCCAGTGAGCCAGAGCCAACATTCTTGATTCGTTCTCTGGGGCTGTCAAATTTTGTGAATTTCGTCTTGATCTGCTAACCAGAGTGAAAGTCTGGCTGGCTTGGTTCTGGACTCTTGAGTCAGGATACTGGGTGGTGGTTCTTGTGGGAAGCATTTGTTTGTATAATCTTTCCTTTCTTCATCTTGGTGTCCTTGCCCTTCACCCACACTGCCCGGCCAGCTCAGAGCCCTTGTGTTCCCTAGAGAATAAGCCTTCACACCTGCTGCAGGTGCAATTAGAGGTGGCTCGTGTCAGTTACGAATCTCTTCCTCCTCTCACTTCTTCCTCCTCTACTTACTTACTTTCTTTCTTTCTTTCTTTCTATTTTTTAAAATATCTTTTTGAGACAGGGTTTTGCTATGCAATTCAGGCTGTCCTTGAGCTCAAGGCTGGTCTCGAACCTGCAACGATCCTCCTGCCTCAGCCTCCCAAGTGCTGGGATTATAGGCCTGCACCACTACACCTGACTTGGAACCTGTTACTTCTTGAGTAGTATTCAAACTAGTCTCTATGTTAACTAACCTCATCCATACTTTCAGAAACATCTGGGCTTTGGGGGAATGTATAGCATAGATCAGGTTGGCTCTGTCCTGGACTGTACTGCTGGCTAAGGAGTTAATTTTTCAAGTCTATTAAGTCATTTCCCAGGTTGCCAAATACTTTGTTGTTTATGGGCTTATCCTTCTGAAGACAGTTTCTCTGCTAAACTTGCATTAGGGGGGTTGGGAAAAGAAAGAAAAAGAATCTGCTGTTCAGTTCACCATCTTTTATCTGCAAATCCTTTCTTTACTGTCTTTCAGCCCTAAAGGATTTGTTAGTGTTTCTGCCTTGCATACAGTGTTTAGCTGGTTCATGCTGGGAGTTTTTCAGGTTAGGCCTATAGTATTGTGTTCCATGTGATCTTTGTTCTGCCTTGTGAGGCGTTACTGTGCCCCTCATGCAGATGAGTGACAGCAGGTAAGAATCTGAGGGCCTGTCATTAACTCCAGGTGGTGATGTTAGCACTTGCCTGTCAGTTTTCTGAGGCTGGTTCCTCTCCACAGACGTTCTCTGCGCCTCACTGTAGTGAGGTCGTGTGGCACAGCGGGGGGCCGTTTTCTCTGAACGTGGGGGATGGGCATATCTATGAAGGAGCAGGCTTCTTCCATCCAGGTGGCTTATGTCTGTTCTGTGGTTCATTCCAGTGTAAGGAGAGGATGAGGCCTGTGAAAAAGGCACTGAAACAGCTGGACAAACCTGACAAGGGACTTAATGTACAAGAACAGCTTGAACACACACGGAGCTGCCTGCTCAAAATTGGAGACCGCATAGCCGAGTGCCTTAAAGCTTATTCAGACCAGGAGCACATCAAACTGTGGAGGAGGTAACTAACCTTGGCCTTCCATCAGCCCACATTGATTTCACGATGTTTGGGTGGGCTTCGTTTAATGAGAGGTGGCAGAGCTACCTATTGAAAATCTTTTTACTAAAAGAATTTATCTATTGTCAGCATATCTGTAGGTTTTAAATTTCTTTTCATGAAATAGGCCATTCCACGGAGACAGCCTTTTGAAGGGGCAGGATGATGTTGTTATTGTCATTTTAAAGAACAAGACAGTGACACTGGATTTTTGGCCTGTTCTTCGAAGACTCTTTAGACCTGTAAGGGAGAGAAATGATCTAGTGTGTAACCACTTGTCCAGTTGGGGTTGATATTCATTCAGGTGTTATTATATCTACTACAACTAATTGGTTGGTTCTGTACCGATACATAAAGTAAAACAAAGATTAAAACCACAAAGAAGTATCAGCTTCCTGTTCTTACCTTCTTCCTTAAAACTTTGGTAGACAATTGGATCAGTGTAGTTTAGTTCGTAAGGCATGGTTTTTATATAAATTTATTTATAAACAATTTGAGTGTTGTGTATCTGAGACCCTTGGGACCAGACCTGTTTCAGATCTTAGAATATTTATTCCTAACAACATATCTTTGGGGATGGGATCCAAATCTAAACAGAGAATTCATTTATATTTCATATATGTGTTATACACATAGCCTGAAGGCTTATGCTGCATTTTTGCTGTACCTGTATTTTGACAGTGACCTCATCACATGAGGTCAAGAGTGGAATTTTCCACTTTGCTGTCAAGTTGGCACTTAAATGGCTCAGAATTTTCAGATTGGGGATGCTCAGCCTCACTTTTGATATTTTGAGAAGACGGTGACAGGCATTTCTAAAAGCCACTTGCTATATTATTATTGTTGTTATTATTATTTTTTATTTTTTATTGATACCGGGGATTGAACTCATGACTACCTGCTTGCAAGGCAGGTGCTTATGCCGCTGAGCTAAATCCCCCCCCCCCCCAATTGCTATATTAAATCTGTATCTATAAACTAACTTTAGCTAGTTTAACCTGTGCACTTTATGTTCACTTTCTTCCTCTAGTACCAGTGGATATTTATTTATTTAAATTGTGGTCTCTATGTAGCACAGGCTGGTCTTGAATTCAAGATCCTGTTGCTCCAGCCCCCAAGGGCTGAGATTACAGATATACACTATAACACCTAGGTTGGTTTTGTTGTTTTGTTTTTTGGGTTTATGGTACCAGAAATTGAACTTAGGATATTGTGTGTGCCAGGCAGGCCCTGTGCTACTGCGCTACAGCTCCAGTTTTTAAAATGAAAAATAGATTTAAGAAAAGTTCTCTATATTTATTGTGAGGCTTCTTTCATGAAGCTGTCTTTAGTGTGTGTTATACACATAAGTAAAATAGTTCCTGAAAAGTTATTTCTTACACTGTTAGCAACTGCTTTCTTACCTAGAGCATAGAGCTTCCTTTTTACCTGAATGAAAGATAGCAAAATACCAATTTAGTGCATAGAACCATGAAACCAGACTTCCTAAGGTGTACTTGGATCTGCCTGTGTGACCTGCCTGGGACCTATCCCAGGCACTGATATTTGACCTTCGGTGTGATATTTGATCTTGGTTAGCAGTATTTCATAAGAAAGTCCTTGAGAGACAAAAATAGTACAAGACTTGTGGAAGACTGGCCATCATAAAGTGATAAATACAAGATCAGATATTGAAGTTTCAAGAAGATGATGGCTGCAGAAGGGCTGTCAGGGAGGGAGGTCTTCTGAGAGGCAGACAGGGGCAGTTGAGCTGCTCGTAGATGAGCGGGTGGAACTGCTCAGGTGTCTCAGGCTTCAGCAAAGGCTTGAAAATAGAACAGTGAGGAACTGGATGTGTTGGCTTATAGCTGTAGTCACAGTGCCCAGGAGGCTGAGACAGGAGAGTTTAGAAGTTAGAGGACAGCCTGGGCTATGCAGTGTGTTCAAGGCTGGTGTACTTTACACCGTAAGGCCTTGTTTCTTTAACAAAATAAAGCCTCCTACCCTTCTCCCCAAGGAAGAGGGGGAAGAAGGAAGGGAGGAAGGGTGGGACAGAGGGATGGACAGCAAGATGGAGACGTCAGTTTTTTAAAAAGACTGTCTTTATAGAAGGCCTTAGAAAGCAAAGTAAATGGCTTTCTACCTGACACAGTAGTTTATAGCTAGGGAACCTGTGCAGGGTTCTGTGAAAGCCATGAGGTGAAGCCCGGGGAGACTCTCCCACTCACTATGTCCCCATGTGCCTCCTCCTGAGCACCTGTTTAACTTTGTATCTTCCCTGCTGTGCAGAGGTGCTCCTGGGGAGAACCTGGTGGCATTAGAAGGAGCCACTGAGTATTTAAGAGAATTCTAGGCTTAGTGGTAATAATGGGGAGGAAAGAAGGGCGGCAGCACAGAGGTGACCAGCTAAGTGGGTGGAGGTCCCAGCCTAGGAGACAGTGGTGAACAAGAGTCATGTTGGCAAATCCAGAAATCGAGGGTGGTGGGGAAAACTCATGGAACTGCAGCAGTGGGTGCCACTGATAGAAATCAGTGACAGAACCGTGGTCTCAAGACCTCTTAGTCAAATTCTTTTAGATTAGGCATTATTGATGCAGAAACTTATTTCCATAACTTCAGTTATACACTTGGAGTGTATTCCACAGCAAAATGTAATTGCTTGGCATGCATAAAGTAAATAAAAAATTACTGCATGAATTTCTGATTTACCAGAGCTGTTACTTTTTTTTTAGAAACCTATGGATTTTTGTTTCTAAGTTTACCGAATTTGATGCTCGAAAACTACATAAGTTATACAAGATGGCTCATAAGAAAAGATCTCAAGAAGAGGAGGTAAAATACAGGTTTAATCTTACTTACTGGTCTTCTGAGAGCAAGGCTAGTCAGGGTGTGGATTGTTGCTGGCTGCTTCACAGATGGGGGAGCAGGTCCAGGTGAGGCAGTGAGAGATGCCCCCAGGTTAGAGTGTGACTGGCAGCTCATCTCCCCCTCCTGCAGAGTGTGCTCTTGCCCTTCTGTAACTGCACTGTCTCTCGGCATAGTCTGCCAGTTCTCAGATGGCACGATTACTGCTAGTTGGGTGGAATTAGCAGTGCATTAGAGCAAGTGTTTTAAAATACTGAGGAGGATCCGTGACCTTGTGTTCTTAGATCCTGGGTTCATTTTTTCACCAGACCTCCTCATCTTTCATGTACACGTGGCTTACAGTAGTTTGAAAAGGTGGACCCTAATAAGTAACAAGATTGTGGGCAGAAAATCCTTTTCCTGTTGTTTTGTTGGACTGTGTTACTTGGTATCCTCTCTGCATTTCTATTTAGAGGGGTCCCAGCTGCTCCCTAAAGGAGCGCACATGAGAAGGTACCCAGAGCCCAGAGCTGCCACTCCTCCTCTGGGGCACAGGGCTGGAGTGATGTGCAGCAGAGCCAGTGTTCTGTGTGCAGCGTGCCCGTGTGCTCATCTGCTGGCTGGCTATGGGAGCCCCGCAAAGCACCCACTTAAGGCCAGTCCAAGAACATTGACATGTCAGCTCCCTGAAGGCAGAGATTCTAGTCTTTCATCCACTACTGTGGCTTCATTACCTGCAGTGGTGTCAGGGAGACAGGGTGAGCCCTCAGATGTATTTCTTGTGTGAATTCAGGCCGTGTCAGTGCTCTACTGGCCTACGAGACAATATCCTTAAGTAGTTGACAGTTTAATTTTACACAGAAGATGTGATAACGTGGTAACACACAGGAATAATGTACTAATACTACTCTTAGTACACAATTTATACATTATAGAAGTCTGTGGCAGAAATCAGGAGAGGCCAGAAAAGGGAACAGAATGATTGGGAAAGACCCTTAGACAAAGAGTGAACATTTGGATAAAGATCTGAATTTGGCGGTCTAACGTTAAAAGGCTTCATTAATTATCACATTAGTATCATTTTAAAAAATAGTGATATCCTAACAGTAGGAGTGTAAATTGTCTTATTTTTGGAGAATAGTTTTAGAGATAGTTCAAAAGAGAAGAATATACAATTCTACTTTTAACAATTTAGTTTAAGGGAATAGTTAAGTCTTTAAACATGCTTATAATGGAAATAAGTTGGAAGGCCAAAAATAAGAAATGTTAGATTGTGATATGTCCATATGAGAGTATGATCAAACCATTAAATGTAATATTGTAGAAGCAACTTAATGAGATGATTTTTACAAATATCAAGTGAAAAAAGACAATACCAAGTAATATTTTTGTATTATAATTGGTGTAAGCATACAAGAAAACTTAGAAAGGTAGGAGCCTAATCATTAACAATTATTCTCTTGGTGATTATATTTTAGAAGACTTTACATTTCTGTTTTTTCATTTTTTATATTGAGCATTTTACTTGTGTGATAAAAGAGTAAAATTACTCCAAGTTTTTGATCTTTAGCCTGATCACTTTGGTAGGAACTAGTTCTCACGAGGCAGTTGGGGATTGTTCTAGGCGGCCTGGGGAAGTTGCCAGTCCTGGTTTTTATCGTCCAAGAGAGAGTCCTGACGGCCTGGGCACTTGTTCCATGCCATGTGCAGGAGCACTTGCCAGTCCTGCCTGTGTTCCCCCCAGGACTTGCCAGTGGCAGGTTGGTTTTCCTGCTGGGATGTAGTAGGCTAGCTGACCTAATGGATCGCTGTTAGGCTTACAGCTTGTTGGAAGTGGTGAGCATATCTTGTTACAAAGGTGGTAAAGCTCCAGTCAGCATTCAGGAATGAAGGACAGATGTTTAAAGGCGGGGTCTTTATACTTGGAGTTAAGTGTGGGATCTTGAGTTTGTTTGGTTTTCCTTTACAGGAGCAGAAGAAGAAAGATGACATGATTGGTAGTAAAAAACAGTTTCGACCAGAGGCCTCAAGTTCGAGTCGGGATTCTCTGATATCTCAGTCTCATACCTCACATAGCCTTCACCCGCAGAAGCCTCATTTGCCTGCCTCCCATGGCCCACAGATGCATGGACACCCAAGAGATAACTACAATCACCCCAACAAAAGACACTTTAGTAATGCAGGTAGGCCATTAAGTGGAGCTTTAAAAGAAGTGCCAAAAAACTCCAGTTGTTTCATTTTCCAAAGATTATAGCTGGACATTTGTGCTTTATTCACTCTAAGACTTTTAATTGTGCTTTCTTTCTTGGTGAGATAAAGCATGAAATTAAAGATCCAAAAGACACTCCAACTTTAAGAAGAACATTGCTACCATAAATAAAAGACAAATGGTAGACGCAGGGAAAAGTGTGTATTCTGTGATAGGTAAATGGTTTAAAATGCTAATATATATAAAGAAGCCTTGTTAAATTGGTGACAAAATATATCCAAATAGAGAAATGAGGAAAGAAGAATGAACAGAGTGAAGACAACCTGTGCAATGAGAGGAGATAAATATGCCTGATAAAGGGTTAACATATAAAGTATATCAGGAACTCAGTAGTAAGAAATCACCTGATCAGAAGTGGCGCAATTCTCAAAAAAAGGTGATAAGAGAAGAATTCTGAGATGTTCTAAGTTAAGTTGTAGGCAGAGGATGGAGGGAAGAAAGAGAGAGCAAAGGTGATGTTGACCTCCCAGCTTCAAGCTGGTCAGCAAAGGAAAGTAAAGGAGCTGCTCCATGGTCTTCCCCGTATGCTGAAGATTACCATTCAAGGCAGTTCACTTTCTGTGTTTGGAAACAGTCAACCAAGAAGCAGCAAAAACTTCTTTATGGACTAGTCTCCTGTCCCAGGACTTTGCCTACTTGTTGTCCTGCTCCTCTTATCTATAACCAGCGTAGATTCAATGTAAATAACCTCTGTGCTCCTCAGAATTTCATTTTAAAATGTCTTAGGCCCTTAAGTCCACCATACTGCTGGTGGCTTAGAGAATTTTCCCCTAGTCCTTTTTTTTAAAAAAAAAGAAAGAAAGAAAAAAGAAAGGCTGGCTTTAGCTCAGCGGTTCCTTTGATCAATCCTGCTTAGTCACTTGGGCTGGTGGCTTCCATTGGTCCGGTGGTTCGAGACCCGCAGGTGCTCTCCAGTCCTTTAAAAGAGAGAGAGAGAGAGAGAGAGAGAGAGAGAGAGAGAGAGAGAGAGAATTTTCCCAGGACTGGCCCTTTGACCTTTTGGCTAGCATCTGTGCAGCTTAGATAATTCTTTCCTTCAGATACTTCTCAGTTTCACAAGTTTGAGTTAACAGAAGGCATACCAGTGGCTGAGAAGTATATAAAAATGTTCAACATCACTATTCAAGGAAATATAAATTAAAACTACAGTAAGATACCATCTTACGCCTGCTAGGATGGCCATTATCAAGATGATAACAAGAGTTGGCAAGGATGTGGTGAAAAGGTAACCTTTGCAGTTTATGGGAATTTAAATTGGCACAGCCATTGCAGAAAAGTGTGTTGGGGTTGCTAACCAAACTAAAACTGGACCCACCATATGACCCCATAGCACTACTGGGTATACCATCTCCAGAGAGAGTGAAGGCAGTACAAGGGGTGATCAGAGCATATGGGGAGTGTTTTTTTTTTTTTTTTAATCTACTACTATAAAAGTCAGATTGCCATCAGTCTTCAAAATACTGCTCCTAAGAATGGATGTGTCCTGTTACTGTCACTTTCGAAAGCAGTTCTGAAAGTCCTCCTTCATGTCTCTATGAGTTGTGATAAAAATATTGTGAATGCTGCTGGCTGCTGCTGTCTGGTAGGAAGGTAGGTTTGTAAAAATAGTGTGATGTGTCCTGTCTGCCTTGTTTACCAGATCTGGGTTGGGTCACTTCCCCCAAATCAAAGTAGTTGTGAGAGGTGGATGTTTTGACTTGATTCCTGACACTGAGGCAGTTACAGCAGTGCAACTAAAGACACGAGTGTTTTTGAGGGCGATTAATTGCAATACATCTTTTACTGTAATGATTTTTTTTAAAATTTAAACTGTAGTTTTTATCGTGCCATGTGTATTGAAGAGATTTCTGTAGTTTGAGTTTATTTTAGCATGTTTATTCATAGTATGTAATATATAGGATCAACCCAAGTGTCCAACAGCAAAAGAGCTGATAAAGAAAACACAGCACATGTAACAGTGAAACACTATACAGCAGGACTGAAATCCTATCTGGGCGTGGTGGTGCACGCCTGTAATCCCAGCACTTAGGAGGCTGAGGCAGGAGAACTGCTGTGAGTTTGAGTTCAGCCCAGCTGAATAGCTCAAGACCACCCTAAACTGCATAGTGAGACCCTGTCTCTGAAAGCAAAAAAAAAAAACCTATCATTTCTAGCAATGCAGATGAACCTAGAGGACATTATGTTGAGTCCTAGAAAGGAGGCACAGAAAGACATACTGTGTGACTTCACTTACATAGGGAATCTGAAAAAGTTGAGTCAGTAGTAGAACAGTGGCTCCCAGGGACTGAGGAGCCAGGAGTGGATTCGGAGGAAATGGTGGTCAAAACTTCAATTGGGTATGCAGGATAAATTCAAGAGCTTAGTTGTACAAGTTGTGACTATAGTGTATTATCTTGCAAAACCACTGAGAGTTGTTAATGACCTCACCACAAAAAATAAGTATATGAAATACTGTGTATTAGATGGGTAAAATCTAACCATTCCATAATTGTACACATTTCAAAACATGTTGTACATTATATGTAGGTATACATAAAATTTTTGCCAAATATTCCTTAACTTCCGAACTCAGAATCACAGAATTTCTTATGTCATTTGCACAGGGTGACTGAGAAATATATCCATACTCTTAGATCCGGACATATTAGATATACTTACCTTTTGATATTAGACTGGTTTTGTGTGATTGTTTGATTGTTACTTATTTGCAATCTGAATCTTTCAAAAAGTCTTTTGCTTATAGCACTCTGCTGAAATGCTGGATTTCTTCCTTAGCCCTTTAACATGTTCAGAATGGGAATGTACTTTGCATGTCTTGCTGCCAGGAAGTTTGGATCACTGGTGTGGTCTATTCATGACTGTCCCACTTCTACCATCAGTGTCACAGGCTGCGTGATGGTACAGTCATACATGTCACTGATGGTTCGAGTCATTGGGAGCGTGTTAGTAGCTCAGTACTGTCTAGCCTGTGATCTACCTAAAGAGGGTCAAAGAAGAAAGAAACAGCGCTTAATTTATTCCAGAAATAAATGACTTGGCTTGAGTTGTAGGCATCTATACTGTGCCACAGGCATTGACACTCTGAAATCTTTCCACTTGATTCGAATCCCTCTTCAAGTTACCCTTATGTGTTGTAGCCACTTTTTGTTATGTGTGTGTGTTTTTTTAAAGTTAAATAGTTACAAGCCTTGTGGTCCTCTGATCCAATCCACTGGGATCAATAGTAAACTTCAGTCACTGGTCGACAGCACATTCTGTTACAGGATCAGGAATTGCATGGGTTCTCTGATGACATAGCGTGGCTATGTAGACAGTGCCAGGAGGCCAGCGGAAGAGGCCAAAATGAGTAGTGACGTTGATTTGTTGGCGTTTTTTTGTCTTGTATCTTGACGAAGGCAGCAGAAGGTGGATTTCCCACGACTTCACATAGTTCTTTCTTGTTCATTCCAGGTGTTAGTTTCCTAAGGTTCTATACAATAAAGTTCCATGAATTGGGTGACTTGATACTTCTTATTTTATTTTATTTTATTTTATTTTATTTATTTATTTTTTTTGTCTTTTTCATTTTTACCGGTACCAGGGATCGAACTCATGACCGCCTGCTTACAAGGCAGGTGCTTATGCCGCTGAGCTAAATCCCCAGCCCCGATACTTCTTATTTTAGGTCAGACATCTGTAGTGGAAGTGTCAGCAGAGTAGCTTCCTTCAGGGGCTTCCTTGACTTGCAGTGCCTGTGTCTTTACACGGTCTGCTCCTGTGTCTCGTGTTTCTTTTTGCCTTTTAAGAAAACCGTCTTGGTGAATTTAGGGTCCCGTCCAAATCTAAGGTGATCTCATCTCCAAGTCCTTAACTGCCTCTAAAAGAGCCGGTTTCTAAGTAGTCGTTGGATTGGTAGAGACATACTTTGAAGGCTGCAGTTCATTTATCACAGACTCCATCCCTGGGTTTCTGGGTCTTCACCACCCTTTCTGGGTCTAGTAAGTGCAAGTGTTTTTCTTAGAGAAAAGGGGAGGCTGCAGAAGTTAAAGAGATTCTAGTTCATCCGAATCCAGAGTTAGAGGGGTTACTTTTCACTGGAGAGGGGAAGATTCATTTTTTGGTTGTGGTCTAGGGGAGACTCATAGAATTAGTAGGTATGGTGGAGGGACATTTGAAGAACCCAGGCACAACTTGCAGTATCAGCAGAGCAAATGAACTTTGCTTATGTAAATGGGTTATCATCTTGCCACTGTAAAACTAGTAGTAGTATTTTCTCAACTAACTGTCCAGGTTTGGTTTTTTGAGTGCAATCTTTGAAGGATCTGTTGCGGGTTGGGAGGTAAGCAGATACAGAAAATGAAAAGCAGTAGTTCTTAAGATTTTAAGAGAGGAGGGAAGTGGCAAGTTTTCTTTTACTTGAAAAGTTGAAGGGAGAGGAGAAGGTTGGGACTCATTACTGGTGTGCTAATCAGCAGCAACAAAGCCCAAAAGGAGGAAAGTTACTGTTTGTAACATGTCAGCCTTTCCGGTCAGACTGTACTGAAAGTCAGACTCCGCTGTTTCTCCTAGTCATGAGATCACTCTTTTCCTGCAGATCGAGGAGACTGGCAGAGGGAAAGAAAGTTCACCTATGGTGCTGGCAACAACAATCCACCCTGGGGCAGTGACCGGCACCATCAGTACGAACAGCACTGGTACAAGGACCACCACTATGGTGACCGACGCCATGTGGATGCCCACCGTTCTGGAAGCTATCGGCCCAACAATCTATCCCGGAAGAGGCCATATGATCAGTACAGCAGTGACCGAGACCACCGGGGCCATAGAGACTACTATGACAGGTGTGCGGAGTTCTGAGGCACCAGGAGCTGGCTGGCTGGCTGTAGGAGGGAAAAACGGTGGCCTCCATACCTACATTTGCATGTCACTTAATTAACTCAGTGTCTTGCCTTGTGTCAGTCACAGTCTGATCAGATGGCCCTGCTACACGGGCATCTTCAGGGAGTCTTGATGAGAGCCAGCCGCTGTGTGCTGGGTGATGGTTAGAAATGGGAATTTTTGAGAACCTCCTGGGATTGGGAGTTCTGGTGTGGGCTGAGGAAGAGGAGAGATCTGTGATTCTTGATGTGGGCCCTAAGAGGCAGGCAGAGAGAAATGGAACAGACGTCTCAGGCTAAGGCCAGGAATGAGCTTCCAGGACCACCCAGAAAGTGAGCAGGTGGGGTGAATGCCAGGTTATAGGCTTTATATTTTATTCTTTGGGTCATAGGAAGTCATTTGTGGTTTATTTCACCTGAGCAAGAGAAGTGTTTTTGCATGCCTTTAAGGAAATCTACCAAGTAGTAGCCATAAAATACTGGAGCCAGCAAAAAAAATTGCTAAGCTCTGCGCTCAGCTCTCAGCCATGTTAGGTAGCCGGGATTCTGGGATGGGTGCCACCCTGTGGCCCCTGTGCCAAACAGCCAGAGCCTTTAGCAGCTGTGCCCTCTCCACTGCTGTGCAGCACTATCAGTGGTGTGGATGGTGAGCCTTGATCTTGAAGGGTGAGAGGTAGCAAGTATAGGAAGCTTTACCTGGTCTTCCTAAATGCAGGACTTGGCTAAGTATTTAATCTCTTCATAGTTTTGCTTTTCTCCGATCTTAATGAGAAGCTTGGTTTAGATTGTACTTGAATTTAAGGTGGGAAAATTGTGTCCACACATGTCAATGTCCTGGTATCATTTGGCAGATCTGGAAATCAGCGTAGAGTGGCTGCTTATCAGCTGTCTCCTTAGAAACCACTACCCCCCCCCCCAAAAAAAAAAAAAAAGACAAGAAAGGGAATCACCACTCTCACTGCTGCCCTCCCATGCTGTCTGACTCCAGTGGGCACCGGCCCTGCCTTTCTTTGTGACTGAACAGTTACTTTGGTGGTTCCTTTGTGTTGGTCTGTGTTTCTGGCTAGTATCATTTTTCTTGTGCTTGAAGGACTTCTGTTTTTCTATGGGTCTCCTAGTGATAAGTTCTCTCACCTTTGGGTTTGTGTCTAAAAAGGAGTTTATTGTGTGTAAATCTTTGAAAGATGTTTTTGCTAGGTATAAATTTTTAGAGTAGCAGTTTCTTTCAGTACTTTGTGTGCATTATTTGTTTTTTTTTTTTTTTTATTTAAAAATATGGAAGGCTTCACGAATTTGTTTGTCGTCCTTACACAGGAGCCATGCTAATCTCTATCATTCCAGTTTTAGTATATGTGCTGCCAAAGTGAGCACTGTGTGCATTATATCTGATGAAGAAGTTGTCATTTGAACTGGGATGTGACTCAGTGGTAGAGTACCTGCCTGGCATTCAGGAAGCCCCTGTGTTCAGTCCCTAGACTGCCAAAAGAAGGAAGGCAAAAAATCTATGTGTTCCTTATGTAATCCCTGTTACGATATTTTTAATCCCTGTTACGATATTTTTTCTCATATGCCTGGTGCTTGTAATTGTTGCTTGGATTTGGAGGTTTATCATTTCCATAAAATTTAGAAAATTGTTCAGTGTTCTTCATATATTTTTCTGGCACCCTAGCAAAATTCTAGTTTTACTTACATTTATTTTGCTTGGTGTTTTCTGATAGCTCGTTCAAAATTATTTCCTGATTTTGGTTAGTTTCTATTGTTACATCTTCAAGCTTAGTAATATTTTCTTTTTTAAATGTTTAACGTTATGGGACCATGCAGGATATTTTACATTTCAAAGATAGTAGTTTTATCTCTTAAAGGTCCTAAAAGTTGTATTTTGGGTGTCATCCCCCACCCTTCTTCCTCCTTCCTTTCTCCTCCTCCTCCTTTTTTTTTAAGTCTCCTGTGTGTCTTAAGTTTTCTAAATCTGGAATATAGTCATCAAAGCTGTCTAATTGTCTGCTAATTGATGTTATGTAAGTTTGAGTGGGACTTGATTGATCTTCTCATAGGCCTTATTCCCACTTTTACAATATCTATTGTACATTTTGGATTTTTTAAAAATTTTTAGAAAGGATAAAACAAAATAAAACAGAATAAAGCCAGTCAAAACAAAACAGTGTAAGTGATACAGGGTTTCAAAACATAGGAAATCAACAATGGCTATTAAAATGTCTCTTGTCTTCAAAATAGCTGCCCATGCTATCAGACATAGGAAAATCAAACAAAAAACACAACAGAGTAGAACCAATAAAAACAAAACGATGAATGCAGTTCAAAACAAGATAACAGTAAATCCAAAGTAGCTACCATAATATATCTTGTCTTTGAAATAGCTGCCCATGCTATCAGATCTAGTCCAACAAGACAAAACAGAATAAAACCAAAAAATGATACAGGACTTTAAAACAAGATAATAGGTAATTAACAAGGGCCACCACCTCCAAAAGGAGATCCTCCACAGGCGCTGCATTGCATGCTGCTACCCTCCAGATAGATGGTCAGACTTGGCTTCAGGCCTGCAAAGTCAGTGAAGCACTGAACACTGTAAGCATTAAGTTGTATTTTACTTCAGCAGCTGTCATCGCAGCCTGTGTGTCTCCACTCAGCTGGTTGCTTGTGCGGGAAGGCTGTGAGGATGGGAGGAAGTGGGGGATTCGTGGCTTTTCTTGTCTCCCAGCCTGTGTGCTGGGAGGGGCTTGTTGTTGGGCTGCCCTCCCCGAGGCCTGCACATGGTGCTAACTCAGAGGAAATGGCTGGCTTCTTGTTCTCCTTCATGTGGCCTGCAAATGGCGCTCTACATTTTGGATCTTATTTAACTCTTTCAGTTTCTTACACTAGGGAGGCAATATGATGTTTACACATGCCAGTCTGATCTGTTTAACTTATGAGTATGGCCTCTAGTTGCATCCATTTATCTATGAAGGCCTTAAGTTTGTCTTTCTTTGTAGCTGAGCACTACTCCATTGTATAAAAATACCATGTCTTTTTTTATCTGTTCCTCAGTTGATGGGCATTTGGGTTGTTCTCAAGATATACCTATTATAAATTGTTTACTATAAACATGGGAGCATAGCATATGGGTTTTTTTTTTTTTTTCTTGAGCAGTGTCTCTTCAAGTCCATTTTTTAGTCGGGTGGTTCATCCTTCTTGTTGTTGAGTTGTACAGATCTTGTTTTAATGGCATAGCAAGAAGTTTGTCAGTTAAAAAATCTGAATTCTCATTGAATGCCTGTTTCAAAGTAATTCTGTTGGGGCTGGGGATTTAGCTCAGCGGCAATAAGCGCCTGCCTTGCAAGCAGGCAGTCGTGAGTTTGATTCCTGGTTCCAATAAAAAAAGAAAAAGACAAAAAAAAAATCTGTTAATCTTTATTGTTGATTTAGTGTGTTTTTTGCTGTTACTGTTATCTTACAAAATAATTTATATGGGTCTTTTCTCCTGAGCTTGTTTAAAGGCTATGAAAATATTTCCAGTTATTTTCTGCGAGAGACAGTTTACAAAGTCAACAGTAACTGTTCACGTGTATACTTGCATTACTATAGAATTCTATGTCATTTCATAGGTTTTGTTTTTAAATGATAGCACACTTTCATTAAATGTAGGAAGAGACGGGCTCTGCAGAGTGAGTTTGGGTCAAGTAAAAGTAGGGAGAAAGTGTGAGGGTGGCCACCGTGAAGAGGGACACACTAGCCTCGTACGGTGCGTTCTGCCAGTAAATATAAAATGACTGTGTTACTACTGTTTTTTGGCCTTGAACTCACTGCACAGCCCAGGCTGAGTTGGAATTTACAGCAGTCCTCCTGCCTCAAGCTTCTAGACTTCAGGGATTATAGGGAGTACGCTACCATGCATGGCTAATTATTTTTGATTACTAGTTCATTGTGTACCTGAGGAAGCAGACCTTGAAGAAGTGGATGGGGGTGGAGGTTCTCGATGGCAGAGCCCCTGCCTGATGTGTGAGACCCTGGGCCCAGTCACTAGCACCATGTGAGAAGAGAGGTGGGTGGGCATCAGGCTTTGGGCATGCAGCTGACTGACCCTTGTATCTCTGTTTCAGACACCATCATGACTCCAAGCGGAGGCGATCCGATGAGTTTCGGCCTCAAAATTACCACCAGCAGGATTTCCGACGGTTGTCTGATCACCGCCCACCTATGGGCTACCATGGCCAGGGACCTTCAGACCATTATCGCTCTTTCCATACAGACAAACTGGGGGAGTATAAACAGCCGCTACCCCCACTGCATCCCGCAGCCTCAGATCCTCGCTCACCCCCTTCTCAGAAGTCTCCTCACGATTCCAAGTCTCCCCTGGATCACAGGTCTCCTTTGGAGAGATCACTAGAACAGAAAAACAACCCCGATTATAACTGGAACCTTCGGAAAACATAAAGGACAGCTCGGGCAGGAGAGAGCAGGAGTCATTAAGCACGAGGACGCTTTGGGCTAGTGGCCTGTTTCGGGACGGGCAGAGCTTCTGGACACACTGCCGCTGGCCTCACTGCTGAAGGAGCGCGTCAGGGAGTGGGAGGCCCTTGGCAGCCGGCGATGCTCTGGGTACCACTCCTGCACTTTGGCCCCACCCGCCTCCAGCCTGGCTCAGGCCTCCCACCTCGATGGGTGCTAGGAGGAGTTGTGACTTTTGCATACCAGCTTCATTGGTTGTTCTCCAGTGAAGGAATTGGGGATCTCTGAGTCGTGGATGTTTGTTGCCTGGTTCAGTGTTCCCAGGACCTCGGTGGGTGGTCAAGGGAAGGCGCTGGTGCATGAATGCTGCCGAGATTGCTGGACAGTGTGTGATGGGTTCATTATGATGTAACGGATGCTGCTGATGGGTGGGGCTGGGATGAGAGTGAGGCCTCACTAGGACTTGAAGGGGAGCAGGTGCAACCCTCCAGTGTGTTCGTGGGAGAAGTGAGGCACTAGGTCCATGTGTGAAGCCTACAGGGTGGGGTGGCGCCAGGATGCACTGAGGGAAGCACCGCCCCCTTGGCTGCCTCCTTGCCAACACTAATTTCCGTGCTGTCTGTACATTTCAAAGCCTCAGTCTCCTGGCTGGGCCTGCTTTTTCCCTCTGTGCTGGGGAGAGGCAGGCAGCAGTGGTGTCAGCGTGGGTCTTACTCGTCAAGGAGGGAGCCGCAGGGTTTCGGGTGGGATGGGGTAGGGTACTGTGGCGAGGGAACGGGAGTCCCAGGGCTGACTGCTGAGGTGCATGCCGAGAAGGGAAGGAGAAGGCAAGCAGAGGGCCTCGACAGCTGGCTAGCCAGCTGCTCACAGCTGGGGCGGGGACTCTCGGAAGGCAGTGGGCAAGTCGCCAGCACGGAGGCGCCTTTCAGTGTTGGAGTGGGTGACAGCTTCTGCTGCAGGTTAGTTCCCTTGCACGGCATGAAGAAGTGAAGTAGATAGAACCGTACGTCTCCTGGCATTGATGGGGTGGTCAGACAGAAATCAGTTACCTTTGGTAAGCAAGTGTCCACTGCTAGCTAGAGGTTGTTTTAACTCAGTTTCTTTTAGAATAAGATCTGTAAAGTATAAACCTATGTTAGTTATTTTCCAAAATAGGAAGCATCCAAGGACAGGGTAGCTCACTTAAGAGATGGTAGGAATCATGCTCAAGTTCAGTGAAGTAAGGACTGGGGGCCAGGTGGTTGCTTCATGACGCAGGCTCCTTTCAGTGTACTGATGCTGGGGCCTTACGAAAATCCATTTGCAGTATAGATTGCCAGTATTCTTAAAGCATCCAAAGCCTTTGTAGATGGAGGCAGAAACACTTGGCTTAAAGAACAGTGTGCCTCTAAGTGTCCAGACTCAGCAGTGAAGCCCTTGCCCTGGGCATGTGCAAGATTAAACCCACTGAGGTAACTCTGCTGGCCTCGTCCTGGGCAGCACCACTAGCGCCTCCACCAGGACCTGCCAGCAGGGTCTCCCAGGGACAGGCGGGGTGCTGTCTTCCTACCAGGCTTCCCAGGTAGGAGCCCGGGTCTTTGCAGCTTGTGCTGGAGGTTGGGCGACCCAGCACCTCTCGTTTCCTCATGGTACCTGGGCTTGCTGGCCGCGGCCTCCACGTTTATGTCCCACACCAGAGTCCAGTAACTGCTTGGAGAAGGTGGGGAATTCAGTCTGCCGTGGCCACACAGTGAGAAGGAAGGCAGAGGTGGAGCTGCCTGCTGATGCAAAGCCACTGCCTTCTGTTTTTCCTGCCTGAGCCAAAGAGCAAGGTTGGCTTGCTGGGTGCGATTGCTGCACTGACTCACCAAGACTTTTCTTTCCAGTTGTTGATAGGAAATGCAAGTTATTCCCAAAGATGAATCATCATGAGGAAAGACAAACTTCCTTGTGTTCACATGCAGGACTGTTAGTGCCATATGATGCAGCAGGAGGCAGTATCGTCCAGATCAGTGTTAGGTTGATTCTGAAACTGCAGTATACTCCAGGAAACACCTCTTTTTGTTAGGTGTTGAAGTATATCTGAAGAGTGGCTTGCTAGAAAGGAAGCACTTCCTCATTGATTGAAATCAGTATGAGTAGTGTATGCTCAAGTTGCAACAAAAGTTTGCACAGGTAGAAATCCTCCCACTTTAAGTGGGAGAAGCTGCCCAGGAGTTTGAGACTGTATTCCATGGAGCCTGGCTGTAAGCTCTTGCATCATTAGTGGAAATAGAATGTGTTGAGCGAGGAGGGAGTTACCATCACTGAAAGCCAAGGTAAACCAGGATGACCTGATGCACAGTAGCTCTAGGAGAGGACAAGGTGAAGCCCAGGCTGAGTGCTGGGCCCTCGGGGAGCCCGGCCTGGTGGCCCTGGGCCTGCTCTTCTGTTTAGTCATTCCGTAGCCCTTTAGAGGGTTATCTGAACATACCGCACGCTGCCCTGCAGAAGCTCTGGCCCTGTGTGCAGGCCTCGCGGTGCAAGGACGTTCATTAGGAGTTCACACAATGACACTGAAGTCCTACAGACCAAATCCACATGTCAGCAGGAGTGGTGGCCCAGGCCCAGCACTGTGGTCTGCTGGCGGGGGTGGCTGCGTGTCGAGGAGAGCCATGCCAAGGGTCCAGGCTGCTTTAGTCCATCTGTGACCCACTCATTGGGGACAGGTGGTTTTCTTTATTGTAAAATTGTGGACTTTTAAAACCTGTTGACTAAACAGTAATTAATTTATATTTGTGAAAATATGCCACTGTCCTAGTGATTTCTGATGTAAATAATGTTGTTTATATAGTATGTATTAAATTTTCCTACATTGTAAAACTGCTGTACTTTTGATTCTTATATATTAAAAAGTGTTACTAAGGAGTTTTAGCCCCGGCTCCCGTGTCGCCTTGCATTTCAGTGTGAGCTGTGACTGGACCAGGGACGCCATCTGCCTCCCGCTCCTTGTGCAGCCCTGGTCCTGGCCAGGGTTTTTGACAGCTTAGTTTGTGGTGCCTTGTCCAGGAGAATTTTTTCCCCCAGCCAGTATGGCTTCTGTTGTTTTTTCCAGGCCTTAACGTCACAGGTTTCCAAGATTTTCTGTCCCCAGCAAGCTGTTGGGAGGGTGATGGCTCCCCGGCAGAGCAGCTCCAAGCCGCAGCCTGAAGCCCTGTGTTCACCGCGTGACCTGGAGCTGCCCGGTCTCTCTGAGAGTCCCGGGGAACCAGCCGGGCACACCCCTCGTCCAGAGAGGAATAAAAACACCCTGTCTGCCAGTCCACAGAGTGGAGGGTGATTCAACAGTCGGGTTATAGATTGTGAAGGGGGAAGAGGCATTTTATAATGGAAACACTGACACTAATGTTCACTCTAGCAGATTGGCGCAGGGCCAGGCCCCTCCAGCAGGGCCCACACAGCAAGAGCAGCTCAGCCTGCCTGCTCCTACCTGAGGGCGTTCACGCCTAACTGAAAGCAAACTGGGGTCTTTGTCTCCACTCCCTCCCTCCTGGCCTTGAATTTGCTCTGTAGCCCAGGTTGGTCTCAGACTTGAAATCCTGCCTCAGCCTCCTAAGTGCTGGGACTACGGATGGCACCACCGCGCCCAGCTCCATTAATCCTGGACACGAAGTGGGCCTGCCTGTCCACCGAGCACAGCAATCAGCTGTAATTTCCCTGAAGCGCAGAGGGGCCTCGGGCACAGGGCCGGAGGAGGGCTGGGGTCTGCAGCAGGCGGGTGAATGATGAACTAAGAATTCTCGCTGCCCATGAGAAAGCTTGGCTCTGGGCTGCTGCCGTCCACCACTGAGCTGGGACGACTTGGGGAAACCTTAAGAGTGCTGCAGTCACCCACTTGTTAGGGTTTACAATAGCAACACACCCTCGAGACCCGGTGCTGCCAAGTGGCCTGCCTTTTCCTGGAAGCAACGGGCCAGGGCCCCCGCCTCCTGTCTCTGGCATCACCACTGGCCCTCAATTAGCACCAACAGAAAGGTCACTACTGAAAGGCAAGGCCCTGCAGTTGGCCCGCCCAGACTCCGCACTCTGGAGTCCAGGCTGTAGCTCTTACAGGAGCAGGGCCAGCTTCGCCAGGCGGGATTTGTCCCGAGTCCCATGCCAGCCAGCCTCAGCCCTTCCATCGCAGGTTCTGATTAAGCCCAGGAGGTCCTGCCTCCTCCAGTTATGTTCCTTGAGGTAGGGTGGGGATGTTGACACATGACTCGAGGACAAGAGGTGTGGCTGGTCCGCCTGGATTTGTCCTGAGACAAACACTGTTCTCTGGTTTTGGGTGGGGATGAGACAAGTGAGAAGCTTCGCCCTTCAGCGGTGAGCAGAGCCACACCCCCTCCTCAGGACCAGCTGCCCCACGAGGGCCTTCTGTATCTGTCACTTTCCCATCCCAGGACAAAGTACCTGACGCCACAGCTAAGAGGAGGAGGGCTTATTTTGGTGCCCAGCTTCATCCATTGCTCCTGACTCCAAGTCCCAAACAGTATGGAGGAAGGGCCTGGAGGAGGATGGCTGCTCATCTCATGGCAGCCAGAGGTAGGGACAGGAACACACCCTTCTAGGTCCCTGGCCTGTGGCCACCTCTCCGTGGGCCTAACCTCACAGCACAGAAGCCATGGGCTCATCTGTGGATGAAGCCACTGACCAGTACCCCTCCCCAGGATCCAACCACCACCCCAAAGCCCCAGGTGTCCAGAGGAGGGCCTCTGCTTCAGGTTCTGTGGTCCCATGTGAGTGGTGTCCAGGCAAAGGGAGAGGTATGTAACCCAAGGTGGTGGTCACTCCTGGGCTGGTCAGAAGCTGGGGCAGCTAGATAGGCGAGGGTGGCCTGGTGTGCAGGGCTGGCGCAGCTCAGAGCTGGTAAAGCTGCAGTTGCTCTGTGGGCTCAGGAGCCCAGTGGGAAGGCCCAGCAGGGACTGCAGCCTTCTAGGAGTGTTGGGGCCGGAGGTTACTGGAGAGATTTTCTTTGATCGAGGTGGGCTCTGGGAACAAAGAACCAGAAGGAAGTCGTCTAATGGGCTGGCGGTTGGGAGATAGGCTATAGACCAGCACACTGCATGAGGGCACAGTCTCCTAAGTGCCAGGGAGAAGCAGCCAGAACCGCAGGGTAGTGTGTTGGGATCTGAGCCCTGGCAGTCGGTCCCACACAGCAAAAGTTCCAGCCAGAGTAGGGGGCGTGGTCACGGGGACTTGGACCCCAGCTCTGACTGGGGCTGGTGTGCGTTGCTGAGCACATCGGTACTCTGTGCCCTTACCAGCCCAAGGCAGGCACATGCGAGGTCTCTGAGACGACACATGCAGGACACTTGTCCTTACCACGGAGCACACTGGGGCGTCCCGAGACGCCGGAGCCAGGCCCCTGCCATCCTGAGGAAGCCTGGGCTGTTCTCCTTGGACTCCATTTCTAATGCCGGGGCTGAGGATCCGGGTGCCTGTAGTTCTGGATGCTTCCTGCAGAGGGCAGCAGGGGCCCACAAATCGTCCCACTCACCCCCAGAACTGCAGAGCCAGGACAAATGAAGCCGCCTCAACCACCGGGAGGCGCCTCCTCGGGGAGGAGAAGAGGGGTAGGGTAGCAGGGAGAGGAGGCCTCCTACCCTCGGGGGGCAGTGCTGTCCCCCAGGCCTGGCCTCCCTCAGCCCCAGCGCCAGCAGTAGTGCAGAGCTGTACAGGGTCACAGCCTCTCCTGGCTGTCACCCCAGTGAGAGCACCCAAGGGATCGCCCTTCCCCTGGAGTGACTGCACCCAGGGCCTTTGCATTGGGCTACATCCTGAGCTCTTTATTATTGTGTCTGAGACAGGGTTTTTCTAAGTAACTAGGTTGCCCTTGCTGGGCTCGACCGTGTAATCCTCCTGCCTCAGGACCCAGTGTGCTGGTACTACCTGGCCAGCCCCAAGGGACCACTCTACTTTTGGCGACCCTCACCTGAATGCTCAAGCTGGCTGGTTTGGGTTGGAGGCCCTCTACCACCTGCAGCTACTGGCCACTCCAACCTTTGCCTCTTTGTGGACCCCTGAGGACAGCCAGCCCACACTGCCTGGCAGCTCCAGCATCTGGAGCCAAATTAGCTGCTAGGCCCCTGTGCCTCCTCCCCCCAATCACCCCTTCTCCCTGCAGAGCACCTGATCCTCTTCCGGAACCAGTTCCAGAACTGGTTTCCTCTGAGCAGCTCTTTGCAGCCTGCTGTGCCATGGGTTCCTGGCCGCCTCCTCTCTGTGCCCACAGCTGCCACTAGAGGCCTTGGTGCATTTGGGTGGCACCTCTTGTGGGGCTCACCCATCAGACAGGGGCTCAGACCCCTCAGGCTGAGAGGCTGCTTCCTTGCATGGGGCTAGGAAGGTGTTCATAGGTTGGCACGGCATCGAGTCCACTGGACAGGCTCTTTGTCTTTGAGGTCCCTGAGGACAGTGACCTCAGGGGAAGCTGCTGCACTTGGGGCCTTCTTCTGAGAGGTTCCTAGAGAGAGGAGTGTGGGTGGAGGGGTGCTGCTAGAGGTAGGCAATTGTCCTTGAAGCCTCAGCAGCTACCCGGTCTCAGGACAGCTTCTTAAGGGCTCCCTTGTAGCATTAACCCCTTAGCTACTGGGCTGTCGGAAGGGCCAGGGACACCAGGGAGCTGAGCTTGGGTGGCCAGGGACCTCCTACCCAGCCTGGTAGGAACCCAGCATCTAGTGGCTGAGATGGCTGGGTCAAAGTCCTCACTGCCCAGCTGCCAGGCCTTGGCCTGCACCCTCTGTGCGAAGAATGATAGGGAGCACAAGGGCTGGGTGGAGCAGCAGTGGAGTGGAGAGTCCAGCGGGCTGGCCGGGGAGGAACCCTGGCCCAAGGGCCCAGTTGAGGCTGGAGGGGGCCTTCACTTGCACACCAGGCTTCAACCTCTGCCCACTGAAACCTGGCCCAGGGTCAGCCTCCTGGGACCTTGGGTTTGTACCTGTCGCCCCAGGAACAGTGTCACCGACCTGATGGGAGAACAGAAGTGGCACCATGTAGAGTCCATAGGCATTATGTGGCGGACTCCTTGATCAGGGCTGTCTATCCCCAGGGGCCCAGGTCCAGGTCTGGTGACCTGTCCTAAGGTCCTGCACTCTCCTCCTGCAAGACCAGCGATGGAGCCTCTGTGACCCCCAAACTCCACTGGGGCTCCCTCTCCCATAATGCTCTGGGCCCCGCTGCCCTCAGGCTACCACCTCTTTGCCTCTTTTCCTCCTCCCGACTCCCCTCCCATGTCTCCCTGTCCTCAAGCCCTAGTGTGCTCACAGCTGCTTTCCTGAACTTCCTCTCCAACAGTGGGTGCAGACCTCAGCCAGATAGATGGGGTCCACTGCTGTACCTCCACATGCGGCTGCAGACGGAGACCCGAGACTCACTGTCTCAGAGGTGTCTGGAAGAATTAAATTCTAGAGAGCACCTGCATTTGAATGAACTTTACGTGTGTGGTACAGGGAGTCAAACCCAGAGCCTCATGCGTACTGCTGAAATGTGCACTCTGCTTCATTTAAAAGAAATCAATCTGCGCTAATCTTGGAGCATGGGGAAGGGAGGGAGGCCTGGATCCTGGTCCCTTAGGTTGATTTGGTACCAAGGGTCAGAGCTGCCCCCGTGACCTGGGGACACCGGCTGACAGGTTTCACAGGTCTGGGGGGAGGGGACCTGGGGGAATGGCACCCAAGACAGGCCACTGGGCTCTTGGGGCCTGGCCCTGCCATCCCTGCTGCCTCACACTGAAGGGGTCTATTTGTATCCACAAAACATCACCCTCTATTGCTTTAAATCGCTGAGGTTCGCTGATACTGAGTAGGGTTAATCACTGAATGTATCTTGCTTTTTAGTTGCAGAAGCAATGATTACAAAGAGTTTCTACTTAGTCTCATGAATAATAAAATGAACACAGCCCAGCCCAGCAGGGCCTGGAGAAATACTGACTCCCAGATAAGGTCTGCACTCTATGTGTGCCCCGGAACTCCGGGCTGGCCATCCCCCAGACTCTGCAGTCTTGGGCTCATTCAGGGTCACATTTATCCCTGTTACCCACTTGAGGGTGAGGTCAGCTGGTGGAAAATTCCCAGGGAAATGTGGAGAGAGGATGCTTCTGGCTAAACTAACCTGACAGGATTCCTGGTGAAGGCTGGCCAAGACTTGTGTGGACCTCACCTGCGAGTGCTGGAGGCCAACAACCTTGCTCTGGGAAGGTTGTCTTGAAACCCATTCAGCAGGATACTTGTTCAGACTGCATCATGCAGGGCTACAGGTGGAGATCTAGATTTTACGGTACAGTTGAGAAGTTCCAGGAACCAAGGAGAGGCGCAGCAGGGGACAGTGAGGTCCAGTACCACATGCAACTCAAGGGCAAGGTCAGCAGGCGGACTCCCTGGAGGGAGCCTCTGCCCCTTGTGTGGAGGTGCACATCTGTAATTCACTGATTGTTCACCTCTCACCACTAGAGGTCACCCGTGAGGGCAGGGACACCCACCTGCCATCTACTCTCACTGCTGTGTGTATCCCCAGTGTGAGCACAGTGCCTCGCACCCTCAGGCCTCGTGTATTTGCTGCGTACATGAATGTGTCTCCCAGCCAGGGCCATTTACAGCCCGAAGGGGATGGCCTGCAAGTGTCCCTGTTAGGAAAGAGGGAAGAGATCTCGCTGTGTTAGACACACACACAATCTGCTCAGAGAATGCTTGCCTCAAGGGTCCATCCCTAGATCATTAGCAGACAGATGTCTATGTCCACTCAAGAATGTGGTGGCTGGAGATGCCTACTTCTCCCTGGGGAGGGGAGCCCCTGTCCACATCTGGCCCCTGGTGGCTCAGGGCCCACCCTCAACCTGAGGCCACCCAACGGTCCTGCTTATCAGGGCCCTCTGATGGAACCTGCCTGGGCTTGGAGCCATGGCATTCCTGCGAGGCGGTAACTGGGATAAACCAGCACCTGCATGCAGCCCCTGGCAGAATGCCCAGCACATGGCAAGAGTCCAACACGTGTAGCTGTCATGACGCTGGGAAGGTGACTCCAGCCTCCCTGTATAAGAGAGTGGGACCACACCCACAGCTGGATGGTGACTGGGTTCACCCAGAAGAGTTGTCTCCAAGCTGGACCATGATGCTCTTGCTCTGTACCCCACACCCCTCTTTCATGGATGCTGAGCCTCTCAGGCTGCAGATCTGTAGTGTTGGCAGGAGGTGGAACAGGCATGGGAGGGAGGTGACAGCTTTGACTGACTGCTGTGGCAGGGAGTACACCTAGGAACACTGGCTGGTCCACCGGCCCCCCACTGAGCTTCACAACCCCTCCCCCAACCCCAGTGCCAGAGCTCCTGCCACCTGAGGGGCACTCCCTGCATTCAGGCATCTGTTTCTGGGCTGGGGTACACTGGCAGCTGGGCCCAAGGGGGTCTGCTCCAAGCCCCGCCTGTGGTTGGGTGGAGCTAGCTCGTCACTGCCTGCTCCATATTCATGAGGAAATGCAAATTTCCATGTTTGTGAGGGCACCAGTAGCATGGTACTTGGGAGAGAATTTATGTTGGTTAAATCCAAGGAGGGTCTTGAAAGAATTCCAAACCAAGAATATTTTCTGGCAAGCATCGTATAGCATTTTCACTGGATGGTGAGCGTGCGATTTTTTCCCTTTCTGGGCCCCAGCTTCCCTGTGGTTCCTCTCTGTGCAGGCGGCCAAGCTAGCTTGGTGCTGCCGAGTGCGATTTCTGACACCAGCTTAGCTCCTGAGGAGTAAGGTCCCTCAGCACTGTTGGAGGGGACTTTAAGTGAGATGAGCTGTTATGTCCTGGTAGGGCCCCCCCACCATCTTCTCTGGAGCATTAAGAGCAGGGCCCTGGAAGTGGCCATCCTACTGCTGGGCTTGGTACAACTTCTCGCTCTTTGGGCTCCTCGGGTCACCTCCCTCCCATGCCTGTCCCACCTCCTGCCCACACCAGTCCTGCATGCCTCTGTGCAGGCACGAACCTGCAGATGCACCAAACCTCAGGTGACAGATGCTCTTTGCTTTCACGAGGAAGGACCAGGGGCTCCAAGAGGTTCAAGGACAAAGTCACACAGCTGGCACTGTGAAGCTGGGATGCAGCCCCGCTCAGCCGCACTGGTGTTCTGCCTGGTGACATTTGGTGCCAAGGGCAGGGACTCCAGGACAGAGAGACCCCAGTGTCCATCTTGGCTCTACCTTGCGGGCACGTGCATTCTGCTGTCTCTCTTCTACCTGTAAAAGGGTCTGGATTCACTCCTGACACACCTGGCTGCTTGCGGGCTGCAATGGGGGAACAGCAGCTGCCCTGCCGAGGAGCCCAGGGCTGGCCCTCAGGAGGGCTTTGCAGGCAGGGGGCTAGTGACAGCCCTGTGCCTGAGCTCCTGGGCTGACAGTGCCAGCTGAGGTGGCACCATGCTGCACCTCCTCAGGCTCCCTTTTGGCCCCAGCCACATTTAGGGGGCACTGATACTCCCTGCGCAAGGGACCCCACCCAACAGGCATCCCCACCCCAGGGAAGGGCAAACAGTGACTTCAGGGAAGCAGAGGGCTCCAGCTGCCACTTTTCTCCAATGTGTCCCCTTCCATGTGCCCCGCCCACCCCAAAGGGCCCGCAGTCCATTCGGGAAACAGACTCCAAAACATTGTCCAGAAGAAAGTAACAAAACAAAAAAAACCAAACTTTACTTGCATTTAGCCATTAATAAATAATTTACAGTATGTACAAGCGGTGACACTCTACATGGCCGCAGATACAAGGGTGCGGTGAGGAGTCCCCACTTCCAAGCAGAATGTGATCAGACACAACCAAAATAAAGTGCTTCAACTTTTTACTTCCAACATAGGGATCATCTAAACAAACAAAGAAACAGACAGACAAACAACAAAAAAACAAAAACCCAGCCGGGCAAGGGAGGGGTGGGGCCGAGCCCCCCCCCCCAGTGTGGTTTTGGCTGAGTAGGACCTCGGGGGGGACGGGAGACGCAGGTTTGCAGTCTCCTGGCCAGTGTATCAGAGGTCCCTGGGGACAGCAGAGGGGCTGCTGCAGATGCCGATGAGCGGGGATGGGTGGGGGAACGACCTGCTGGACCCGGGGCACCCATGGGAGCGGAGATGCTGGGAGCCATTCTGGTCCCTGGGGGCCATTGCAGCAGTGGCGGCCGCACAGGGCCGGGCTCTGTGGATAGGGGTAGGGTGTCTCCTGTCACCATGGGGCTCCTGGGTGGGGACCAGAGGGGAAGACCCTGCCAACGGCTCCTGCCCTAGTGCCCAGACACAGGTAGGGTGAGGCTCCTGGCACAGTGCAGGGGAAGAGCAAACAGGGGACAGGGCAGGCCAGCTGGCCCCGTCCCCTGGTCTGCCCAAGCCCTGCAGCCCAGGCTGCCCTGCCTCTTGGGAGCGGATGCAGAAGTCAAAGGATCTCTTCTCGGTGTGGACACTTGGAACCAAGTACTCATCTCTCCTCGGCAGTGGGCAAGGGTACTGTGTCCAGGGGCAGCCCTGCTCAAAGCCCATGCTAACACGCATGCCCTCTACACTCGGGGCTCTGTGGGCAGCAGCAGGCACAGGGCACTGTCCCCTTACATCGTGGGCAAGAGATGCCAGGAGGCACAGCCTGCTGGCCACAAGAAAGGTGGCAAGGTTGTGAAGCAGCACCCCGTGGGGTGTCCTACCTACCAGGAGGGAGCCCTGCCCGCCTGGGGTGGAGCCTTGGCCCCGAGCTGTCCCGCGGGCTTGTGTGTGCGAGTGTGCTCGGGGCGAGTGTGTGTGCGCGTGCAGCGGTCAACTGGGCCTGTTTCAGTGCATTGCGAGGGGCTGCAAGGGGTGATGTGGACCATTCCCAGTGTCACTCTGGTGGGGTGGGGGCTCCAGCCTGGGGGGCTCTACTTTGCACATTCACACAGCTGGGGCAGGGCAGGGCGGAACTGCTTTCCCTCTCACACGGCTCTATTGTCACAAACACCACAGCACCAGTCACCACAACCTTGTCACGTGCACTAGAGAGACAGCCTGGTGGCCCACGCCTCTGAGCCCCAGCCAGAGGCAGTTCTGAGGGGACTGTCCCTCGGACCACTCTGCCACCTGGCCGTGGCCGCCTCTGCTGCAGAACACTGCAGAGACCCACAGGCCATCTGCTGGGCACCCACACCGGGTCCCCAGCCCTTAAAGGGTGCAGGGGCAGAGTCTTGGCCTCCCCATGTGAGGCCGTGGCACTGCCTAGCAGAACACAGGTAGCAGGGTGAGGAGCACGAGGAGGCTGAGGAGGGGCCCAGGGCCTGGGGTCCGCGCTGCAGCCGCCACCCCGCGAGGCAGCTCGCGAGTCCTCTCATACAGATGCAGCCTGTCCTTGTTGGAATGCAGCATCTTGACGTCCTCCAGGGCGTAGTAGGCGGCCAGCGTGAAGTTCACATCGCCTGTGGTGAGGAGGTCGAAGACGCAGGCCTGGTAGTACAGGTCCTCTACGGGCAGCTTCTCCTTGCACTTGGCCACTGCTGTCTCGTAGGGGAACGTCTCAGGGGCTGCAGGGGCCGGGCTGGCGGCTGCCGGCCTTCGGGCACCGGGGCCCTCGGCCTGGGATCGGACGGCCTGGAAGTCGATCTGCTGGTTGAGTGGGCAGCCTCGTAGGCACAGGTAGAGGCCCTGGCTGTCCCTGTCCTCCACGGCGTTGACCACCTCCTCGGGCATGCGGACGGCGAAGGTCAGGTAGCGGCCCACCTGGCGCACCACGATGGTGGTGCCGATGTACTTGGCTTGGATCTCCACGTGCTGACCTGACACCTTCTCTGTGATCCTCAGGCTGTTGGCTCCATGCTTGTCCCCACCGTTCTTGGAGCCATCGGCAAAGGCAGCTGGAAGCTCGTCCATCTCGGCCTGGTACACTTTCTGGTCCACACACTCCTGGAAGTTCTTGAAGATGATGGTGAGCTGGGGGGCGGGGACAGAGGACAGCAGCTTAGGCATGGGAAGGAGCTGGCCCTGCACCTGAGATGCCCCGACAGATTCAGGAGGGCTCAGAGGAGCTCAGAGGAGCCCCTTGCATGGGGGTCAGAGCTCAATAGTACAGTACAACTGTACTATTGGGCATGAATATTTTTTCTTAAAACAAACTTGGCTTTTTTACAAAAACCAAACCAAAACAAAACTACTCAGAAAAATTTTAGGTTACTTCCCACATTGGAAAATGAGGTCCTCTATTCTATAGACCATAATGATAGAAATAGAGATAGAGGGTTTCACTTGTATGAGAAATGCCAAGTATGGATACATTAAAGGGTAGTATAAAAGGTAACAGGAAATAGGGATACTGATCTTCTGAAAATGGAAAGAAGACTAAGAGATAGACAGAGGTGAGAGGGAAGGGACAGGAATGGGACCTAGGAAGGATTAAGCTGTGTTATGTACATGCAATAATAATAATGTGCCATGATGAAAGTCACCATTAGTTACTACACAAATGTGCTAATAAAAACAGACTAAAAAAATTGGATACAAAATAGATAGCAAAAAAAAAAAAAAAAAACAACAACAACAACAAAAAACACAAAACCCACATAAAAGCAAAGCTAACTAAAAATCAAAGGTCATTTGTGGTAGGCTGAAAAATGGTGCCCCAAGGTATCAGGCCACAAGCTGAGGGTACCAGCAAGCCTCCAGGAGCCAAAACGGGCAAAGGCTGGGAGCCCCCACCAGGACCAGCTCTGCTAGATTTTAGCTTTGTGAGACTGTGGACTCCTGACCTTGGAATTAGAGATGATACATTTCTGTAGGTTTAAACTCCTTCCTGTATGGTGCCGGGAAGGGAGATAGAGGCTGCAGAGCCTCCCAGAACCTTCTAGATTGAGCAGGATAACAGGGTGGCAAGAACACTGACGATGTCGCTGGGTCCTGTGCTGTTGGTGATCGCAGCTCCCTGACACTGTGTGACGTTGGGGGTGACCAGGCAGGAACAAGGGCAGCCATGGGGCAGGGGAGCCTCAGGAGAACACTGAGAATACCCAGGGCCAGCGGGATGGAGGAAGAAAAGTCCTCCCTGAGATCCGCGAGGAAGGCGGGTCGCAGTGTCACCGCTGGCCCCATGGCTCCTTCCTCCGTAGGAAAAGTCTCCCATTTTCTGGTTCTGCTGCTCTAAGGTCTAATGCTGGCAGGCTGGATCATACTGATCGCCTTCTCCCCACTTGAGAAGAAACAGAAGTCTTTCTGGGGGCTGGGACCTGTGGGGCGAGGGGCACATTCTGCGCACTGCACTCAGGACTGGGTCAAGGTGGAGGAGTCTATACTGTGAAGAAGCCCCGACCACACGGCTACGGAAGCACTGGACTCTGTTTCCTCATCTCCTTCCCTGTCCACAGATGCGGTGCACTTCGGGCTTACTGGGGACCCACCATCCGGGGGTGGCTGCAGCCACTGCAGGCTCTGTGCAGCCCGAGCCTGCCACTCTCAACAGCGACTCACAGGGCTCAGCCTCCCGCTTCTCCCCAGCCAGCAGCTCGCCCAGCGCCCACCATGGGGGAGGCTGGAGGCAGGGCGGAGGTGGGGTGGGCCAGCCGGGTGGTCTGGATGGTGGGTGGTCCTGCTCCTGGCAGGGGTAGGGGTGTCTCAGGGCCCCCAGTGTCCCTGCCTGGTGCGCAGGGCCACACAGGCACTGGGGAGGGGGCTGCTTTCCAAGTGCCAGCGCCTGTCTCCCTGGAACAGGAAGGGCTGGTTTCACTCTGATCTTTCTCTCAATCTCTCTCGGAGGCGGCCTCTTGAAAGGCTGCCTACTCCTTGGCACCCGTGCCAGCCTCAACCACAAGCAGCAGCATGAAGGGGCCTGTCAGGAGCCAGCGGCGCGCTGCCAGCACGGCCCCAGGCCTTTCCCCTGTGACGTGAGGGCGAGCCCAGGCTCATCAGCGGCCTGACATGAAGCCAGCGCCAGGACACACTAGGGCACAGGACTGGCCTGTTGAGGGGGCAGTGACCTGAGATGCAGCCTGCAGGGTGGCAGACAGTGAGTGCCGTGGGAGAAACTAACGTGGGAACTGGCAGTGGGCACCCAGTTCCTCTCCTTCCGAGCCTCAGTTTCTTTGCCTATATAATGGGTGCTACCCATGCAGATATAAAGGGGGAGCCAGAGAGGGGTGCTGGGGACCATAATCTTCCTGCTTCCTTCAAGGCCATCAATGCTGTTTGCTCGGGGCTTACCACTGTCCCATTGGAAGGCAGCGCCAGGGTCCTGAGGACTTCCGAATCCTGCTGCCCAGCGCCCTCTGCTGGGCCCTGTTCTCCACAGCCTGGGCACTGCAGGCAGGGAGAAAAGCCTAGAGCTCAGGGCTGGCACGGAGGCAGCAGAGGTGCACGAGATTGGTAGAGGCCTCTGGGAAGGGACAGGGGCAGGCCCGGGCACTGGAGAATGGCATTTCTCACCCAGGGACCAAAGGCCCCCATCTGGCCTGAGATCTGAAATTGGCCTGGCCACAGGCGCTGGCACTATAACTGTCTGGCCTCACCAGAGCCTGCTGAAGAGGCCCTGAGCCCTTGTCCTTTTGGAGATCAAAGGCAGCTCAGGTTGGTCAAGCTCTGCTATGTGGCCCATACCCTATGGAAACCTCTGGACTGGCACAGAGAAGGGGGTTCCCCTATCCACCCCTGCTGGGCAGTTCTGCGGTCCACAGTGCCCAGCAGCAAGCCTGGCTTACAGCAGCCATTTGAAACACGTGGTGAATGAATGAATGAACGATTCATCCATTCGGTTCACGGGCAGCACTGCTGTGCTCAGGATCCCAGTGTCTCAGCTGAGAGCTGGAGGTAGCATCTGAAGCCTGCCTCACCCTGCTACCCCGAGCCCCCTGAACAGCAGCCAGCCTCCTCCGCCACAGGCTGCAGCTGCTCAGCTCAGCTGTCACACTTGGTGTTCATTCCACCATAGTCTTCTACCCTCTCACACTCTGATACCTACCCTGTGCCCCTGCCAGTCCTCAGGAGCCCACAGGGTCGGGCCGGTCCCCTCCCACAGGATGTCTGCCACTAGATTTAGAAGTGGCAGCCTCAGGCTCCAGCACAGTTTATCTTGGCTCTGGAGAGGCAGGGTGGTAGGTGGGTAAAGGGGCCGTGGGGCAGGCAGCTGGATCCTGCCATCTGCAAGGGGTGGGGAGTGGTGGTGGCAGACATGTGCTGAGGGTCTGGGACAGCGTCCACAGTGAAGATCTGCTTGCTTCCTATCTGGTGGGAGGGCCCAGGCCACCAGAGCAGAGGGAAGTGGTAGGGATGGACGTTTTCCTGGCTGCCCGGTTACCTCGCTGTCCTCTCCTGGGGTGTGACAGGGTGAGAAGGAACAGAAATGCCCTTGTGGGCCAGCCTGGCGCTGCCCAGCATGTGGCCTTCCACATGCTCTTCCTGGGAAAACAGACCCACTGTGGCCAGACCAGCCTGCAAGCTCCAGGGGGGCTTGGTAGGCTGGGCCAGGACCACACAGAGGTATGAAGCAAGGAGGACAGAGTACCCGTCCCTGACTCTGAGGGTTGCAGCCCCTAACCCTGTCTCGAGGCCTCATGGCCGGCCAAGTCTAAATCTGAGGTCACCAGAGAGGAAGGGTCTGGGATGGACAGGAGGAACACTTCCTCGGGCCCTGGGCCATGCCTGTGGCTGGCTCTGGCAGTGGCTATTTGAGCAGAACTTGTCAAGCTGTCCAGACACTGAGGCCTCCTGGGGTCAGAAAATGAGTGGCTTTCAGGGGCCTCCAGGGTCACCCTGACCCTGGTCAATTACTGTGTTTCTTGCTTATGGCATTTTAGGAGAGCATCATGGGCCTGCTCGAGCCTCAGGCTCCTGCCCTATTCAATGGACCACACCCCAGGAGGAGGAGGAAGCATGTCCAGTGAGGCTGCTTCTGTCTCCACACTCTCCCATCTTCCTCCTTCCCAGATGCACAGGGCCCTGTCTGCCCCTCGGTGCCCAGATGGGACTAAGGGACAGAGGGCAGGACCATTCGCAGCAGCCTTGGCTGCCGTTAGTGTCCCACTGCCCTGGCCTCTGTCCCTGACCATGCATCTGAACTGCTGGGGCCTCAAACTTCCTCTAGAGTCACAGATGGCAGAGATTTCCCCTACCAAAATGTGCAATCCCCAGCTCCAGCCCAGGTGTTTTGGGCTCTGCTGTGCCTTTCTGGAGGTTTTGTACTCTATTTTTCTTTGAATGTGTACTTCAAATTTAAATAACAAACCTCTTTCTGCCTTAAAAAAAAAAAGATCGTGAGGACCTTTAAAATGTGAGCCATCTCTGAGCCCACACATGCAGCATGTTGGCCGAGCTACCCAGGAGGGGCTGTGTACGCTCTAGGGAGAGGGCTTCGTCACTGTCACCACACCCTGTGCAGCTGCGGAAGATGTCTGATGCCGTCCGCCTGCTTTGAGTGACGTGTGCTCTCTGAGGACAAGCATGGAGTCACACATGTCACAGCCATGCTTTGTCCAGGGTCTTACACCAAGATATAGTTTGGAGGTAAAAAAGACTACTCCAAGAGTGAAAATGCCTTGTGTTTTGGGCAACATTTCTGCTCATATTTGGCCATGCAGGGATCAAATCCAAGACCTTACACCTGCGAGGCAAGCATTCTATCACTGACTTACACCAGCCCTTTCTGAAAAATTTTGAGACAGGATGCTGCTAAGGTGCCCATGGTAGCCTTGAACTTTTGAACCTCCCAACTCAGCTTCCCCACTAGCTGGGACTACAGGTGTCACCATGCTGGGCTCTAAACTTGTTTTCTGGAGACAGGGTCTCACTACATAGTTCTGCCTGGTTTTGAACTCTATGTAGCCCAGGCTGGCTTTGAGCTCATGGCAATCCTCCTGCCTCAGCCTCTCAAGTGCTGGGATTACTGATGTGCACTAAAGTGCCCAGCGTCCAAACTTTTTTTTTTAGCAGTGAGAAATCTACCAGTGTTAAATGTATGCATATGCACACATATCTGCATATTAGAAATTCACTGACTCTGAACGCGTATCTTACCCTGAACAATATTTTCACAGGCTGCCTTTTCTAGCTGTGCTATGCTCAGCTATCTTGCTCTATTTACCCCCATGCACACTTGTTTCTGAAACCAGACTATAGGCTTCACAGATCCCGATGGAGCAATGTCCCCCAACACCTCAGGTAAAATTCTAGGACAGTGGTTCCCACCTCCTTGGCACCAGGGAACAGTTTCATAGCCGCCAATTTTTGCACTGACTGCTGTGTGTGTGTGTTGGGAGGTGCATGATAGTTTTGGGTTTACTGAAAGAAGCAGCAACTTAGATCCCCCTCATGCAGTGTTCAAAGCAGTGTTCTGGGTCCTAGGAGAATCTAGAGTGGCCGCTGATGTGACAGGAAGTGGAGCTCAGGCAGTGATGCCAGCGATCTGGGGGCCTGGAATTACAGATGACCCTTCTTGGGGCGTGGCTAAGAACACGCAGGTGCAGAAGGCATGAGGGGCTTCGCGCTGCGTCCCTGCAGGCCGCTCCACCCATTTCTTACCTTGCTGGTGGCGGTGGCGGCAGAGCCGGGCAGCACGGGCGTGTTGGTGACCTGCACGTTCAAGTAGTTATTGTCGATGAGCGGCCACGCGCCCTGCACCTTGCAGGTCTGGAAGCGGTCTGTGAAAGTCCTGAGGTGCGGGTCCCCGAAGAGCCCACAGTGCGTGTAGTTGGGGGCGGCCGTGTGCTTGTGGAAGCTCTTCTCGTAGTGGCAGATCTCGGGACTGTCCGAGCGCTCCTGGCTATCCCCGGCCGGAGGGAGCGTGCGCAGGCGGGGCTGTGAGGTGGGGCCATCCTTGGAGCAGTTGTGCTGGCTCATGAGGTCCTCGATGCCATGGACCGCCGAGTGGTAGGCCAGGTCACCCCGGCAGGTGCGCGCTGTGCGCCGTGTGCACAGTGCGTAGGTGCGCAGCGCGGCACAGAACTCAGGCGCTTCTTCTGTGGCCGGGGCGTGGCTGCCTGATGTGGCGCTCCAGAACTCAGAGTTGCACTTGAGGATTTTGCACGAGGAGATGGCTGCGGGACCAAGAGACAGCTGTCAGGGCTGGGGCTTAGCGACCTCAGCACCAACCTCTTCCCTCCGGGGGCCACGGCACACCTTAGCCTGTACCACCCATGGCGCATGTGTGCAGATGGTAAAAATTTGCCTTGCCACACGTAGTGGCAGTGCACACCTGTAAGCCCAGTCACTAGGGAGGAGGAGCGGGAGGACAGCAAATCCCAGTTAGCCTGGACAGACCTGCCTGAGGGGCTAAAGGCACAGTGGAGCGGTAGAGCGCCTGCCTAGTGCACACAGAGTCCAATTTCCAGCTCCGCAAACACAAAGACAAAACCATCGATTCATCCAGGCTTTAGGATGCTCCCACCCTTCTGGCCTTCTAGAGCTTCCCCACAGCCCTGGAGACCCAGAGTGGCCAGGTACAGGGTCTAGCTGCTCAGGGGACTGCAAAGAGGAGTGGACCAGTTCTGTGGGAGCCGACAGCAACCCCCACCTGTACTTTTCCCGGCTCACTCCAAGAATTTTGTCAAAAAGCAATGGAAATTTTGCAGGGACTGAAGCCCCATTCTTCAGAGTGTGTTTCCAGCTTTGCCACGGGGTGACTTTGTACAGATGACTTAACTTCTCTGTGACTCTTTATCCTCATCTGGAAAACAGGGTAATAGGCTCTGGCATGGGGTGGCGGTGCTGGGGACGTCAGTGTTTATCTCCGGCACAGCACAGCCAGCTCAGTGAATGCTGGCCCTGCCCAGGCATTAGCCAGGGTTACAGAGGAGCGGCTTTCTTCTTGGTCACTGTGGCTGCATCCCTCTCTATCCTACTACTGAGAATCAAATCTTGGACCTGCCCTAATTCACATTTAGTTTTTCAGTATATATTCATAAGTGCGGAGACCCTAGCGTTAATGAGCCAAGGTGACCATACCTGAGAACCAAGGCTTTAGGACACCTGAGCACTGACCAGGACTTGGGCACCTGCTCTTCCCTGGCCTTCTGGATCCTTCGGCACAGTCCACAGAGACCTGGACCTGGAGCACATTACATTTCCATGCGGGTTCCAGGAAAAGGGGGCTGGAGGACCAGCTAGGGGGTCCCCACCTAGTGCTTTTGGGGGTGATTTTCAGAGAGGAACAGAGCCACCCAGTTGGCTCAGGACCTGGGAAAAGTCACTTTGCTCCTCTGGGTTTATCTGTACAGTTGAGATGCACTTAAAACTAAGAGCAGAGCAGCCCGAGGCCTGGTAAAGGTGAGCATGAGACATGTCGGCCTTCCTGCCGTGTCCCTATTCCTGTACCTGCTCATCTGCCTCACAGCGTGGTCCCACCTATCCAGGGGGTGGGCGCCCTTCTGCAGAAGGTGCCACCTGTCCATGTCCCACACACCTGGAACCCAAGCTATGCCCCTTATAGAACCTGTTTCAAACACTGTTGGTAAACAAGGTTGTTTCAGGTGATCCCTGGTTGAATATGTTTCAATTTGAGAAGTTATATATTTATGTAATGAGTACTAGAGGGCAGTCATGACAGAAGAGAGCTCTACATTTCCAGTTTCGCAGCTTTATAAATACAAGTGTGTTGATATAAAGAATCAGGTTGATATAAAGAGTCTGGACATGGAGACACACACATGTAATCCTAGCACTCTGGGAGGCTGAGGCTAAAGAATCGCAAGTTCAAGCCCAGCTTGGTCAACTTAGTGACTTAATGAGAGCCTATCAAAAATAAAAAATAAAATAGGGCTGGGGATGTAGCTTGGTGCAAAGGCCCTGGGTACACCTCTAGTACCACACTGCAAAATAAAATCAGGCTAAGTCATAATACTACCCAACCCGGGACACCTGCAGGCTGGGAGACCAGCATGGCCCGGGTGGGAGCAGCCCAGTACAGCCCCCGGCAGGGGAGCCGAGGGAGTGGTGCATATGAAACCTGCTGGCGGGGCTGCCAGCCCTCGTGTGTGCCCCGGTGGCCTCTGGTGCAGGGCGTGCTGGCTTGCCCCTCTGTTTCCCCAGTTAGGGAGGTGCACAGGGGGTGAAATCAGCTGAAATGGACATGGACCTAGAGCTCACTGGTGGCCACACCCAGGCTTGGGTTCACTTCCGGTGCTCACCATGAAGGAAGCAGAAAGGGCTCAAAAGGGCACCACCTGTCCTTTGCCAATGGATCCCACTGGGACATGAGTGGGAGCTGTGCTGGCCTCAGTCTCCTCACCAGCTCTTGCACACAAGAGCAGTGACCACGAGGTCTCAGCCACTTCCTGGTGCTACAGAAATTTAGGGCTCACTTCCTCCAGTGCCCACCCCCTCAGCAGAGGCTCTGCCTTTGGTGTCAGTGAGTCCTCCATGAGGCACAGCGAGGCCAGATCTCTCCATGGTGACCTCCACCTTTCTTGGGACCCTCCAGCCAGCAGGGCTGTGGTCCCCATGCTCCCTGGGCCCTGCTTCCAGCTGACCAGTTCTAAGAGGCCACACCTGCACACTATGCGGGGCCCAAGTGCTATTCCATCCCTGTCCCCTGTGGCTCCACCCATGACTAGGTGACCCCACAGGTCTCTGAGTCCTAAGGGGAATATGGTGATGGGGCCCTGCTGTCTCCAGACTTGAAACTGGGCTCAGAGCCGTGCCGCCAGGACCAGGAGAGTCCATCTGGCTCAAAACTCTACTCCTTTCCTTGCTAAAAGTGGTGCAAAACATTCCTGTGCCTCAGAGGTTAGAAGTGGTGGCAGGGCTGGCTCCTGCCAGCTCCCACGGGCTCCCAGGGCTCAGCAGAGCCTCCCTTCTACTCAGTTCCTTCAACCCGCTGACCATCCCACCAGACCCCTGCGATAAGCTCAGGCCTAGACATCTCACTCGCATGAATGGGGGGACATGTCCCATTGGTCAACAATGGCTGCAACCTACTGCCTCCCTCACCACCAGCCTTTAAACAGAGAGGTGCTGTGGGCTGAACAGGGTGGGTCCCCCTAAATTTGCAGACTGAGCTGCAGCCCCTGGTGTGACAGTACATGGGATGCAGTGCAGGCTCTGGGAAGACACTGGCCCTGGGAGGAGCCAGCAGTGTGCAAGCTGGCCAGGGGGCTCCTGCCAGGACTGAAATGAGGTCCTGACCTCAGACTTCAGCTTCCAGAACTGATAGAAAGCAGTGTGTCTGGCTACACCTCCCATCGGCGATGCCGTTACAGCAGCCCAGCTGTTAACGTAGAAGGAATCTGTTTTGCCCCTCACAATTCTGCAGCCCCCAAGTATGCCCCGTGGGGAGCCAGGTTCCTGAGGACCAGGCTGACTCACTTGCTGGCAGTCTCCTGTCTCCCTACACCCACAGATGCCCAGCCTGGAGATGCACCCCCAGCTGCTCTGAAGGACAGGGGATCAAAGAGAGTGGCCAAGGGAGCCCTAGCACAACAGGGGAACCCAGCCTCCACATCCATGCCTTGGATATAGGGTGCACACTTCCCATCTGTCACCTCCTCTTCCTTCCTGAGGTTCTCATGGTGCCCCAAAATGCCTCCTCCCTCCGACACACTTGGGGTGATGGTGCAATCAGAAACTGCTGAAGCCCAATTTCCACAGTCTGCCAACTCTGCCCTTGCTAATGAGTAAGCACCGGGCCCTGGGCTCTGCGTGGGAAAGGAGAACGGGGACACATGCTGCTTCACCCCGGGAGAACCAGGGTGGCTTGGTGTCAGCAGGTGACAATCTGTGTCATGAGGCAGTGCCCAAGAGGAGTCTCATGCCGGTCACTGCACTTTGGGAGGCGAAGACGGAGTCAGGCAACCACTGTCCAATCCAGCTCTGCTGCACCCTAGCTGTGTGACCACTGGCCACTTCACTGACCTCTCTGAGACTGCAAAATGCACTGAGATCGCCAGAGGGCCACTGAGAGGGACAAGAGGTGCTGATGTCAACAAAGCCCAGAGATCTCAGGAAGAAAGTCCACAAATGGGTTCTGGGTTGCTAACTTCGTTTTATTGAAGAATAAGTTATAGGTGGACACAAATCACAGCTGTGTATGGAGAATTAAAACATTCAAGACACTGTCCATGGGTCCTCTTACCTCTGTGACAGCCCAGGACTTACTGTCTGCATTTGGCAGACAGACAGACATCAGATGATCCCTAAGCTGCATTCTTATCCAGCCTTAGGCCCACTGAATTTCCACGCGCACCTTGCCAAGTGGCACCATCCTGCCAGGCCCTAAAGACATACAGAGGCTGGGGTTCTGCCACTGCCCTAGAGGGGGTAACAAACAATCCCAACAGTAATGCTCAAGACCCCTGCCTGGGCAGTGGCAGATTGCCTTTAAACTGGACCCTTTATTGGGGATTGAACCCAGGGCCTCTGCACTGAGCTACACAGGTCCAGCCCTTTTTATTTTTTGAAACAGTCATGTCAAGTTGCTAAGTTGTCCAAGTTGGGTTTAAAACTAAGATCCTTCTGTATTGGCATCAAGGAACGCAGAAGTCACAGGTCTGTGCCACCATGCCCAGGTATTACTACTATTTTGAATAAGGGGCAGAGATTTTATCTTTACTGTACAGATCTGATCACAGAGGCCTTGAGGGTCAGAACTAGCCTGGGCCACACCACCACAGTGGGGTGCAGCAAACCTCCTGCCTGGGGGGGGGGGCTGTTTCTGTACTCTTCAAAAGTACACTGCCACTAGTCCCTCTTTGACCAGCTCGTGGAAGGCAAGGGCTGGTGTAGTTTCTGGCTCCATGCAGCTCCTCACCTAGCCCATTCTGAACCTCGCACACAGAGACCTGTGTGGAGTCACAGGTGATCCTTCTGTGATTCTTGGGGTTCCCAACTCTGTGGGGTCCTCAATGCTGAGGCTCCTTGAGTGGCCATGCAGATCTTCCTGCCATTGCAGAGACACAGGCTGAAGGAAGCTTGGGGGACACACTGACAGTGACAAGCTGGGCCTGGAAGTTAGTGTGTCCACTGCCCTCAAGTAGACGCTCTGGGGCCATCACTTTCCAGGGGCCTGGGGGTGCCAGGGTTGGGTGGTCCATGGTGAGCAAGC